ATTGGGTGTAGCAATAGCCCCCGTGACGTAGAGTTGTGGAATAACTTTACAATGGAGATGAAGTGTTTTTTTTTACAAGCAGTTTACAATGCAAGCTGGTCTTGAGACTCTATTTAGAAAGCTTTAAATGACGTTCCCTTCTCTTGAAGTTAAAGTGTAATAAATTGTAAAGTTTAGTTGCAAAATGCCCAACTCTTTTGCACTTCTCCCTAGAGCAAAAATCAATTCATTAATAAGGAGGTACAACTGACGTAACAGATCTTATGTATGGCAGAGGATGGAATCATCCTTTGTTCTTAATGCATTTCTTTAAAGAACGTTATCACTTTATATAGCTGTCTCTGCATTTTGTGCATCTAGGCACTACCTGTCTCCAGTCTCACAAAACAAAAAGATTTTGTCGTGCAAGTGACACACACAACATGCCGTAACTGTTATCAAAATCCTCCCTAAAGCAAACCCCAAACTCCTAAACATTCTAAACCCCCTCATGCTGTACATGTGTTATGCAACAGAGGAAATATGAGTCGTTGTCTGATAAAGATCACCAAAATCAAGCGGACTCCAGAACCTTGAAAAGATTGCAGAATCAGGCAAGACAGGATGACGAGCAATTGGCAAACTACGAAGGGCAAGTTAATAATATATTTAAGATTGCATCAGTTTTACAAAGCGGAAATGACAATTCAAAACAGGTGGCTTATGAGCTTCACGATAACTTGCAGGATGATACCTCCAAGCCTTCATTGACCTCAGTCACGGCATTAGCCATTCAATTGAACAAGTTGAAGATATTGGACACTAAACTACGAGTGGACTCTATAGAATTGGCAAAGAAACTGGCGCAAAAGAAGGTGGACAACTTGAAGAACAATAATGAAGAGATAGAAAATCAGATTGATTCAATACGATTAAAGATTTTGAAGAAAGAATCGGAAATGATTACAGATTATTCCCACAAGTCAGAAGAGTTGGTGGCAGAGATTCGTGATTTTGAAATGACCAAAATTACGCAAGTGCAACGCCAATCCAAGAAGATTCAATTTCAACACTTTAAAATTTTACTCGAAATAGCGTTGCAAAGGAGGGATGGTAAAAAGTTGTATTTCCATCATCAACCGATCTTAAAGCTAGAGGAGTTTCTTGGATACAATCTTTTAGTTATTAACCAATTCCTTGAAAGACTTGTTGTCTTGCAAAATCAACTATCGATTTTATTCAACATCCAACTACCGCATTCGCGTGTCTTAACAAAGTACCTACCTGATTCCAAATTCTACGATCTTTTGAAAAGAAAAGAGCTGATGGTTACTGGACAACAGGATTCGATACTTGATGATGACGCAATCGAGCAGAAAGAATCTACGCCTATGGACATTGAAAATGTTACCGGAAAAGTAATCAAATTAGGCGATGCGTACCAACTTCCCTTGTCTTCGAAAACCTTGAATTACCAACGTCGAGCAGCAAGATTGACGTCGCCAATTGAAGAACCGATTGAGCTCAATAGCATCCCTATAATCAGGCAAAACAGTTTAAGCTCATCTGCTACTAGGAAGATAACTATTCCTCATCGAATAATCAACAAGCCGTTCAACAAGTTATCCATTAAGGACTTTCTCGAGTTTTTGGTGGTGATTGTGAGGATCATTGCCAACTTTCAAGTATTGTTGGCGATTTTGGCGATTGATACCTCTGATTTCAACCTTGAAGATTGGTGCAATTTTGAAAAATTATTAGACAAACTTGTCAGCTTTGATGAGTCGAAGCATAGAGTTGAGCTCAATTCACCGATTAGCATGAGATACAATCTGAAGACCAATTCCCATGATTTGATGCAGCAAGTATACAAGTCGATAGTAAAGTCGACCTTTGCCCAAAAGCACCACAACAAAACACTCGCATTTCAAAATTTGAATTTCAACAATTTGTTCTTGAATGAGTCAAAGACTGGTCATGGTGACGATTGGGATTTAATAAGTGAAATCTTGTAAGCTGCAGTGGTTGATTAGTTGATAGTTTCAATATGTTGTATGGATGATACATTGTATGACAATTTTAGCTCTTTTGTGTAAAATGAGGACTTTTTATATTGGTGTATGGAGCTTCTTACTTTTTTAGCCCTTTTTTCTGAAAGTTGAGCGACAGAAAATCGACAAAGCACGCAGAATTCTTATCAGAAAAGACAGTCGTTTATCCACTTTTGTCAGGCCCACCCAAAACCCATCTCAGACGCAAACCAATCTTTGATAGAGCTTCTTCGCAGCGGTAACTACCTAACATAAACATGTCACTTTCAGATAAAGAATTGTATGAATTGAATAAAAAAGCCGTCACTGAGGGTTTCAAGATTAGTCCTAGGATTAATTATAACACCGTTGGTGGTGTTAATGGACCATTAGTCATTGTTGACAATGTCAAGTTCCCTCGTTTTAATGAAATTGTCAACTTGACTTTACCTGATGGTTCAGTTAGACAAGGGCAAGTGTTGGAAATCAGAGGTTCAAAAGCAATTGTTCAAGTTTTCGAAGGTACTTCGGGAATCGATGTTAAAAAGACCAGAGTTGAATTTACTGGTGAAAACTTGAAGATCCCAGTAAGTGAAGATATGTTGGGAAGAATTTTTGATGGATCTGGTAGACCTATTGATAAAGGACCCAAAATTTTCGCTGAAGAATACTTGGACATCAATGGTTCACCAATTAACCCGTATGCGCGTATCTATCCTGAGGAAATGATTAGTACTGGTATTTCTGCCATTGATACTATGAACTCTATTGCCAGAGGACAAAAAATTCCTATTTTCTCAGCATCAGGTTTGCCACATAACGAAATTGCTGCCCAGATTTGTAGGCAAGCAGGTTTGGTTCGTCCAACTAAAGATGTCCATGATGGTCATGAAGAAAATTTCTCAATTGTCTTTGCGGCAATGGGTGTCAACTTGGAAACTTCAAGATTCTTTAAACAAGATTTCGAAGAAAATGGTTCATTGGAAAGAACTTCATTGTTTTTGAACTTGGCTAATGATCCTACTATTGAAAGAATTATCACTCCTAGATTAGCATTGACTACTGCTGAATACTTGGCTTATCAAACTGAAAGACACGTTTTGACAATTTTGACCGATATGTCTTCATATGCCGATGCGTTGAGAGAAGTCTCTGCTGCTAGAGAAGAAGTGCCAGGAAGAAGAGGTTACCCTGGTTATATGTATACCGATTTGTCGACCATCTATGAAAGAGCTGGTAGAGTTGAAGGTAGAAATGGATCCATCACCCAAGTTCCAATCTTGACAATGCCTAATGATGATATCACTCATCCAATCCCTGATTTGACTGGTTATATTACCGAAGGACAAATTTTCGTTGATAGACAATTACACAATAGGGCCATTTACCCACCAATTAATGTGTTGCCATCGTTGTCACGTTTGATGAAGTCCGCCATTGGTGAAGGAAGAACTAGAAAAGACCATGGTGATGTGTCCAACCAATTGTATGCTAAATATGCCATTGGTAAAGATGCTGCTGCTATGAAGGCCGTTGTTGGTGAGGAAGCATTATCAACTGAGGACAAATTGTCGTTGGAGTTCTTGGAGAAGTTTGAAAAGAACTTTATCAACCAAGGTGCCTATGAAAACAGAACAATTATTGAATCGTTGGATCTTGCATGGTCATTGTTGAGAATTTACCCTAGAGAATTGTTGAACAGAATCAGTCCAAAGATTTTAGATGAATTTTATGGCAGAGATAGAGGTGATGACGATGAGGACGATGAGGATGGGGACGATGAGGACGACAATAAGAAGAAGGATACATTGATTGACGCTTAAGGGTGTTTACTCATCATTCATTTCTAATGCAAACTTTCTTTTTCTATTGTCGAAGTTTTTATAAAACAATAAATACATATACACGAATCAAGCGCTTGACTCTTGCTTTTTCAAATTACCAATGTGATTAATAGCTGATCCGGCTTTGAAAAACTCAACTTGGTCCTTTGACATTGTATGCTTGGCCGAAATTTCAAACTCAGAACCATCTTTCTTGATAACTTTTAATCGTAAACCTCCTCCATTATTTCCGTCCTTGGCAATCATATCTTTCAAATCAATTGTGGTTATCAAATCACCTGCCAGTATCTTATCATAATCCTCTTCATTGGCAAACGTCAATGGTAACATACCTTGTTTCTTCAAGTTTGTTTCGTGGATTCTGGCAAAAGACTTGACTAAAATGACTGAACCACCAAGGAATCTTGGCGATAAGGCTGCATGTTCTCTTGCTGAACCTTCACCGTAATTGTGTTCGGCAACAACAACCCAAGGTCTCTTGTCATCTTTCCATTTCATCATCAATTCAGGAATGCCATATGAGTCGCCATTCAAATCGTATGCTTTATTGACTTCACCAGTCTCCTTATTTACAGCTCCGATTAAAGTGTTGTAGGAAATGTTTTCCAAATGACCCTTGTATTTCAACCATGCTCCTGCTGCTGAAATGTGGTCTGTAGTACATTTTCCTTCCACTTTAAGTAAGACATTGGTTGACAATTCTTCACCACCCCATGGTTCAAAAGGATCTAATAGTTGCAATCTATCTGAAGTAGGGCTAACACTGACGGGAACTTCTGGCTTTGGTTGAGGGTTTGGTTCAGGGTAGAATTCTGCTCTACCTTTGATGAATCCTTTACTGGGCAAATCGATTCCCTCTGGTGGTTGAAATCTAAACTCTTTACCATTTTCCAATTTGATACTATCAGTTATTGGATTGAAGTTGACGTCACCTGAATAAATCATGGCCGTGACCATGTCTGGAGACGTCAAGAAGTTCATGGTGTTTCTATTTCCATCGTTTCTAGCTCTGAAGTTTCTATTAAAACTGGTGAAAATTGCATTGGATTCAGTGGATGTCTTGGGGACATCAACTCTATCCCATTGTCCAATACAAGGACCACATGCATTGGCCAAGACAATAGCACCGTTTTTCTCAAAGGTGTTTATGAGTCCATCTCTCTCAATTGTTGCTCTGATTTGTTCTGAACCTGGGGTAACGAAAAAGGGAATCTTTGGCTTCAACCCAGCTGCTTCTGCTTGTTTGATAATAGATACAGCTCTTGACATATCCTGGTACGATGAGTTTGTACATGATCCTATTAAACCAGCTGAAACAGTTGCTGGCCAGCCTTCTTTTTGGGCAGTTTCTCCAAATTTGGAAATGGGCGTTGACAAATCGGGAGTGAAAGGACCATTAACGTGTGGTTCCAATTCAGAAAGATTAATTTCAATCACTTTGTCATACTCTGCACCTTCATCGGCTTGTAAAAATTTGAACTCCTTGTTTACAGCAGCGGCAGCATTCGCTACAGGTTCTCTATTTGTTTCAGTCAAATACCTCTTGTGAGCTTCTTGGTATGGGAAAATTGAGGTGGTGGCTCCAATTTCAGCTCCCATATTGGTAATAGTAGCCATACCAGTACATGATAAGTTAGCAACTCCATCGCCAAAATACTCGACGATGTATCCTGTACCTCCTCTTACAGTCAAGATACCTGCCAATGTAGTAATGACATCTTTTGGTGACGTCCATCCCGACATTTTTCCAGTTAATTTCACACCCATAATCTTTGGCGCCTTCAACTCCCATGGCGTTCCTGTCAAAGCATCAACAGCATCGGCACCGCCTACACCAATGGCAATGGCACCAAGACCACCGGCATTTGGTGTATGCGAATCAGTGCCCAACATCATCAACCCTGGGGCCGAGAAATTTTCCAATACAATTTGATGAATGATACCTGATCCCGGTCCCCAAAATTGTATACCATATTTCTCACCACAACTTTGCAAGAAATCAAACACTTCCTTGTTTGTGGCAATTGATTTCGTCAAATCGGAAGAAGCACCATCTTTTCCCACAATCAAATGATCACAGTGGATCGATGCTGGTACAGCAGTTGAGCTCATACCACAGGTCATGAATTGTAGCAATGCCATTTGAGCTGATGCATCTTGCATTGCAACCCTATCAGGATTTAATTTCAAGTACTCTTTACCTCTGATATCAAAAACATTTGAGGACGTAAGACTCTCCTCGGGATTACATAAATGCGAGTACAAAATCTTTTCGGCGAGGGTCAACGGCTGGTTGTTGACTATTTGTTTAACTGTTGCAAGTTTATCAACTAGTTTGGAGTATGGTGGGGTTCTAGATTGGTACTCTGGAGGAACAGGGTAACTGAATCCCTGGGTCGCTAAACACCTTTTGTGGAGCTGTAATACCGCAGTATTGCTCTGTCTTATGACTCTAGCTTTTAACATGGAGAAACTGTGTGTAGTTCGTTTGGTAAAATAGTGCTAGAAGAAAAACTGTTTGACCAATGGATTTTAGATAAAACTTGATTACTGATATGCGTGAAAAATTATAAAATTATTAATTTAAATTAAGAAAACAAAAAAAAAAAAAAGTTTTTCACTTTCTTTCTCTCTTTCTCTGTTTATGACTCAATTTTAATGATTTTGCCGCGTTATCAGATTAGTTACTCAATAAGGAAAATCATATGGTAGCGTAACTCGATATATCACTTCAAAGACTAGCAGTTGAAAACAAGTCAAACATTTGCCTCCCAATGGATCGAACTTACATAAAGCTTACTTATTCACTTCCTAGTATTCGTCGTTTCCAACTGGATTTAAAAGTTGGTGGCAGGCACTTTTATTGTATACTATCTATAATGAAGTCAACTATACAACAATTGACCAGGTTATTTCGGGGGATATAGTAATACTCCTCCACTTGAGTAACTCTGGCAAGCTTAATACCATAGATGAAAAGTTGTCACTGCCTATCTATAACTAGTAATAATTTGCTGTACTACTTCCCGGCAAACGAATTGTGACATCACACTTCAAAATCACAACCCTCTCCATGCTCTACTGACCCATCCGCAGTCACGTATGTTGTCATCTTTAGCATCAACTTTAAAATTACTGGTTGGATCATCATACTTTTCTGATATACCTTCACCTGCTGGTTTCGATATGCAAATGTACCTTCCATCCGGCAAAAAACATCTTAATTGAGACGATGGATATGGACAGGGACAAAACTTAGGTGATTCAACACAGATTCCAGTATCAGGACATAAATACTTGTTACATTGTGTGTTGAGCATTAAGTTCTCATACTCCTGTGGATTTTTAACCCCTTGAGCGTGTTGCTTAGCCCCGCCGAACTGGTTGTTTATGAAGTCGAAAAGGTTTGCTGATGCAACTGTTATAAGTAATAGTAGTGAGACTAAATGTAACATGGTGTCTTCTTGGGATTGTTCTGGTACGATTGATGAGGAGATCAGTTTTGATAACACGTCAAAGATTTTTCAGAGTTCGCATTTGTTTCAAATGAGGCGCTACCGATTGACCAAAATAACAAACAACATATTATGGGAAAACAAACACGAGTAGAACTAGAGAGAGATGTTGAATAAAAAATACCGCTGTTCTCAGGATGCACCAACCCATATACCACTTTCATCAAAAGCAAAAAAAGAGAAGAGACGTATGGTTTCTTGCATAGCAAAAAAGAAAGCAGTAAACCATTTTAATGGTGCAAAAACAAATGGGGCGAACTGGGAATCGAACCCAGGGCCTCTTCGAAATTTATTGCTCAGGCTTGAGAATACCCAAACGAAGAATCATACCACTAGACCATTCGCCCAATTTATGTTTTGAAAATGCTTGAAAAACATTTTACCAAAGCAAAAGTGTAAGATTTCAGCTTAAAATTAAGTTGAATATGTAGAGTTGGATAGGTTGTAGGGAGCTCGTTGTGTTATATAGTAATACACACTTATTTGAATAATACTTTAATAGAGAGGGAAGTTAAGGAAATAGATTTTTAATGACGTAACGTTTTTTTTGAAGTTTTTGGTTATTTCGCATCAGTTTCATTGAAAAGTTGTTTTACAGTTCATTTTCATTACAAAATCGTAAAGAACTCTTGTGATACATTAGTGGATTGTTATACAGCTATGAAGTATACTCTACAGCTACTAACCTTTTCAACTCACATTTTTGCACAATGCACTCCCTACAAACTCTTTTTTCTGAATGGTTGCAAAATTTCTCAACAATAGCATTATGATACCTTCAGTAGATGTCACCTTTATTTTGAAAGAAAAAATACTACTCGTCATCATATCGGTCTCATGGAACAAGTCTGAAAGAAGAAACTGGCATTGGCTGCTTTTCAGGGTGCCTAACGTGTTGGTAATGTTTTGACAAAAGCATCACTGCCCAATTTGCACACCTTAAAACATCAAACACGCTTTAGATATCTACAAGATACACCCTCTCCCATATGCTCTTCATCTCCTACACCTCCATATTTTATTCAGCTGCTACCAAATTAATTTCATTTCGCGACAGAATAGAACCGAAAAAAAAAAGAGAAAGAAAAAAACCAAAATTCGAGGCCAAAGCTGCTGGAAATTGCATTTGAATACAAACATCATTCATCAATTAGAGTGATTAATCATGAGCAACGAGTTAAAGCGAACGCTGTCTGATGTCCAACAAAATGCAACAGGTGTGCCCACAACAAACTCGCAGAGTGCGCCTCAATCACAAACTGCACGTCCTTCACAACAACAACAACAACAGCAACAAGTCAGAAGCAATCAGCCTCAGTACTCCCAGGCCGATTTGAATCGAATAGTGCTCGACTACTTGAACAAAAAGGGCTATCACAGGACAGAGTCTATGCTTCGATTGGAAAGTACTAGCTCGCCAACGCCAGCAGCGGCTCCTGTTACACCATCAACCACTGAATTAGCTTCACCCGGCGAGCTAGTGGTCAATATGGAGGAAAAATTGAGTCAAAACGACAAGGAGTTGAGGGATCTCAAAGAAAAGCAATCAAAAGTCGAGCGTGAACTACAAGAAACAAAGGACCGTGAGGCAAGGTTGGCCAAAGAAGCCGACTTGAGACAATTGAAAGCATTGGAAGCTAAAACTAGAATTGAAAATGACCCCGATACTTACTTCACGGCTTATTCAATGCTCAGGAAATGGGTCGAGTCTTCGTTGGATTTGTACAAGCCCGAGTTGTCGCGAGTTTTGTATCCGTTGTTTATACATTGTTTCTTGGATTTGATAACAAAAGGGTATGATGCCAAAGCAAAGCAGTTTTTTGACAAGTACAAGTCGGATCATTTGATATTACACGGCGTGGAAATAAGGAAGTTTGCAGGGTTGTCGTTGCCTGAACATGTACAAGAGAATGAGGTGGCAGTAGCTTACCGAAAACACAGATACAGAATATTGGTATCAAAGACATCACTTAATTTGTTGTTGTATTTCCTTCATGAGAATGAGGCTGTTGGCGGTGCAGTTTTGATACGCATGATCAATCAATATTTGGATCCTGTGATCTCTAAGAATAGGCCTGACAAGATTGATCAAGAAGGTGAAGCCAACCCAGAGGAAGGTATATCTGAATATTTTGCCAATACAAATGAGTTGGAAAAGTTCAACACCGAAAAGGAAGTGAAATTAGGGAAGATGCCGTTGGATTCCGAAGTCAGCAAAGAAGTTGAGGCAGAGTTGAAGGTGAAGGATGAGAAAGTAGCTCCTGTGAATGACAAGACCCTTAGTGAAGAGTTTCAAGAAATGACGACACCGGATGCCGACTCACCAGCCAAGGATTCATTGCCGTTGCCCATGAAAGATGCAACTGATATCAAGAAAATACTTTTGCAAGTTGAAGACTCGAGATCGAAAATTAAGTTGGGAGCAATACAAGCCAGCTCTCCTTCTGTTTGCATGTACAGTTTCTACAACACAAATAATGAAATGACGTGTGTCGCTTTTAACGAAGATTCGACACTAGTTGCAGCTGGCTTTCAAGGCAGCTATGTCAGAATATGGAGCTTGGACGGTAAGCCACTTGAGTCTGCACTTAAAAAGGATCGCAAGAATCATCAGTTACCAGAGAATTCGAGGAAGTTGATTGGTCATAGTGGGCCCATATACGGCATTTCATTTTCCCCCGATAATAAGTTCCTTCTTACATGTTCGGAAGATAAGACGATACGCCTTTGGTCTTTAGATACATTCACGGCGTTGGTGTCGTATAAGGGCCACAACCAGCCAGTATGGGACGTCAAATTTTCACCATTGGGACATTACTTTGCAACAGCTTCTCATGATCAAACCGCAAGATTATGGGCTACCGATCACATATACCCGTTAAGGATATTTGCTGGACATATAAATGACGTTGATTGTGTTGAGTTTCATCCAAATTCAAATTATGTCTTTACTGGATCAAGTGACAAAACTTGTAGAATGTGGGACGTCCATACGGGCCATTGCGTGAGAATATTCATGGGCCATACAAACTCCATTAACTGCCTTGCTGTATCGCCTGATGGCAGGTGGCTTGCCAGTGCGGGTGAAGACAATGTGGTTAATTTGTGGGACATCGGAACCGGTAAAAGATTGAAAACAATGAAGGGACACGGGCGATCATCTGTATACTCCTTGTCATTTTCGCGCGACGGTACCGTCTTGGTTAGCGGTTCGGGTGACAATAGTGTGAGGGTGTGGGATGTTAAAAAGAACACCAACGATGCCGGCCCAGAGCCGGAAGCGTTTGTAACTACAAGCAATGGCGAAGCTAGCGAGGATAAGAAGAATCAACAACAACAACAACAGCAGCAGCAACAACAACAACTAAGCAGGAGAGATGTAATTGCTAGTAGCGACCACATGACTGCATTTTTCACTAAAAAGACTCCAGTTTTCAAAGTCCATTTTACGAGGAGAAACCTTTGTCTCGCTGCAGGTCCATTCCAGGGGTAAAAGGTGCTACTAAATGAAGAAGAAAAAAGCAAGCATTTCCGTTTGCATTGTGGATATTAGCTTTAATGTACGATTATTTTCTTTCCCCTTTTTTTTTATTTTTTTCTACTTTGGGTCCTGATTATACCAAAAACGTCTTGGCAACCTTAACCTTTAATCTTCGTGGATATCTAGTCACCTTCAGTACTAAATGACAGGTCCAACTGCTACTTTAATGACACCGACGTTACATTTAGTCAGCTCAATACAACAAAGAATGTTGCAGTTTTATCGAAACATTGCTGCGGCTATAAATAACACACGTGCTCGTTTTTTGTTGCTATGAAATTCCCGGCTATTAAATCTTATTTTACAGACTCAATATTTACGCCCATCGAAATAGGTTTTAACAATAGAAACAGCAAACCTAGAGTATTTATCTATCTTGGATATTTTCTACACGTTTTTAATGACGTATATGTGTAGAGGCAAACGCAAATCTCTTGAAGAATAATGGAGACTTTCAGTTTTAGTCGAGGGGCCTGGTAGATTTTAAAAAAAAACAATGCTAGTTACTACCCCTCGTCGTGTAAGGATTTGAAAACCAGCTATAGCCCTATTGTAAATCTGCTTGTCGCAACCATTAATCTTTTCTCAAAGCAAGAGCCGATATTAGGAAAAAGCACTGACTTAACAACGATGAATTGTGGTTCAAATAATTCTACTGGTTGGTTTTAGTACATGTTGCCTAAAAACACAAAACCGTTTCACTAAAAAAAATACAACAAAAAATAAAAAATGAGTTTGGCGTATAAGCGGCTAAATATAGAAAATGTGTATTTTTAGAATTCCTTTTTACACAGTTGGTTTCTAAACTTAGAATTATTTTAACTACTAGAAAACGGCACCAACGTGTGAGGGAGAGATTTATATTAGAAAATGATTATCTAAGCCACAATCTTTTTACACTTGCTTTTTACAAGACGCATTTTTGTACCCCAGAGAAAGAACTATTGAGGGAATTTTCAGCGGGGTGTAGGTGTGGATGGGTAAAATGAAACACAAGAGTGGCAGTGGTACTGCCTGGTTTTAGAAATTGGTTTTATTAATAGCAATCATAGATTAACAACACAGGTTTGCTGTGAACAATTGTTTGCTAGATACATTCTTGGTAAACTTTGCCTATAAATATCCGGTCAATTTCTTTCAGTCATTTTAAATTATTTTTAAGCTTGACTCACCATCTAACTCATCAACTATGAAATCCACTACTACTATTATTACTTTATTCGCAGCAATTGCTACCGCTTACGCAGCTGACTCCTCTTCCGGAGGTGCTGCATCCAAGGCTACCTCAGCAGTAGGATCAGCTGTTTCAAGTGCTACTTCAGGCGCCTCTTCAAAGGCTTCCTCAGCCGCCAGCGGTTCATCAGGTTCTGACTCCAAATCAGGTTCTTCATCAGGCTCTTCATCAGCCTCCAAGTCATCAGGATCTGATTCCAAATCCGGTTCTTCTTCAGCTAGTGCTGCTTCTAAGTCAGGATCAAGCTCCTCTGCCGCTTCATCTGGCTCATCAAAATCTTCAAAGGGTGATGCTAACGGTATGGGAGTTGCTGGTGTTGGTGCTGGTTCATTAGCTGCCGTTGCCGGTTTGTTGTTGTTGTAAGAGAGAAAGTCTTTTACTGCTTAAATAAGAGCTTGCAAGTCGTATAGTTCATTTAATAATACAAACAAGTCCTACTTCAAACACTTTAGTTAAAACTCTTTAAATTGTAGCTCAATTGAATTGATATCTTTCAAGGTGTGCTTTTCAATCAAGTGGCGATAAAACTCACACGTCGTCTGTTTCAGGAGACTTTTTTTTTTGTGTGTCTCTCTTATAATTTGACAGACTAATACGAAAAAGCCACTCAAGAGTCTTGTTTTTCTTGGCAAGGAACTCAGTTGCTTTTTGTCAGAATTACCTAGTGTCTACTTAGCCCCCAATGCCCCCGCTATGGTTTGCCTATGCCCATTGTGACTCTGGTAATTGCAGAAAAAGGATGCCACTAATGAATGGACAAAAATAGGGGGAAACATGTTTTATTTGTGGAAAGTTTCTAAAAATAAATACTAAGGGAATTGGCTCGGATACACACCGGAAAGAGAGGCTTAGTAACAAATTACAATAGTGACATTTAATTCGATAGAAAAGTGTCCCAGAAAACATAAAAGGACGCGTTATTTGTGAATAGAAGAGTTGTTTTGGTACGTAGTATTTCCTATGAACAATCATATCATCTTCCACCCTTAACAGCAATCGCTTATCTTAAAAATGTATAATCTGCTGAATCCGTGGGTTGTCTAGGGTGTTTTTTACAAATTTCACAAGAGTGGTAAAGAGCATAGAGCAAAGGGAATGCTCCACTTTGTCTGAAAGCTGAGTGGAAAGATTGTAAAAAAGCACTCATCTCAGTATTATAGACAATGCTTAATTGCTTGAGCAAAAAACACCCGAATTAACATCTTTTAGAAGCGGCCTTTGAACAAAAAGCTTCATCTCCATTGTAAAGTTATTCCACAACTCTACGTCACGGGGGCTATTGCTACACCCAATTCGGAATCACCCTGTCCATAATACAAAAACCAGTGTCCCTTGAACTGCACAATCCCCTCACAAAACACAACTTTGTTAACTTGTCCTTCAACTTCGTTCAGCAGTTGCGGTTCCAAGATGGGGTGTTCTAACCGAGCCACTGGCCCTTGCTTGATATTATCATAATCAACCAACATGGCATTGACAGTGTATGTATCGGGAGCCAACTCAAACCCACCTGTGGTTGCCGCATTATAGATGAAGATCCACTGGTTGTTGGAGTCCCCCGCCATTTTGATTGGAGCTGGCCCACTTTCGATTAATTTACTTTCTCGATGCAAAATCTGTTTGGCAAAGGTGTTTTGGTTGATTGAGTTGTGGGTCAACCTCCAATGTACCAAGTCGGTGGATTCGGCAAGATGCAACTGGCAATCTCCCCAAATCATATAATACTTGCCATCTTTGCTTCTTTCATTGAATATGGCTCCTGATTTCAGCCAGTTTTTGCGAATGATCCTGTTTCCATTGCTAGTGACTGCAATGTCACTCCAGGAGGTAGGCACAATAGGTCCAAGCTTGTCCCAATGAAATAAATCTTCGCTTGTAGCCACACACAACCTAGCCGTGTGCAAGTCATATGCTGTGTACGTGACAATGAACAACTTCAGCTCAGGATCACTCACAATTCGAGGATCTTCAATACCGCCACCTTCTTCATAAGGTTCAGTCGCAGTTATTATTGGTTTCTTGTGCTTATGGAAATTAACCCCATCAGAAGACCAAGCAATGCCCACAGACGATAATTTGGCTTTATTTTGAGCCCGGTATAACATAACAACATGGTCGTCAATGACTATAGCGGTAGCATTGTATAAGTATGCACTTTCAAATTCGACATCGGGGTCTGGCGTCATGATTGGATTATGTTTGTACCTCTTGAATGGCCCAATGGGGAATGCTGTTGGTGGTTTGTAGTCTTTGTCTCCGCATACGGAGTCTCGGTTGATTGTAGGGATCATCATGGTGGTTACTGTAGGTAAGTTGTACTGTGTGGTATGTATATATAATGGTATAATCAATTCAGAATAGGTAGAGTCTGTTTGTCTGTGCTTATATTATTTTTATCTTGTTCATTGGTCTCTCCACTGTCTGCGAGAGAAACAAACAAAAGTTTCGCCGACATTTTAGGCGGCGGAATAGAAATCTCCACCAGAAAAAGGGATTTAAGGGGTTGGATAATCTTCTACTTTTAGAAAACATTTGTCTCACTCTATACGACATTAGAAATGCTTTTGATTGGTTGTCAAAGATGTCGTCATTGGATTGTCTTTGGTTGCTATCTTTTTTGTGATCGGTAGCGTTACTATTGTATTTTGCGGCTTAGGGGGAGACCAAAATGTTGAATGGATAATCTATGACGTATTATATATACCAGCTTCTTGTGGTATTACGTTTTACTCAATTGGTCCAAATCGGCAGTTTTGCATTAAGATGGAGGTAAAAGTTGCTGGTGTAGTAACTTCTGTATCACCCAAGATATACTAAAATTATTAAACCCCAAAGCCCAACTCAAACTGAAGCACCAACAAAAAAAATAAAAAAAAGACAAAAAGACAAAAAGAAGCAGAGAGAAAGATTTGAAATTTCGGATTACACTATAGTTATATACCTTTACTCCTATACTACACTACCACTACGATAGACTATGGGGCATTTACTTTCACATCCAATTGAGGACAAGAACCTCGATTACAAGGTGTACACTAAACTTTCATATTGTATTGGCTCTATGCAAGGATATCGTATGAGTATGGAGGATGCGCATGACGCCAAAATCAATGAGGATGAAACCATTGCCGTATTTGGAGTATTTGACGGGCATGGAGGGCAGCAATGTGCTGAGTACTTGTCACATCATTTGACCAAACATATTTTCAAGAAGCTCATAAGTTATCAAGACAGTACTCATAAAGGAACCAGCAAGAGCAACAGCAGCAGCAAGAGCAACAACGGCAATAGACAAATTTTCAAGATTTTAAAAGATGCATTTTTCAAAATGGATAACGATTTATCCAATTCGCAAAGTTACATCAATTGTGGATCGACAAGTGTAGTAACGGCAATAATCAATAATAAGATATTTGTCGCCAATACCGGAGATTCAAGGTGCATATTATCAACCAATGAAGGGAATGCCAAGACGTTAACATTTGATCATAAACCCAGTGTGATTGGAGAAAGAGTTCGAATTGAGAATAGCAATGGATACGTTATAAATAATAGAGTGAATGAAGTATTGGCATTGAGTCGAGCAGTGGGCGATTTCAAATTTAAAACACCCTATCTTACATCCACCTTGAACAAGTATATTCTTGATAATATAACCGCAAAGTATAGAAAGGGGAAACAAGATCAAAAGCAAAAGCAAAAGCAAAAAGAGCTGAGTCTGAGTCTGAAACTGCAACTGCAACTGCAACTGCAACTGCATCCGAATCTGCATTTGCATCTGCAGCAAGTACCTGATCATGAGTATATTCATATCCCACCAGAACTATTTCAAGTGACAGTAGAACCAGAAATTCTCATATTTGATATGAATCAGCTACCAACCGCCGAATTTATCGTCATTGCCTGTGATGGAATATGGGATTGTTTTAAAAACGACCAATTGATTAAACTAATTCGCGATAAATTGGTGCTTGGTTGGAAATTAAACAAAATTGTCGAATATATTCTTAATGACAGTTTAACTATGGCCAATAACTATACTGGCGTTGGGTTGGATAACATGACGTTGATTTTAGTGGCTTTACATCCTGATAGAAGCTTAGATGATTGGTATAGTGATATGATTTTCAAGATTGAAAAAGAGAAAGGTCTACATTAGAGGTATGTGAGGGGACATATATATATATGTTTAGTTTTAATGAGGGATGTTATTTTTAGTTTATAATGCGATGATAGAGTTTTAATGATACGACGATTTTTTTCTTCTTATTGTAGATTGAGGAGGAGGGGAGTAACTCACACGGATGCATTTAATGCCCCTGTATGTGAGTATACTAAGTTTAGAAAATGGTACTTTGTCCCTAACCCAAGACATGTTTCATTTGCATAGCTCGGATAAGTCGGTCCCCTTTTTGTTTTTTTTTTTTTCACAACTTACGACCCTAGAGAAATATCTATTTATGCCCGATAACTACTACTATCTTAATAACCAATTTCTCCAACTGAAATCAAGGAAAAAAAAGTATGTTCTTTAGTGTGGAGTTGAGGTGCAAAGTCACTTTTTTGAAGGTTTACTTGGCTGACATTTTATATAGAATTTAGTTAAATTATTCCTCTCAATTGTGGTGATATAGGGTATCTATAATTTGCTTCTCTATAACTTTATCTTCTTATAAGTAGTCAGATAGAAGAACAAAGTCAGTCTCATAAGTCATATAAGTCACTCAAGTCACTCAAGTCATATAAGTCAATAGGTGAATGTGCTATTTAATGTGGACTGATTTTTTTTTCCTTCTTTTTTTGACGTGTCGTGTCTCTTGTCTTTTTGTCTTTTTTGTTTGTTTGTGTATAGAGAGAATAGAAGAAAGAAGAAAAATATATCATCAGTCAAGACAGAGACAGAGGGACAGACAGACACCAAAGTAATTGTCATTACCCATTTTAACATTTAGCATTTACATTCGACTATTTATTCATTTCAGTACATATTGTATACCCCACCACCATTACCATTCTTTACATGGTCTAATAACTAAAACTTCCATCCTCACCCATAGTTATTCAACAGTACTTATATTCAGCAGAACATCAAATTTTACAACCACCAGTTTTGCAACACAACAAAGTGTACCATTACCTACATTCAACCGGGTCTCAGCATTAAGCCATAACTCCATATTTATTCCATTCCTCTCACACAGCATATATATTCTACATTTGCATTTATTTATTCAACCCCTTCTACTACACAAATACACAACTTTTGGCATATATTTTCCTAAATGAGTGATATCGACAATTTCAAGGATCCCATATTGTCCCTAACTAGATACCCCAACCTAACCAAAGACGAGGCCAAATCGCTGCAAATTGTTCACTTGATTAAAGAAATTTCCGAACGTCGATTAAATAAATTATGTTCAACCACATACATACTCTTGCAAACGTTGGACAATATCCAATTGAAATTGAAATCATGGGAGTTTTTATCATTGGATTACAATTCCAATACACATTTTGCCAATGCTGACGATAAAATCAAGATTTTCAATACGGGAGTTGCTGATAAGGTGATGCAAGCATGTAGTGAATTGAATTTCAAGTTGGCTAAGATTTCTGCCGATATTGATTTGATTAGCAAGTCTTCAAGTACTTTGTCGGTGCTGGATGTGATTTCTGATGAAGGAACAATCTTGACGTCGTTGTTGTTGCGTGTTATTAAATTGAAAGATGAAATTATTGAACAATTGTCGATTTCGTATTCGAAAGCAAAGTTGATTCTAATTGGACGAGATTTGGAGTTGTTGCATCGTGATGATGCTAGTGATATTGATAGCGATAGCGATAGCGATAGCAACGATGATGACGATGATGAAGATGGCACGGTGAATTATTACAAGACGTTTATTGTAACGTTGTTGAAGCAGCTAAATGATGCAATTCTAGCTAATGATTTTGAATCGAAACATGAATGTCTTGCTGTAATTAACGATTTGGAAAAGATGTTTGAAAAATACAAGATGGAAAAGATGATTGATAAGAGGATTAAAGAACACGATCAAGAACAGCATCAATTACAATTACATCAACAGCAACATCATAAGCAACAACAACAACAACAGCATGATTATCCCCATGGATCAACACCTAAAACCGATTTACATTTCGGATTTGATGAAGATACTTCTTCCTCATTAGGCAAAGATTCACAGGGCTTAGAAGGAGGACTCGAAGATACATTTTCCGAATACTCCATGACATCATCCGCCGTAGCTGCATTCCAAGGACAACTACCCATGGTCCGTTCAATAACTCAAAGCAAGGGTGGCAAAATAGGCGTTAACGGTAGTACGGGAGTTTCTGACGATATTTATGATTATGAAACAAACAGCAGTAGCATGTACAAGTCTTCCATCACTGAGGAATTGCCATATTTGAGAACAGCATTTCGTGCTGCCAAGAATTTTGAAAATGACGTGAGCCATTATAAACAAGAGGTTGGAGTTGCGACTGATGTCGGTGGCGATGACAATGGATCAGAAAAGGAAAATAGCGGGTCTGTATCTAGTTCACGTCGGAAACGGAAACAACAAAAGAAGCAAAAGAAGAAACAAAAGCAGCAATATGAAGAAGAAGGAGGCGAGGAAGATGAAGATGAAGCAAAATTGAAACAACCATTTTTCCACAAGGTCAACAACTTGCCCCAATCGTCACTATACGCCGAGAGTAAAATATTGCAACCACAAACGCAATTCTCGGCGCCAACCCCATTTTTGAATACCAATAGTTTATTAAGAACGTTGGGTATACAACCACAAGTTATTAATGTGCCTTATGAAAACACCATGCTGAATGGGCATAACAGCAATACGAAACAAATCGAAGCAGAAACAAAAGAACAGCATGAGAAGCATCAACTGCATCAACAAAAGTATTTACCCTTATCTGAAGAAAACGTTCTTCATTTAAGTCATGAATATATTGACTAGCTTTTTATAAGTCATTTGTGCTTATTTTCAATTCTATTTAATCCAACATATTTAAGGACCATATATATAAGGCTATATTGAACGGTTTTTTTGTCCTAATCAGTTTTTAGATGAAGCATCAGCATTGCATTTATACAATGCTTTAACAAACGATTCTCCCCAATACCCTGAAGTATATTTTGAAATATACTCAAACATTTTTTTAAAATTAACAGCCCTCTTCTCATTCGGTAAAGTTAAACTCTCCTTTATTGCATCACTTAAATCTTCAGTATTCCACGGGTTAACCACGATGGCTCCCGATAAACATTGAGCAGCACCAGCAAATTCCGACAAGATCAATGACCCTTTGCGCTGTTCTTGACAGGCAATGTATTCATAACTGACTAAATTCATTCCATCTCGAGTTGAACTGACCAAGCAAACATCACTGATATTGTATAACGAGAGCAATTCATTAAAGGGGATGGATTTATGCATGTAATGAATAGGCACAAATTCAACTGTGCCAAATTGACCATTGATTCGACCAACTAGTTCGTTGACCGTTGCTCTTAAACTTTGATACTCTTCAACATCGCCTCTTGAAGGAACAGCAACTTGAACAAGGACAACTTTGCCAATCCATTCGGGATTCTGTTGAAGGAAAATCTCAAATGCGTGTAACTTCTGTGGTACCCCCTTTATGTAATCTAATCGATCAACACCCACAATGACCTTAACGCCATCGAATTTCTTCTCCAATTGAGCCACACGTTGTTCAACTTCGGGTTTTTTCAACCCTTCAGTGAAGTTATCGACATCTATACCAATGGGGAAAGCACCGATGCTAACCGACCGATTCTCGTACAATATTCCATTGGGCAGTGTTTTGACATTGGGCACGATTCGTGATACCGAACTTAGGAAATGACGTGCGTAATCATAAGTGTGGAACCCAATCAAATCACAACTCAATACACCAACGAGAATTTCCTTCCTAACGGGCAAAATTCGGTATATTTCCGATGACGGAAATGGCGTATGCAAGAAGAACCCAATCCGGATATTCTTCTTCAGGTGGCCAATCTCCTGTCGCAACATTTCCGGCAACAACATCAAATGGTAATCGTGCACCCAAACCATATCGTTATCTTGCACTTGCTTCGAAATCTCAATGGCAAATTTCTTGTTGGCTTCGATATATGCAGCCCATGCATTTTCGTCGAAATTCATCTCACCTGGGTGGTAATGAAACAATGGCCACAATATGGAGTTACTGAACCCATTGTAATGCAAATCAGCTATAGTGTCAGAAAGAAAAATGGCAGTGCAATTGAACTTGGTCATCAAGTCATGGTTGACCTTGTCTTGTTCGTCTTCTGGTACTTCTAACCCAGGCCAACCCAACCATTGGAATTCAGTGGTTTTTTTCAAGCCCTGTAATGCTGTGACTAGTCCTCCTGATGACATGGAGTAATCATAGGACCCATCTTCTTTTCTTTTGATGGTGACTGGTAATCTATTGGAAACAACAAATACTTTACCTCCAACCATGATCTAGTGAATACTTTTGTGTGTAGTGCAAAGTGCAGGTGGCCAATTGAGTTAATAAGATAAATAGACTAGTACCGTTGAGTGCAAATCACAACCGATCTAGTAGTTTAGGTGTAAAAAAGACAATCTTGATAAAAAGAAATCAGATAGCAAATGAGATCCGTGTGCCTCTCGGTAGTTTTAAATAATAAGTTTTTTTTTTGTTTAATTAAATTACTTCTGTGTAATTTCTCAAATGCTTTAGTTTAATCCTTGTTACATCTACAAGCATATATAGTTATTTGGGTCTTAGTAGCAACTTTAAAATAAAAACAACTCAAAAGTTTCAGGAGACAAACATACAGAAATAACAAAAGATCCAACAGCAATCATCACAAAGACAAAGGACTAAAACAGCCAACTCTCCTTATTGTACAGTTTATGATGTTTCACTTTTTTCTGCCTCGTGGCGTGGGAAAAAAACAGAACGTTTTGATTTAATGAACACGAAACGACTCAAATGCAATTAAGAGATCAATTCTGAAATGGGGGGAGGAGAGGTGTGTGTGGGTGACAAGTGGGAACAAGTGGGAGAGTGTCATTCACCTGTATTCTCAAAGTCGAGAGGGCTATACTTTTTACACCTTTTCGTCTGTAAGATATCTTTTTCACAGCAAAATAATGAATAATTGTTCTGGTAGCGTTTGCGGGAAACGGCGGAATTCATTCGCACTCTTTCTCTCAATTGTGAGGCGGTGTCTGTAAACTTTAGGGAGCACCAATCAGTGTATGATTTATGTTACCCATTTAGGAAGTCAAGAACCAACAACAAAACTTAACAGTGAAAGCAAAAACAGCGAAAAATACAACCAAATAGGTCAACGGAGATCAGGAACCAATAAGTCGTTATTACAACACTGTGACCCTATTTTGACCATGTCTAATCCTTATGGGTATGCAGCTGAATCATACCAGCCACCTCAAGCAAACTTACATCATCCACAACCTCAGTACACACAGCCAATTCCAACAGCCTCAGCAGGTGTACCAGGAACAGGAGCATCACAACCACCCCATGTTCAATCGCAACCAGGACAACCCCAGTTCAATAATTTCCTTAATGATCCTGCTGCTGCTCTAGCTTCACAGTTTGCCAGATCTGGATTTCAGCAATCAAATCAATATATTCAAGAAAACTTTGGATCTTTTTCTGGTGATATCAAATACTATTTTCAAGTTAGCAACTCTTATGTGTTGAAGAAGATTTTGCTTATATTGTTTCCCTTCCGTCATAAGGACTGGACAAGAATATTGGCGAAAGATAATGGATTGGGCCAGTACTTGCCTCCTTCTTATGATGTTAATGCACCTGATTTATATATCCCCATTATGTCATTTGTCACTTATATCTTATTATGGGCTGCTTTCCAAGGTCTTGGTGGTGGTTTCCACCCTCAATTGTTTGGCTATCTAGCATCTCAAACTTTGGCATTTGCTGTATTGGATGTGGTTATATTCAAGATGGGATTATATTTATTAAATTGTTCTCAGATTAAGATTTACGACATTATCAGTTTTTCAGGCTACAAGTATGTTTCCATCGTGGTTGTATTGTGCTTGAAGCATACTATTGGCCAATATTTAGGGTGGGCCTATTATTTGATTGTGTTGGGGTTCATTCTTTGTTTATCAGTGTTCTTAATGAGACTGTTGCGGTATATCATCTTGCCACCAAGTACTGGAAATGCTGTCAGTAACAACACGGTGGTTACTAGCACACAAAGGAAGATGAGAATACAATTCTTGTTTGTTTATGCTGTGATTATCCAAGGTTTAATATTCCTTTATATGAGTAAGTAAGTAGGAGAAATTTAGCAGGGCATAGAATAGAATAAGGGGAGAAAATAAGTGTATATTTATAAATAAACTAGAAAACAGGAGGGTTTGTAGACTTGAAGGGGATGGGTACCAAGAGCGTCTCATGTATATAGTTTCATGGTAGCGGCATAGTATCAGTGTGTTCCCACTTCATTGACTATATTGATAGTCTACATCCTTGGCAAGCCTGAACCATTTAATTCGCTATAATAGTTTCAAGAGACCAATTCAATAGTACTGGTTACTACTGCTTAGATGTGTGCATCTTTCTTTTGTTCCCATAGTCACTGCTCTCTCTCTCAATCTTTTTTGCAACACGACGCGTCTCTAGAGAATTTTTTTTTTATGTTCTCTCTCCTCAAAGTATAACATTAATATTTTATTATTCTTTTGTTTTCCCTCTTCTAATGGGTTGCAAGGAATTCAAATTGATCAGTTAATATCTCCCACATACACATACACACAGTTGTTACTTCAAGAGAATTAACATCTATCTATTTATTAGCATACTGGAACACATCTCACTTTGTCATGTCTTCATCCAGACCAAACTTTAAAGGGTCAACCTCCGCTAGATTTGTCAAGAATGACAAGCGATCCAAATATCAAACTAGTCAATACAGGACTCGACAGCAACAAGAACCAGAAGATCCATACAAGGCCAACAACCCTATGCTTACAGATTCCATACAGAAGAAGGACTTGGTTTCTCGAATTGACGAAATGGATTCGCTAATGGGGTTTGACCGTTTTGAACACGGCGAAAATGACGGTAATAGACCCAGAAAAGGATGGTTGATCAATATGCACACAACAACAATACCTAGTGATAATTACCTAACGGGCTATTCTGGTGTCGACTACTACTTTTTAGATGAAGAAGGGGGCAGTTTCAAAGCTACATTACAGTATGATCCATACTTTTTTATTGAAACAATTTCAACTGGACATGAATCAGAAGTTGAAGAATGGATGAGAAAATTTTTAGAAGTGTGCAATGTCAAAAGCTTTGGACGCGTCACTAGGGAAGATTTATCACTACCGAACCATTTGCTTGGATTGAAAAAGAATCTTGTTAAATTGACATTTCATAACATACAAGATTTGTTATCAGCAAGGAGGTTGCTTACTCCCCTTATAAAGGATAATCAAATGAAGCGGGAATCTAGAGATGTGTTTAATTTTGCTAAAGAGGTTGACGCATCAGATCCTTCACAACTAATCAATGACATAAAGGAGTATGATGTACCGTATCACGTTAGAGTCTCCATTGACAAGCAAGTACGTGTTGGAAAATGGTATCATGTTTATGCTAAACATTCTAAGATAGATATTGTTGAAGACAAAGACAAGGTGGTTTTCCCCGATCCAGTTGTGTTGGCATTTGATATTGAAACCACCAAAGCACCTTTGAAATTTCCCGATGCCAAAATTGATCAAGTCATGATGATTTCGTACATGATTGATGGAGAAGGGTTTTTAATCACCAACAGAGAAATCATTTCTGAAGATATTGAGGATTTCGAATACACACCAAAACCCGAGTATCCTGGATTATTTACCATTTTTAACGAGCAAGATGAGAAACATGTATTGATGAGATTTTTTGAACATATAAGAGATGCAAGACCAACAGTCATTGCTACATTCAATGGTGATTTCTTCGATTGGCCATTTGTCGAAAATAGAGCTAGATTCCACGATTTAGACATGTTTGATGAAATTGGGTTTGCAAAGGATAATGAAGGTGAATACAAGTCGAAATATTGTGTTCATATGGACTGTTTTCGATGGGTCAAGAGAGACTCCTACTTGCCTCAAGGTTCACAAGGTTTGAAGGCAGTTACCACCGCCAAGTTGGGCTATAATCCAACTGAACTTGACCCCGAGTTGATGACACCATACGCCTACGAAAAGCCCCAATTGTTGTCAGAGTATTCGGTTTCCGATGCTGTTGCTACTTACTACTTGTACTATAAGTATGTGCATCCATTCATCTTTTCATTGTGTACCATTATTCCTTTGAATCCTGATGAAGTTTTACGGAAAGGTACAGGAACCTTGTGTGAGATGTTGTTGTCGGTTCAAGCATATGAGAATAATATCTTGTTGCCAAATAAACATTCGGATCCAATCGAAAGGTTTTATGATGGTCATTTATTAGAGTCGGAAACATATGTTGGTGGACATGTCGAGTCACTAGAAGCTGGTGTGTTTCGTAGTGATATTGAGACCGATTTCAAGGTCGATCCAACCGCTATTGATGAATTATTAGGAAACTTACACAACTCAATTAAGTTTTGCATTGAAGTTGAAAACAATAAAAAGATGGAGGATGTAGAGAACTTTGATGAAGTATACAATGAAATCAAAGAGACGTTATTGGATATGAAAAACAATCCAGTGAGAAAAGAGGTGCCATTGATTTACCACGTGGACGTTGCTTCTATGTACCCCAACATTATGACATCAAATCGTTTACAACCAGACTCCATGAAATCGGAGGAGGATTGTGCTGCTTGTGACTTTAACCGACCGGGGAAAACCTGCGATAGGAGACTTCCTTGGTCTTGGAGAGGTGAGTATTATCCAGCAGAGATGAATGAATATAATATGATGAAGCGAACATTGCAAAATGAACAATTTCCAGGACAGAAGCCGTGGTTGCCGCCAAGAACATTTGATGAGCTTTCATATGCTGAGCAGGCCTCGGCTATCAAGAAAAGAGTTAGTGATTATTCCAGAAAAGTGTACCACAGAGTCAAGCAAAGTCAAGTTGTTACTAGAGAAGCTATCATTTGTCAAAGAGAAAACCCGTTTTATGTTGATACTGTGAGGAGTTTCAGAGATAGAAGATATGAGTTCAAAGGCTTGGCTAAAGTTTGGAAGGGGAAAGTCAACAAGATTGATCGGTCTGATAAAGCAGCAAGAGATGACGCCAACAAAATGGTGGTGTTGTATGATTCCTTGCAATTGGCGCATAAAGTCATTTTGAACTCCTTTTACGGGTACGTAATGAGAAAAGGATCCAGATGGTACTCGATGGAGATGGCCGGGGTTACTTGTCTAACAGGAGCAACAATCATTCAAATGGCAAGAGCATTGGTTGAACGTATTGGCAGGCCTTTGGAGTTGGACACTGATGGTATTTGGTGTATTCTACCAAAGAGCTTTCCCGAGAATTTCAATTTGAAATGCAAGGATGGAAAGAAAATCTTTTTGGAGTATCCATGTTCTATGTTGAACTATTTGGTTCATGAGAGATTCACCAATGACCAGTACCAGGACTTGGTTGACCCAGAAACATTCAAGTACAAGACCAGATCAGATAATTCCATTTTCTTTGAAGTGGATGGACCCTATAAAGCAATGATATTGCCCACATCCAAAGAAGAAGGCAAAGGTTTGAAAAAAAGATATGCTGTTTTTAACGACGATGGATCATTAGCGGAATTGAAAGGATTTGAATTAAAAAGAAGAGGTGAACTTCAATTGATTAAAAATTTTCAATCGGATATTTTCAAATTGTTCTTAGAAGGCGATACTTTGGAATCTTGTTATCAAGCAGTGGCCACAGTGGCCAACAATTGGCTTGATGTGTTGGATACAAAGGGAGGAATGTTGGAAGATGAAGATCTCATTGAACTTATTTGTGAAAACAGAAGTATGTCTAAGAGCTTGGCGGAGTATGGGGATCAAAAATCTACATCAATCACAACTGCAAGACGATTGGGCGAGTTCTTGGGAGAGGATATGGTTAAAGATGCTGGTTTAGCAACAAAGTATATCATCAGTGCCAAACCTATTGGTGCCCCGGTTACAGAACGAGCAATTCCAGTTTCTATCTTTTCGTCGGAAAAGAAGGAGATATTTATGAAGAAATGGCTAAAAGATCCGTCGTTGAATAAATTCAGCCCACGTGATGTCATTGATTGGGGTTACTACCACGAGAGATTGGCATCAGTCGTGCAGAAAATTATCACCATTCCTGCTGCGTTGCAAAATGTCAATAATCCAGTTCCTAGAGTACCTCATCCTGATTGGTTGAGGAAAAGGGTTGAAAACAGAGAAAGCTCTAAACAACAAAAGTCAATTGGGCAATTTTTCAATGCTGGAACCAAGGATGAAAATAAAGTTCAGGATATTGAAGATTTTGGAGAAATTGATACCGGCGCGGTCAAGGCGAAAATGAGTTCGGTTAGATTGAAAAAGAGGAAAGCGGCAAGAGCCAATTTGGTTTATGACTCTGAAGAGGAGGAGAAGCACCAAGCCATTTTGAATGGAACTTGCCCCGACATGACTCAAAATTACAGTGGTTTCTTGCTGTTTCAGAAAGCTAAATGGACAATGCAAGCATCAGGCAGAGAAAGAAGACGTAAACTCTTTGGGGCACAAGCTCAAAGTGCGCAAAGGTCAACCGTTGGTGGTATGATGAGAAAACAAGCAGAAAACATTGCTGGAAGCAATTGGGAGATTCTTGAATATAAACCTGATCCTATGAAACAGGGTGATTTGAAAGTTTACGTTTCAGCAGGAGAGAAAATCCACACATTCAATTTCCATGTGCCGAAAAAGATTTATGCTTCATTCAAGAGTCCTCTTTCTTTGAAACATGCTATTGCCGGTTGTGAAATTGAGAAATCAAATGCCATATTACCCAACTCGCATGATGCTACTAATTTGTACAAATTTGTCATGCCACAATCGGTCTACCAAGACCAAATAGCTGATGTCGATAGCGTGTTCCAAAGTTCAAACATATTGGGTATCTATGAGGCCAACGTTGAACCAATTGAACGAGCAGTGATTGATCTAGGAAACACAGTCAAATTTGACGATACCAAAGTGGGAGCTCTTGGTAAAGGATTGAAAAATGGGTTCAATACCAAAGAGTTGTCAAAGGTTGACAATGAGTCCTATTTGAATAAATTTGATATGGATGTGGTTTATCTTCTCCATATTGTCACCAATAGTTATGAGTACTATACAATTTTCAAATCCTGGGATAATCAAAGCACAATGTTTGTGTTAAAACCAACGGCAAATGCTCAAGAGTTGCCTAATAACATTTCAAAAATCTATGGAGAAGTGTTTGAAAATAAGCGGGAGAAATTGAGAAAGATGTCGCGCATTATTGACTATCCTGAAGAAATGGCTTTTGATGTGCTGTATTACCATGATAAATTGAAGTTGTTGAAAAAATTGAATCAAACAATCGGTAGAATTCATGAAAGTCGAAGCAATAAAGCTTTGTTGGCAATACAGTCACCATACATTTCAAAGATTACTCCTCTTTTAACTGCTGCTGCAGAATTCCCTACTATAAAAATGGCTATTAGTGAACTTACCCTTCCAGCAATTGGATGGCAAGTGTTGATTTCCAAACGAGTAATGAATCATTATTTTGCCTTGGCGTCGTGGATTAAAAATTTGATTGCGTTGTCAAAATACGGGAAAGTGCCACTTTGTAATTTGCAAGTTGAAAGTGTTGGATACTTGATTGATGTGGAATATGCCAGAAGGTTAACCGAGAACAATATTGTTCTTTGGTGGTCGCATAGCCCATTGCCTGATCATGGAGGATTTGAGATGGATAAAGTCATCACATCTGAATCATTGGAGTTCCCCACAATCAATAACCCTGAGATCTATGAAACTGCGTGTTTGGAAGTTGAAATTGGCACATTGACAATCAATACAATTTTGACCAGTTCGTTAATTAATGAGGCCGAGGGTACTGATTTGGCTGAAGATGGGGTGCAGTTTGATAGTAACAATGGTGCTTCCACGTTTGCTGAAGATTCGTTTTCCTCGCCAGCTCTAGCTATATTAAGAAACATGGTTAAAGATTGGTGGGATGATGCCCTTGGAAACAACGTAAATGCAGATTTTGTCATGAGTGCATTGATCACTTGGGTACAAAGGAAGGATTCGTTCTTGTACGACCCTTCATTGCATTATCACGTACACAATTTGAGTTCAAAAGCATTGTTGCAATTGGTTAGCGAGTTTAAGAGGATGGGAGCACAAGTCATATTCGCCAATAGAACCAGGATGTTGATCCAAACTACCAAAGTATCAGTTGAGAACTCTTATGCTTATGGACAATATGTCTTAAAAGCAGCTCGGTCGAAACCGCTTTTCAATTTCCTTGATTTGAAGATTGTCAAGTATTGGGACATTTTAATATGGATGGATGAATTCAATTATGGGGGACGCAATTGTAATGAGATTACGAGTGAGGAAACTCAAGATTTAGTGGTGGAGAATTATTGGCAAATTAAGAAGTTTCTCCCCATTGTGTTGCAAAATGAATTTGAAGATTGGGTATTTATCTTTTTGGATGCGTTATCTCAATACAAGATAAAAAACTTGACGGGTAGTGGTACTCAAATAGGTACTCCACGAGTGACGCAGGTTCTCCACATATTGAATGGACAAAAGAAGTTGCAAACTCAAGAAGTGCAGGAAGTTGATGATATTGAAAATGGAGTGGTTGAGATTTTTAGAAAGCCATTGCAAAAGAGAATTGAGAAATTATATCGCAAACAAATTGATTCAATAATTAATCCCGAATTTAAAAAGGAGTATGAATTTCCCAATTTACCTGGGTCTCATTTAACGTTGAAAAATCCAACTTTGGAATTGGTTAAATTCATTTGTGCTGTTTTCAGTTTATCGAAAAAGAGAAATATTGAAGTACGTTTACTCAAGAAGGAATTGTTGCAAATCTTTGACGTTAAGGAATTCAGTTCGCAGGCCAATTTCGTTAATCCAAGTACATCATTGAAATTGCCTCATGTTATATGTGACTATTGTAATCATATAAGAGATGTTGATTTGTGTCGTGACGAAGAAATAAATGTGTGGAATTGTACTTTATGTCATCGACCATACAACAAAATTGCCTTGGAAGAAGAGACAATCGCAAACTTGATGAAGTTGTTGACAGATTTTTATAATCAAGATTTACAATGTGGTAAATGTGGCAGTATTAGAAAGGGCAATTTGGATTTATTTTGTTCGTGCTCTGGTAATTGGACTGAGACTGTTAGTCACGTAGATGTTGATCAAAGGGTGCATGTGTTTGCTAATGTTGGTAAGTTTTACAATATGCAGCTTTTGAAAGGTGTTTTGGAGGAGCTTATGTAGAGTAATGAGAAAGTTAGTAACTAGAATAAACAAATATTTTGCATCAATAGAATCTTTGTGTGAAAGTAGAAGGGGAAAAAAAATACTCTATGTCAACAAAGCACCGCAAGGGTCTTTTCTCCAGCCATGAGTTTGACTCAACAAGAACTTACCGACCTCAAATCAAAAATAAAAGAACGGGACTATGAAATAACCGCCCTCAATGCATTCATCAATTGTGACTCGCGTCTATCTTCACTGTGTATACTAATCAATGGTTTCAAATCAGTGGGTAAATCACTCGTGGTGACGACATTTCTTGAAACGATGGATTTAAATCATACAATTGTCGCCTGTGACGAATGCGTCTCGAAGCAAATGCTACTTCAGCGGTGTTTCACGAGGATACGAAAAGATGCTAGTCATGGTGTCAGTGGTGGAGGAGATCTCAACGTGTCGAAACAGGATGAGTTGGCGTTAACGCTGGCGATCTCGGATCAATTTGCCACGTTTTTGGCATCATTGGAGAGCTTGTTTTATATGACGGAGTACCTGGCCCATCATGTATTGGTATTAGATCGATTCGATGAATGTTTAGAAAATTGTGCCGAATTCATATCGGCATTTGCTAAAGTGAGAGAATGTTCAGCCGTGCAAAACTTGACGGTGGTTGTGGTGATGAGCAGTGGTGTACCTCGACAGTGTGTCACGTTGACTAATCCAACAATTGAATTTAAACCCTATAGTGAAGACCAAGTGGTGCGCATATTCCAGGATGGTCAATTATGCGAATTGAAAATGATGCAGGAGGAAGGAGACGGAAAGGAGAAGCAAGTCATGACTACTGAGTTACAGAAGAGGGAGTTTTACAACCAGTATGTGAAGTTTGTCGTTGATCTGTATTACCTGTACACGGGTTCAAATATGATTATGTTGCGACACTTGATTGTGAGCTTATGGGATAGATTTATCGAACCTTTGCGATTGGGCTTGTACTCGATTCACGAAGTGGTGAAAGTTTTTAAACATAATATTGACTTGTTCACCAATGACAAAATCATTAGTAATTCATCGATACCCGACTACAAGACCCTCCACGATGATGATGAAAACCAAGAGCAAGAAGACGGAGCGAATGGAATAAATGGTGGTGTTGCTGTTGGTGAGGGTGGTGAGGAAAAAGTCGGGTTGGGTAATGTTCAAGATTTACCCTACCATTCCAAATTCATTCTCCTAGCGGCGTATTTGGCTTCATACGGCAACCAGCGTAACGACTTGCACAAGTATTCTAAAGTCAAAGTAGTCAAGTATAAGAAACGGGCTAGCAGAAAACCAAAGCTCAACAATGGATCGTCGTTGCATTTAAGTAAAGATGACATCGATTCCCGTATGTTGACGGCAAACTACGTCGACTTGGAGCGCATCTTGGCCATATTATCAGTAATATACCAGCACTCATCTGTGACATTGAACCAATCAGACAAGCACGACCTCTTGTACTTGGGTGATGAAATTGTTGATTTGGAAAATAAAAAACAGGTGGAGAAATCTAATTTTACCCTTACGCAAAATATTGATTTGAATTTACAAATTGCTACATTGTACTCATTGGGTTTTTTAAGCAAGACGAATAATTCGGATATTTTGGCGGCGAGAATTAGATGGAAGTGTAATTTGGATTGGAATATGGCGGAAGCTATTGCTAAATCCGTCAATTTCCCCATTTCTGATTTCTTAGATGATGATTGAAAAGAGAGAATCGAGGGATGAAGGTTGCTGCTGCTGCTGCTGCTGCTGTTGTTGTTGTTGTTGTTGCTGTTGCTTGACTAAAAAGTTATATCTTGTATATGTCTAAATGCACTTTCACCAACTTTACGTACTTCGACCCCGTTTTCAAAATAATTTTGTTTCCAATGCTTCATTTCGTATTGCGAATATGGCCCATTTATGGTGTTGGCATCATCATTTAGCCATTTGAATTCCCATATTTTTTCTCCGTAATCTACCTCGTCCTCAAGGGGATCTTGTTCTTCTTGCAATTCCAGATATTGGTCTTCTTGTTGTTTCCCACTTGTGTCGGGAACCTCATCATCTCGTGGCCGTTTTAGTCCCAGACCTCTGGCTGCTGATCGCTTGTATTCATGGCCAGTGAGAGTTTGATATTTTCTCATGAACTCCTCCCTTGTCATATCATACACATCATTATCAAAATGCAACTTTGTTTCATTTTTGACTAATATCGAACAAAAGTTTGTGATTTGAGATACACTTTGTTTAGCAATTGACGAATCTAGTTGCTTCTTGTCTTTTGGCTTTTGGCTTTTCTTGCTCTTCTTTGTCAGCTTAAGCTGAGTATTTAGTCGAGCTAATGCTTCCATTGGCGTTTCAACCGGCTCTAATGCCTCAATTAAGGAAGCAAGTACAGATTCAATCGGGTCCAAGTTGATGCTTCTCCCTGAACTAGACTCATCAGCATCTTGTTGTCGCTTAGCTTGAGCTAGTTTGGCTTTACGTATATCTGATTTAGTAAACTGTGTAGTCCATGCATCTTCATCTTGAGATTCATCCAGGTCGGTTCCTGAGTGTTTGTTTGATACGTAATCGCCTAGTTTATTGAAGTGACCCTCTCGTTCTTCTTGATCCATGTTGAATGCTTCAATCTTTGGTTGTTGTCGTTTTTTGCCCTGTTGAGAAGTGGTAAACTCTTCTGCATTGATGTAGTAGTCGTTCCTATCTTCATCTTCTTCTTCTGGTTCCAGTTGAGATTCATCGTTGTTGTTAGAATTGTCACTTGATTGGGACAGTAGATGTATAGTTTGGTTATTATTGGAGAACTGAACTTTTTTGGCCTCGTTAGTAGATTCGATTTCGTTGTCGTTATCACTGGCAAACATGTCATCATCATCATCATCATCTTGATGTAGTTGTAGTTGTGGTTTCCGTGTTGGTTCTTTATCATCCTCACTGGAAAACATGTCATCTTCACTTTCATTTTGGTTTGCAATGGGGTTGTTGATTATTGCAGTCAACTTCGTATTGTCGTCTTCTCCTTCGTCGGATGAAATATCGGAACTATCATCTGAGGGATTATTTTCTTCAAGATATACACCATTCCCATTGACACTGTTTATATGGTCATCATCAAGGTCGTATTTTGTAACGTGTCGTAGACTCATTGTTTACTGAGTAGTAATGGTAGTAGCAGTAGTGATAATAGTAAATCGAAATAAAACTGATAAAAAAATTCCCGCGCATAATAATCATCGCAAAATTCGAGAGAAGGAGGTCAGTTCACCAAGAGAAATAAAACACACAAATGACTGATTTGGATATAGATATAGATATAAATACGGATGAGGTACTAAACATAGAGCAGGAGCAGTACCAAATAGGTTATCAAGAAGGTGTTAAACAGTCAGCTCAACAACAATATCTCGAAGGTAAACAATATGGTTATCAAACGGGGTTTCAACGGTTTTTGATTGTGGGGTATATCCAAGGACTAATTAAAGAATGGGATGATAATTTGGAGAATTATGGAAATAATAAGTCGGTGATAAATGGACATCTACAGCAATTGAAAGGGTATGTAGGGTATAATGATGGTGGTGGTGATAAATTGCTGATGAGTAATGATGAACAGTCAGTTGCTGATTATGAAATGAAGTTGAAGAAAGCTAGGAATAAATTGAGAGTGATTTGTGGAATAGTTAAGGAGAGTTGGAAGGTTAATGATTTAGATAAATTGATGGGAGAAGTTGGTGGGTCAATGCAAGTTAGTGAGAATGTCGATGATATGTGGTAGAATAGATGGAAAACACATGAAAGTAAACAGTATGAAACAAAGATAGAAGGCGTGGTTCCGAGTTACAAGTCCGATTTCAAATTCTCCTGTCTGTGAAGGAGAGACGTTATTAGAGGTCCTTTAGTTCTTTTTGAATTATGGACAACGTTGAAGTGCAACTCTCACGAAGTAACAGAATACAAGAGAGTTTAATGTGGCTCTTTCTGTGTGGCTAGAGCTAATTGACATAGCTTTCTGTGTGTCTGTCTGTGTGTCTGTCTGTGTGTCTGTCTGTGTGTGTGTGTGTATTGGATGGTATTTTTTCCATTAAGGATATATGTTCCTGTTAGGACTAAGTAGGACTATGATATGTTGGTGCTATACTAAATATCTGTCCTAGTTAGTATAGAATTACGATTGAAGTTAATGTAAAGTAAATCAAACGCATCTAGACTAAAAAGGGGAAGAAACAAAGCGGTAATACTAATAGTAACACCAATAGTATTTATTTACATTGTTATTGCTTTTGCCGTTTCAAATGCCGATAAAACAAGAGTTGTGTTAATACTAACTGTGTTGCATTTCCTTTTAATTGAAATGCCGAGATACAAAAGAATAATAATATCAATGGTAAATTTCTCCGATACTGACTCCGTTCTTGTGGTACCTCTGTAAATACTATCCCCTTCCAAGTGTGTTTTGTTCAGATTGGGGAAAAAAAAACCCCTAGTGTGGCTGTAACCAAGTGTGGAAAGGGGTCATGTAAATTTCATTTGAAACACAATCAACAAAAAGGCAGTTTTGTATGAGTAATGTTTTGGTAAACACGGAATAAGTCGGAATATGTGTAGAAGAGTAGGATATTAGTTCTACTCTAAATAGGGATAGAGATACGTGTCTTTAGTGTGTTTTAGTGTGTTTTAGTGTGTTTTAGTGTTTCTAGACACGACAATGAGTGGTAGCCATGATAAAGGTATAAGGCTTAGTTGGGTGGGTGTCTGTGTATTGTGTATTGCATGTACGGTGTATGGTTAGTTAACATACGGATTTTAGTATTAAGAAAAAAAGTCGGGAAAAAGAAATAGTAATCTCCGTGTAACAAAAATAAAAAGAAAGGACAAAAAGTAAATTCCGTTCCTTTTACTTTTCTTTCTCAGAACAGTACTACTACTACTACTACTACTACTACCACCACCATAAATTTTTACACATGTCTAAGTATTGTCTAAGTTCTTATCCACATCATAAGATGTATGTCTATGCAAGTATGAAAAGTGAAGTATGTGGAAATATATATTTTTTGGATGGCAATAACAGAAGAAGAAAATAGATTTTTTTCTTCACGTAATATAATAATACACAAACACCATAAAGAAGTGACGAAATTCCGTCAACAAACAATGCACACATATACACCCCTAAAACCGACCATTACGACTACTGCTGCATGGGCTATATGTATAGCGGTCTAATATATTACTACTGCTAGTTAGTTAAATTAGTACTTTTGGAGCCGTATGTCTAGCTGTACTCAGCAGACACGCTAACAGATCACTAACAACAACAACAACAACAACAACTTGAGTCATCAAAAACAAAAGAAAAATCAAAAACAACCAGAAGCCGTACAACCACAAACAACCACAAAAGTATCAACTATAAATAGAACTACAAAAGACCTCCTCCCCCCTCTTTGTTTTAAAGAAACCAATCACATCTCAACTCAAGTCACTAACACTACTACAGCTACTACTACAACTACAACTACAACTACAACTACAACTACAACTACAACTACAACTATAATGGATGACTCGAGTTTGGAGGTTGGTAACGACTTGTACAAACCACAGAAACGTATTTTAACATTTTTATTCCGCAACAAATTCTATCCTATACCTAGAGATGAGGAACGAACAATATACCCTGAACAATCTAGCAACATCCTATATCGAGTGCTTTTTTGGTGGGTATCTCCGTTGATGACAGTTGGTTATACAAGAACACTACAACCCAATGACTTGTGGATCTTAACTGATGATATGAAGGTTGAACATTTCTACAATTACTTTGTCACTTATTTGGAAGTAGAAACTGAACGAGCTCAATTGAACCACATTGCCAACAAGTGCAAACAACGAGATGAAACTGTTGAAACATCTACCAAATCTCGTGAAGAGGACTTGCAAGATTTTGTCCTATCACCCATGAACATTGCCACAATCTTGTTTCTTACATTTAAACGGAAAATTTTAGTTAGTTTGATTCTTGCCATCTTTGCTTTAAGTGGCATTGCTTGTTCGCCTTTATTGACTAAACAATTGATTAGTTTTGTCGAGAAAAAGAGTTTGGGAGTACACACAAACATTGGTGAAGGGATTGGCTATTCTCTTGGGGTTGTTTTCATGATGCTTTTCAGTAATCTATTGTTCAACCATTTCATGTACATTGGTCAACTGATGGGTGCCGAAATTAAAGCTTTATTAACCAAGGCCATTTTAAACAAAGCCTTCAAATTAAATGCTGAATCTCGTCACAAATTTCCTCAAAGTAAATTGACCAGTATCATCACCACTGACTTATCGCGAGTCGAGATTGCTTGCATGTTTCAACCTTTGTTGTTATGTCTTCCTGTTCCTATTGCCATTGCCATTGTCATTTTGGTGGTCAACATTCGAGTTTCAGCAGTTATTGGTATTGTTATCTTTATCATCTTTTTGGGTTGCATTTCATTTGGAGCTAAAAAGTTGTTTGCTTATAGAGATGCAGTCAGCAAAATCACCGATAAACGAGTCAATTTCATGAAGGAGATTTTAAACAATTTGAAAATGATTAAATTTTACTCCTGGGAACATCCTTATCATGAAAATGTTCGCAAAATCCGTGGTCAAGAAGTGGATATGATTTTGAAGATCCAAACTTTAAGAAATGTTATTTTTTCATTGGCAATGACATTGACAGGTATTTGTTCAATGATTGCATTTGTTATATTGTATGCTATTCAAGGTTCAACTAGTAGTCCAGCCAAGATGTTTTCTTCGGTGTCAACATTTGAAATTTTGGGATTGATGGTGTTTTTCATTCCTCAAGCCTTGTCTACTACTGCCGATATGATTAATGGGTTTAAACGGGTTGGTGCAGTGTTGTCGGCTGATGAAGATGAGCCTTATGAGGGATACCATGAGTTGAATGATCGAGATGATAAAAAGGCAATTGCATTGAGAGATGCTAGCTTCAACTGGGCTGTGTTTGATGATGAGGAAGAGAAGGAGGAGGAGAAGCAAAAAGAGGAGGAAGAAAACAAGAAGAAGAAGAAGAAGAAATCAAAGAAGTCAAAGAAAGATTCCAAGAATGAAGCCACCGCCGACTCAATTGATATAGAATTAAACCAAATCCAATCCGCAAACAAGAGTGATAACAAGAAAAAAGCTGATGACGAAGAAACATCAGCTTTCCCTGGTTTAAAGAATATTGATTTGACCATTCACAAGGGTGAGTTTGTTGTCATTACTGGGTTGGTTGGTTCTGGAAAATCTTCCTTACTTAACGCCATTGCTGGGTTTATGTCTTGTGATTCTGGTGTGGTGGACATTAATGGATCTTTATTACTTTGTGGTGCACCTTGGATTCAAAACAACACAATCAGGGAAAACATTGTTTTTGGTAAACCATTTGATCAAAAGTTTTACGATGAAGTTATTTATTCTTGTGCATTGAATATCGATTTAGACATATTGGAAGGTGGTGACTACACTGAAGTGGGAGAAAAGGGAATCACCTTGTCAGGTGGACAAAAGGCGAGAATCAGTTTAGCACGTGCTATTTATGCTAATAAGGAGATTATTTTAATGGATGATGTCTTGAGTGCGGTTGATGCCAGAGTTGGAAAGCATATCCTCAATAATTGTTTCTTGGGTCTTTTGGCAGGCAAGACTAGAGTTTTGGCAACTCACCAATTGTCTTTAATTGGCCAAGCCGATCGAATCATATTCTTAAATGGAGACGGGTCAATTGATGTCGGTAAAATGGATGAATTAATGGAGAGGAACAAGGATTTCAACCATTTGATGAAGTTTAGTAAACTCGAAGATGTCGAGGCCGAACTTGGGGAAGAAGAAGGGGATGTCATTGAAGAGGTTGATTTGGGTAATAAAGAAGCAATAAATCAAAAGACAGAGTTGGTTCCAGCATATCTGAATCGAGTCAATGATACAACTCAAGAATTGACGAGACGGAAAACTACCTATAAGTCTGACAGTGAAAATAGTGAAGATTATTATAATGATGATGGTGAGTACAAGGACTACAACTTAAACAAGGATGCATCCAAGGGTAAAATCATCACCGAAGAAGAGCGGGCGGTTAATAGCATCAAATTTGATGTTTACAACAAGTATTTGAAATATGGTGCAGGGAAATTGACCCCATGGGGTTTTTTCGCCATTTTTGCATTTCTTCTTACCCTTGCCACATTCTGTGATATTTTCACCAACACATGGTTATCGTTTTGGATATCTCAGAAGTTCCCCGGAAAGTCTAATGGATTTTATATTGGATTTTACGTCATGTTTAATATCTTATGGGTCATTTTCTTGACTTGGACATTTGTGTTTTTCATCCATGGAACGACAGTTTCTTCAAAACATTTGAATTTGATGGCGATCAAGCGGATTCTTCATGCACCCATGTCGTTTATGGATACGACACCAATGGGACGGATTTTGAATCGGTTCACCAAGGATACCGACGCTTTGGATAACGAAATTAGTGATAATTTGCGTCTTTTGTTTACTGCAATTGCCAAAATGATTGGAGTGTTTATTTTGATTATCATTTATTTACCATGGTTTGCTTGTGCCATCCCGGGAATTTTCGTCTTGTTTTTCTTGATTGCCAATTTCTATCAAGCGTCGAATCGAGAAGTTAAGCGGTTAGAGGCTATCTTGCGATCGTTTGTATATAACAATGTTAATGAAGTATTGAGTGGTATGAATACCATCAAGGCATATAAAGATGAGTCGAGGTTTGCCGAATTGGGTGATTTATTATTGAACAAGGCTAATGAAGCGTCGTTTGTTGTTAATGCTAATCAGAAATGGTTGGGTATTCAATTGGATATGCTTGCCGAGATTATAGTGTTGATTGTGGCCTTGCTTTGTGTTAACCGAGTTTTTTCTATCAATGCTTCTGCCGTGGGGTTGTTGATGACGTATACGTTGCAAGTGGCTAATGAGTTGTTGAATTTGGTGCGGACATTCACATTGGTTGAAAATGATATGAATTCAGCCGAGAGGATTATCCATTACGCATTAAAAGTTGACCAAGAAGCACCCTATGTTGTTGAATCGAATAAGCCACTGGCCGATTGGCCGCAATATGGAGGTATCGAGTTTTCTCATGTCAATATGAAGTATAGACCTGGTTTGCCACTAGTATTGAAGGATTTATCGTTAAAGATTGCCCCCATGGAGAAAATTGGTATTTGTGGTAGAACCGGAGCCGGTAAATCATCAATCATGACTGCATTGTATCGAATTTCTGAATTAGACGATGGTCAAATCTTCATTGATGATGTTGATATTTCAACAATTGGATTACAAGATTTACGATCGCATTTATCCATCATTCCACAAGATCCCGTGTTGTTTAATGGAACAATCAGATCCAATTTGGACCCATTTGGCGAACAAGAAGATGAAGTGTTGTGGGAGTCGTTGCGTCGGGCAGGTATACTAACTGCTGAGGAGATTGTCAAAGCTAAGACCAAAACCAAATCTAACACCAAATCGAAATCGAAATTGATTTCCGACGATGAAGAACTACCTAAGTTCCATTTATACCAAACGGTTGAAGACGAAGGAGAAAATTTTTCCCTTGGTGAACGACAATTGATTTCATTTGCTAGAGCATTGGTGCGTAATGCCAAAATCATCATTCTTGACGAGGCGACCTCGTCAGTTGATTATGGAACTGATGATAAGATCCAAACCACTATTGCCACCGAGTTTAAACAGTGCACCATCTTGTGTATTGCTCATCGATTAAAGACAATTATCAATTACGACAAGATTTTGGTTATGGATAAAGGGTCAGTTAGAGAATTTGATACGCCTTGGAATTTGTATAATTCGCCAGGGAGTGTGTTTAGAGAAATGTGTGACAAGTCTAATATTGTTGAGGATGATTTCAGGAGAAAGTGAGTGATGGAACGAAAGGTGGAGAAGGTTTAAAGCTTTACATAGAGCTATTGTCTTGCTTTTTTTTTTTTTTGCATGTTTATATAGATTAAAAATGTGAATATTTATTTTTTTTTATTTCATGTTTTCTTTTTCCTTGTTTGTTCTGATTATGCCTAAGGAAGTTAGTAATAGGGGTATTTGTCTCTTTTGTAGCTGATTGCATTCAAAGCCCTTCTGGTTCTGGTTCTGGTTCTGTTTGTGTCTTATGCAATGGTCAAGAAATTAGCCGCGACAAACAATAGGCAATAGGCGTGTACAAAACAACAATTTCTTTTATTTTCTTGCTGCAAAATAACAACATACTTTCACTTCTTTATTAAGCCACCCCAAACCAGGTGCGATTCGCACTCATTGGAAATATATATATATATATATATATAGGATGGGATATTACTTCCACTACACTAAAATACAACGTAAGTTTGCAATGTTGAGAGGGGGTAGTTTAAAGAACCAGACAAATTGGTTTAATTCTATCTTCATATATTAGGTTTAGCATAGAACAATGATTATCCTATATCTTTCAAGATAGGCAGAGATGGGTTTATTGATTAAGTTTCAAGAGTTGTACTTCATTTAATGATTTTTATTGTGACTGCTTTTTGGCCTTACAGTCCGATTGTAGTAATCTGGACCCCCAACTATTGAATTTATCAAAATGCAATTACGACACATTTGACTTTGTCTTCTATAGGAAATAGGGAATAAGCCATCTTTGTGGTGTGGTGGGTGTTTTGTGATGTAGTTAATTCTACTGTGTGTATATATATTATTATATTTCAGACGGTCCTTGTGACACTTTATGAGTTTAATATTGACTGTTTCAAGCACCCACCATTATTATTGTTTGAGGCAAAAAATATTGGACGAAATTCTTTGTCACTATGCAATTGAAGGTATAAGCAGTAAAGGAAAGGGACTCCTTTGGTGACTTCTCTGCCTTTTATATATTACATTCAAGTCTCTTTTTGGTTTTACTTGACTTTGAAAAACTTAATATGAACCAAGTTGATAAGAAACAAGAAGGAAATCACACCTCAACTGACCCCACTTCCAATTTCATTACTGACCAAGAACTGGAAAATGTGACCCAAACAACACTGGTTGAAAGAGCATACCAGCTGCAGTCATTGGCGTGTCCTCCTCTAGAAAAAATCCGAGACTTCCAGCATAACAAAACATTACTGGACCTCATTTTGGCACAACCACCAACACCTAACCAAACAAGCAGTGAATATGCCAACCCACAAGATTCAACGTTTTCATTCAGAAGTACAATTAATTCAAGAGCCGAGCAACAGCTTCTTGATAAATTTGACCGAGAAGTCATGACAAATCAAGTTGCTTTAGCATCACTTTCAAAATTGAAAATTGAAACTAGGGATAAATACTTGTACCAAATGAAGCGATATATTAGATTCTGTGCTAATAAAGGCTTGGACAACTTCAATGTGACATTGTCCTTAGTGCAAGAATTGATTGAATTTGAAGTTTTGAAACGAGGAAGTTTGACTGAAAATACCATTCGAAGTATTCGTTCCCCCTTAAATAAATTAAGCTTTATGAATAAAATTGTTTATGGTGATCAACAACCAAATGAAATTCTAGGCGATCTATTTATGCAGAACATGATGTCAATGTTACAACAAGACAAGTCAAGCAAGGATGATGATGGAGAGGAGAAAGAAGAGGAAGATGATGAAGGGGAAGATGCAGTGTCCAAGATTAGTAACAGAAGTGGGCTAATTGTGTTGACTGATCAAACACCATTATCAAGCGCGGATTCAAAGACTCTTTCATTAACAACAATGACAAGTTCGGTGGGGGCAGAAACTTTGGGATCTTTACAGAAGGGGAGTAATTACCCCCAGACTGCATCCAATTTAGGCAAACCTGAGACAAATAAGGATTCCTCTTTATTATTATTATCAAGTACATTAAACAACCCAACTACAAACACCAACGCATTCAGATTAAGTGGAAACTCAAAGCATCGACTTTCAGAAAATGAAGAAATACTATTACGCAAGTTTGATAAAGAAATTCTCGATAATGTGAAAACCAAAGACATTTTATCCAATTTGACAGGAAAAACATTTAAAGCATATGCCACAGATATCAAACGATTTATTAAATATTGTGCTCGAAAGGGTAAACTGGATTTCCTAATTAATGATGACATCTTAACAAGGTTTTTGTCTTTCCAAACTAGTAAAAGTGGTAATCGGAGGTATAATTTGAAAAATACAAGAACTAGTTTATTAAAATTGCATCAATTGAACTGCTTGGCTTATGATTTGGAATATTCTGAAGGTGATATTGTCCTCACGTTGAATAAATTTTTGAATGCTAATAATAGTAATACCACCACCAATGAGTTGGCAACAGAGCAAGTTGTGTTGGAACAAGATTTAAAAGACGACGGTGATCCTTTGGTTACTAAACTACAACCATATTATCAAACATCAAACATCCTCCATGGCCTCTCTGATCAAAGCAAGAAATTATACGCCAGTGAATTCAATCGTTATGCATTATTTTGTTCACAACAAGGAATGCAGCATTTCCAATTAACAGGGGATCTCATTAAGGAATATTTCATTAGTGACGTGATTGCTCATACACCAACTATATCGACAAAGAAGTTGAAAGAGATTTTAAGTCGATTGAATCGATTACATACGTTGAACATTGAAATTGATCCCGAACATACCCCAAAACAAATTGAAAATATTCAAGTGGTTAAAGATTTCCTCAGTGATTATACTTCGAAATCGCATTCTGATTCACAACAAGCACAGGCCAGTAGTGGTGGTAATGGTGGGAATGGTGGGAATGGTACAAGCAGCTCCAGTACTAGCAGAGGTGGCAATGGAAATGGAGCTGATACACTTTCTGGTGCATCAACATCAGGTTCATCCATCAGTTCAGGCTTGCCTCAATTACACTTTTCCAATAATCTAACAGCAACACTTACTGGCCTGCTGCTGCTGTCATCAGAGCAGCCAAGTAGTGGAGAGTTGCCAAGTTTAGTAATGAGAAAACCGTCAACACAAATTGTTCCCAAGTCGAGGTTACGGTCATCTTTCCAGTCCTATAGCTCTAGACAAGAATTCATTGGCACTACAAGTGAAGGGAGTTCAAGTGGTAATGGGAAAGAAAAAACTAAGAATCTCAGTATCGAAGAAGTAGCTTCCCGACGGTTGGAATTAGATGAAGAGCATGACAACTTGGGCAAGTTGGGAAACTTGTATGAAAATATTGATAGTTATGAGAATGTCCTTGATAATGATGCAATTGAAAAACGTGGCAATACTCAAAGTAGCTACCGTAATGTCAAACAAGATGAGGTAAATATCCATGTTAATAGAGACGTTTCTGAATCATCATCATCATCATCGTCGTCGTCGTCATCGTCATCGTCATCGTCAAAACGTCAAAAAACCATAGCATTGCCCGAGACCAATGACTCCATTCCCAAATTCGTCATGAATAAAGATATAGAATCTGTAACTCAATTGGTTGAAGAATGGACCTTGATTATAAAGCGTAATGCCAAATATGGTTTAGCGTGGATTAAAACCATGAATGATTTACAATATTACAATAATCGCAAATTGATCATTTCATTAATGGAGGAAATTGTACCAACAATGAATGAAGGTGATAAAGAAGAAGGTAAAAACTCGGATAAAGAGTTGTTGCTTGGGGATAGTGCAGGAAGAGAGAGTGAATCGAACTTGTTTGAACTTGCACTCCTATTTGACCAATATCTTAAACGTAAGAATTTAACCATTGATGATTTGATAAAGAGGATTGAAAAGTATCCCAGTTACGTCAAGCGAGAATTTTTAAGAATCTTATCGAGGAGGAAATCGACTAGTGGTGTTTCCAGTTCTACTCCTATCGGTAGTCTTTCATCAACCGGTTCATCATTGGTGTCTAGAGGTAAAGACCAACCATTGTAATGGAATTTAAAGTATGTGAACTCTTTCATTGTCGTTGTCATTATTGCTATTAATAAGTACATCGTCTCTTCAAGGTTAATCTGACTGGCTGTAGTAGGACACAATTGTGTTTCTGGATCATTTACTACAATGATTGATGCTAAATGTTTGGTATGAAAATGAACCAATCAGAGAGATTTCCGATGTCATAAGTCTTAATGTCGCAAACTTTCAATTGATTGACTATGAGGGAATTTCGCCTCTTTTTGCGACATCCACAGTTTCTATTTTTATTGCGCTTTAAATCTTTAATTAATAATCCATAAAACCTTTCACCACCACCATCTGCTAAGTTACCCTAAAGTTTTACCCAAAATCAAGAGTTAAACAAAAAGTCACTTGCTTGTTCTTCCTCTTTCTCCACACACGCAAACACACACACTATCTAACTATGCCACACAAGTACCATTTCGACGTCACCATGTCCTGTTCCGGATGTTCTGGAGCTATTGACCGTGTATTGAAAAAACAAGATGGTATATCCAACTACAACGTCTCTTTAGAGAACCAATCTGTTGATGTTGAAACTGACAAGGATTACGACACGATTTACAATGTGATTCAAAAGACTGGTAAAAAGATCAATGGTGGTAAAATTGTTAGTTAATCTTTGGTAGGGGATTAAAATCCATTTAGATTTTTGTTATGGGACTCTAGTTTAAATGCTTTTTCGTTTTTATTATCTAGATATCAGGGACTATTTAATGTATATTTACTCAATGCAGCTATATCGTCATTGTGTTAGCTCATGTTTCTAAATTCAATAATCTCATTAATGTAATTATCGCGAATTTCACTTGGTATGAATATACTCTTGATGATAGTAACCAATTCATCGGTAGTTAAATCAAACAACTCTCCCTGATAAAACCGATCCATTATATCCTTCAAATGGTTATTCAATAAAAACTTGACATTGTTCAACTTGCTAAACGAATCGATTGTGTCTTTAGTTAATCCAGTCTCGCCTAAAAATGGCACAGTGATATTATTCAAATTGTCAATCAAAAGACTGTACAACACACATTGTTGTTCACTTATATCTTCAATAGTGGATATCAACTGTAATAGCCAATTATTGGCAAAATCAACCAATTCAATAACCAATTGTTGAAATTTTTTAAAATTGGTTTGACGAAATTGTTTTTCTTCAAACAACACTTGGAACCATTTATAAATTAAACCCAATTGGTTTAGATTATAATCATCTAAAATTTCATCTTGCATGTCAATTTCGGATTCTAGATTTAATGATAGTATCAACGTCTTTAACTCTTGACTAAATTGAGTGACCACTTGATTCCAATTACTATTGACAAATGAAACCAATGATGCATCTCCGGTAGTTTGTGATAGTTTGGTAAAGTCATTATACATGACAAATGAAGATGCAAGAGAAGGGTATTGAACTAATGCAAGTGCCTTAATTGTGGTTACCAAATAATTAAGGTCTTTGGAATATGTGGAAAATTGCTTAAACAATTGATCCAATTGTTCTGGAACGGGGGATATCTTTATCCTATCAAGCTTGGGTGCAGAATCAACATGTTTCAGCTCCTGTGCATCCTTCGCCTGTTGGTTCTCCTCTTGGTCGTCCTCATCCCATCCATCATCCCAACTTTCATCCCAATCGGTATCATCAGTGCTATTATTTGTAGTAGTCTCCCCTTGGCCCACCACTTCATCAACATCCTTCAACTCAGCAAATGAAGACTCACTAAACACTTGTCTAATTTTATTGACATAATCATCAATGATCCAATCCAAATGTAACCGGTTCAACCTTTCTTCAATAGTCCCACTTCCTTCAATCTTGCTCAAAAAATTCCAATGCGTGTCTTCGCAAAGCTTCATTAACACATTCAATTGCTTAATTTGCTCTTGGTTATGAATAATCTCCTCAATGTGGTTAAACAATTGACCAGCAACTAATTTAGATATCTTCGAGTTTAAATAGTTCTTTACTGGTGTGTGGTTGATTTTGTTGATAAAATTGACAAAAGTTACCAATGACGATATAAAATCAGTACCTTTTACCTCCTTTATTTCAAATTCGTCCTCAATTTCTTCCTCCTCCTTCTCTTTGTTAACTACCGTGATTTCATAACCATTGAAAATTTGATCAATTAATCCATCCCATTTTGTTCTGTAATCAGCATACACACTCAAATTGTATCCATTTTTGGAAACAAAATTATTAAAATCGCCAATTACTGAAGCATGAAGTATAGTGAATTCATTGGGGAGAATCAATTTCAAATAGTTGTTCAAGTAATCAACAAACGTTACATGCAAAGACGCAACTCTTCGAATTATTTGCTTGTATATCATATAATTTGATGACGATGCCAACGATGGAGCATCCTGAATTTGTTTGAAAAGGGTACTTAGATGTTGTAAATCAAGTAGGGAACCAATTGACAACTTTAAACTTGCTAGTAATTGTTCAATTTCCTCCAAATTCTTTTTTACTTTGCCTAACCTTTCCAACTCCTGGATTTTCTGATTTATCAACTCCGATTTGTTATTCAACTGTGTTATTGACAAGTTATCCAAGTCATTCAAGTCGTTATCATGCCTATGATGATTGATCAACTGAAATTGGTCTTGTTTCGTCAAAATAGGTTCAAGGTAAGAGCTGCTCACTTGTGACTCCAACTGTCGTATATCCGCATTTATCTGATTTATCCTCTTTTGTTCATCTTCAATTCTTGTTTCAATAGATGACATTATTGGAGTTGTGGGTTGTCAAGAAAAACATCACCAACTTTTGTTACGGTCAACCTCGATATTTCAGTGAGATTTTTACAAGTTGTGCTACCATATACACCTTTTTATTAGAACTGACAACAAGCAAATACCAAAGTCTACTAAAATAATAATATAATAAAAAATTGTTATTTCCACTGTACATGTTACTCTATATAAGTCAAATTAAGTCAAATCCTCCTTCTCTCTTTTCTCTATATCAAATCTTCAGTAATATCATCATCAATGTACTCATCGTCCTTATTCATTCTGTAGATGGTCATTCCCATACTTGCCACATTCAAAGCACTCATTAACCAATTAGGAACACTGATCTGGCTCAACTCAATAAGATTGAATGTTAAATCAAGGAAATTACCCACTAATTCAAATATAAGCATCATTTTATCAAATTTTAAATCCTTCAAAATCTTGTTATATTTCTTATTGATATCTTCATTAATAGGTTTTGATGTAGTGGTCTTTTCATTCATAATATTCAACTCAGTATGGACTTTTCTAATCTTGCGTATGACATTCAATAATTGCGATATAGTCTTTCGTACTAAAAACACAAGAATCAACACCCACAATTTATTGGTTTGTTTTAATAACTTGGTCAAAACTTGAGGAAACATTGGCAAGTTTGAAAGTAAATGTAAATTATCCAAAATGTTGGCAATGGTTTCAAGAAAATTTATAAACATAAACTCCAACTGTTTGAAAGTAAATTTCTTTGCTTTAAAAAATTTGCCTTTATATTTTGATGATCTTTTCTTTGTTGAGGTGCTTGAATCTTTATCCTGCACTTGTGATGATGATGATGATGATGATGACAGACCTTTCTTGGGTTCAGCTTTATCAATATCAAATTTATCGAAAAACGGTGGGTATTGCGGTTTTGATCTAGGTTTATCTTGTTCAGGAACTTGTTTAAACCTATGGAATTTGTCAAAATTGTAGTTTCTCTGTGGTGGTTCGGGTTTATTGTTTAATACACTTTGAAGCTTATCTAATTTATCTGAAGTGATGGAAGTATTCCCTTTGGCTTGTTCCTGTTTGGCTAGTTGTATTAAATTGTTGATTATATCTTGTCTTGAAGGTTGTTGTTGTTGTTGTTGTTGACCAGCGAATGAAGCAGGTAATGGTGTTTTCTTGTTGTCAGTTGCAACTTGGTCGATGAATGTGTTGGTGTCACTTAGAATAGTAGCAGTAGTAGTAGTAGTAACCATTGGTAAAATTTGTAAATCCACTTGTATCAAATAGAAAAAGTGGAGACAAATAAATATCTCTTGATTAATTTATTTTTTTTGTCTCTCTGTCTCTGTATTTTTTTCCCCATTTCACGTGCAACTTTATATATATATACACTGAAAGTAGAAGCGTTAGTCAGAGGGTGTTATACATGCGCTGTCCTTTGTGAGGAACTATAGTAAAATTCATCCTAGAATCATATACTTTATAGATACAGCGCATGGCTTATTTATGCAAGTACAATGCATCAAAAAAGGGGTCTAAAGAAATTCCAATAACTTGTTCAACTCCTGACAAAAGTAATAATTCTTTTGCAATGGATCATTCTCAGAATCGTCTGTTTGTGACCGTTCCAATCGTAGCTTCAACCCTTCTAACTGTGTCTTTAGCGATGCAACATTACTTCGTTCATTGTTAATATCAGCTTCTTTCTTGCTGATTTCCGCTGTGATTCGTTTCAACTCGTCTTCAACATCCAACTTGGCTTGACTGTTGATTTGTGATGGATCAACATCAAAAGATTCTGCTTCAAGTGCCGATTCAAACAACTCCTTATCGTCATTATCCTCATTAATCAATTGTTCAAATTCACGTTCAAGTTGCTCCACCTCTTTTAATGAGCTGTTGACCTGTGTTTTCCTCTCTTCAGCTAATCTATAGCTATTATTCACATCATGGGTTAGATTCTTTATATCCACAACTCGTGCATTCATTTGGGTGTCCAACTTGTTGGAAGTAGTTTTCAATTCATTTGTCTCTTTCGTTAGCTGTTCATAGGCACCTTCATGGAAATTGAATAGATCAATGTCAGTATCCAATTCTAGCATCTTTTGTAACACCTTCTCTTGTGCTTGTTGGTCAATATACACAAGACTCATGTCTGTTAAGAATTGTTCTTGATGCAGTAGCTTATTCTGAATCGATTTTAAATCATCGCTAGTGTCACGAGCAATTTCTTCCAAAGCAGCTATTGATGAGTGCTTTTGGCTAGTTAAAGAATCAAACTCTTGTCTTAATGTAGATGCATATGATACTGACATCGTGTGGTAATTGTAAGTTAATGTTTGTTTTTTACTTTTTCCATATCGCGTCTTTCTTTAAGTAAAAACAAACCACAACAAAAAAAAAACAAAACCCATAGACAAACAGAAGTAGACACATAGAAGAGCTAAATCAAGATTATATATAGTAACACTATTGAGACTTCATTGACCCAATTATGATACTGACCAGGAAATAACTGTTTATAACAACAGAAAAATTACAGATAAAGTCAAGCTCAGAAGAACTATAAGAAAGAAAACTAGAAAAAAAAACAAACGGGGCGAACTGGGAATCGAACCCAGGGCCTCTTCGAAATTTATTGCTCAGGCTTGAGAATACCCAAACGAAGAATCATACCACTAGACCATTCGCCCGTTTTTCTGCCAAAATCCTTTGTTGCTTTTAGATATTGCCAAACTTTGAGTCACCAAATTTGAAATAAAATACGTTGAAACATTGTTTAAAGTCACTCCATTAACTTAATATTGGTGAAATAGATAAAACTTTTCAATACAGACACCATTACAAATCAATGAAATGCATCTTTGTTAGATTTTAAGAGAAAATAATTGTTTTTGCAACGTTTTCGCTTAGATTTCACACCAAATGGTGAACGTTGGCAATGCCTTTTGATTAATTGATAGAACAAGAGAATGCACGAAAGTTGAGTATCACCGACATTGCCAATCATATAAACAGTAAATAGTTTGCGGATTGCAAAGACCCCCTTCATCCCTTTTTCCCAATACAACCTCACTGTGTGGGGTTTTGTATTAAATACCACACGAGCCTAAAAAAATGTTTAATTATTTTAAGTAACATGAGACCCCTCTAATGAGAAGTTTTGTATTAAAGGTAGTTGATGATTCCCGTCCCCTCTACGTTTAAAGTATATCGGAGTTGCTTACTATTAGAGAAAGTTCGTAACTCCGTTACCTATCTTGAATTCATTTTTTTTTTTTCCTACACCCTCGGTTAATGAGGGGCGGTGCGAGGGGGAGGAGGGCACAGGTGCGTGTGATGATTTGACACAACGGAAATTGGAACCAAAGGAAAAAAAAACATCTAAAAGAAAGTGTGGAGTAAAAAAATGAATAATATACAGAGGGGATTTTATTGAAATTCTTCGGCTCTTTCATTTTTTTCCTACAGGACACACAACACTTCTTCTTCTTCTTAGAGTACACCACATTAGATCAACCCATTTCCTCACAATGTCAGAAGAAGCAAACGGTATCGTGTACGAAGTTAAAGGCAAAATTGCTGTCATTACCTTGAATTTACCCTCCAAATTGAATGCTTTAGATGCAGCTGCATACTTGCAATTGGGTAAATATGTCGAACAAGCCGATAAGGAAGAAGAAACCGTGGCAACTATTATTCAATCTACTGGTAGATTTTTCAGTGCTGGTGCTGATTTCGCTGACAAAAAGACAATAAGTAGAGATGCTGCTGAGCTTTTTAGTCACGAGCATTGGTTAGCAGGTTTCGTTGCTAGAAACACTTGGTTGACTAATGTTTTCAATGATCACTCCAAGATCTTGGTAGCTGCTGCCAATGGTCCAGTTATTGGATTATCAGCTGCTTTGCTTTTGTTGTGTGATTTGATTTATGTCAATGACTTGAGCAAGTTCTACCTCTTGACTCCATTTGCAAACTTGGGTTTAGTCACAGAGGGAGCTACTTCCATCACTTTGACTAGGAGATTGGGTTGGTCCAAAGCTTCAGAAGCATTGTTGTTGGCCAAGAAAATCCCTGGTGAAGATTGTGAACAAAATGGTTTGATTAACAAACACTTTACTGGCCAATCAAAGAGTACCGAAGATTTCAACAAAGCAGTCTTTGAATTGTTACAAGATTCAACCGAGTCTTTACATGAAGACTCAATTTTTGGAATCAAGAAGTTGATGAAGCTTGGAAGAGACCCGGCCGTCAACCACGCCAACTCACAAGAAGTTGTTAGAGGTTTCAACAAATGGATTGAAGGTGTGCCACAAATGAGATTCGCTCAATTGGCCAACAAGGAGAGAAAACACAAGATGTAAAGAAAGCTCGATACATTGATTATCTATTCACACGCTATATAGAGTTTGTAAGCAAAAGCAATACAAATCTACTTTTGTTTTAGATTCTGTTTGGTTACACTTCGCAGTAGTGGCTGACAGATACTTTCAATAGCCAGTATTGTTCTGGGAATAGAGTACTAACGGCCCTGTATCTAATCCTCAGTCGGATTTATACCAAGAAGTGCTTTAGTTTTGGTGGATTTAATTTCCTCTGTATTTGCTCTCGTTTGAGATGAGATGAGCCACTGTTGACCACAGCCTAATAACCCCCCCCTCCCCATGTTCTATAAATATGACTTTAGAGCCTCAAAGGTGCATCATTGAGCAGCCATTTCAATTCAATTGCGTTATCTACTTCAACCTTAAAGGCATGAGTTTAAAAAAAAACAAACAAACAAAAATAACAAAAAAAGATCTATTTCCCAGAGTTACAACTACGCCGATTATATGAGCCTCAACCTTCCTAACCCTAGTCTAATAGGAATCCTACTAGTTATCTCAACCCATAGTGGCCCTCAATTGGCCTATAAATTTCCAACTAATTTAAAATCAACCCATGGAGAGAAGCATGATAATGTATCAATCGGTCAGGGGAAAGATTATCAGAATGATAACACGAAAAACACAGACGACCTCGAGAATCAACATATGGGAGAATATTACGATGAAGATGACGAATTGTATGAATATAGAGACGACGAGGATGATGTAGATGACGAGAATATGAACAATTTGGTAGGTGAACTTGATGATGATCGTGATTTATATGGTATTGATGCAAGAGTTTGGGATGTTGATGATTTAAATTACTATATGGGTACGAAATTGGATCTTAAGAGATTCTTGGATGAACAGGATAACAGAAGAAAACAACAAATAAAGTCTAAAGAGAGTAAAATTGGCATCGAGAAAGTTGAATTAGACAAGTTTGTTCATGAGCCAATCAACCTATTCAAATCGAACTCAAAGGCGAGTATAGCCCATAGTCAACACAGTTCAGGGTCAAATACACAAGCCAAAGCTGCAAGTATTAGTGAAGATATCATGGGCGTTGATCCTGCCTATCTTTGTGAAATGCTAGCTCCACCAACAGCAATGTGTAATGCAAGATTTGAAATGACAATAGAGGGGAAAACCTTTTTAGGATTGCCAATACACAAGAGTATTGACGGTGGTTGGAAAACAAGACCATGGTCCAATAGTAAACGCTTTGATCAAAAGACAAGGTCTCGCTCAAACAGTAGACCTGTTGATCCAAGAGCAAAAGCACATGATGTGGCAGATGATGAGCCTAATGGAGATGTGAAAAGCAATTTGAACATGTTCCATTTGGTATTTATCATGAACCCATTAACGATGGAGCACAACTACAGAATTGATGAAATGTTTCATCATGTGATTTCGAAATTATCATTAATTCTTCGACGCGCCCAGTTGAAGCATGATTATATTGGACAGGAAGTTAAACGAATTGTTTCCCTACGCGAGGAATCTAATGATGAAAACAGCTTGGCCGAGAAATCTTCGCTATGTAAATTGATCCGTGATTGTTTTATTAGTATCAATTCATCCAAGGTAGCCAATTTAATGATTAATGGAAAATTAAAATCGTTTCAAATTCCGGTAAAAACCGAGTTTCATTCGTTACCTGATGTGACCGTGCCATATATCCCTGGATCGTATCTATCATCCACTGTCAACACTTTGAGCAATTATGGTCTTTCAAATGTGGGTGAATCGTCTCGGTATGGACAAAAGGACGAAGCGTTTAGATATTTGCTTGAAGATGACGATTCAGATGAAGTGGTTATATACTTTGCTCTATTATTACTCGATGAGCCAGAGAGTATCATCAGAGATATACAAACTGCCAACGACTCAATCCTTGCCCACTTTATTCGATCGATCGAACCTACCGAATCACTACTAAAACTATCAATTCGTTATCCTCAACTAGATCTTCGCCAAATGAAGTCATTTGCTTTCCATTTGATCTACTGGCGAAAAGCTAGGATTATCCAACCATTATCAAGTCGATCCGTGTACATAATCTCACCAATGGCACCATTACCAACCAGACTTTATGAAGACATTTCCGAATTCAACAAGAAGTTCCCCACATTACCTTCCTTGCCCCATTTTTTGAAATTGCTATCACCTAAATCAAGAAAGCCGCAACAATTTGCCGCCATAATTCCCTCACGAGACCATCGAGATAGCTATTTGCATGCATTGTCCTGGTTAAACCGATTTGGGTATGCTACTCAACAATTGACCTTTATATGGTTAAAGATCTCACGTAAAATCAAAATTAAAGTTGAAGAGGATATCGAAAATGAGACAATTGCCAAGCGTAAAGTGAACAAATATGTTGCGGATGAGAAGACCACCAAAACGACGGATAATTCGTCAAAACAAATTACTAGTACCGATAACACCAACGTGGTAAACAACGTAGCCAACATTGCATCAAAATCAGACATTGAAGCAACAAGTGGATCGAAATCAAATAATACCAACTTGGATTCATTGAAATACCATTTGAATAAATCGGCCTCCTCCGTTACATTACTCGAAGACGATGATACAATAATATTGGATCCTGGAAGAGCATCAACTTTGGAACGACGTTGGATCAATGAAATTATTTTTGAAGAATGTAAATTGACCACTGAGTTGACGGCAATTTTTTATAAATTGTTAAAGTATATGAATGGTGAGAGTCCGTTGGAGTTGTTGCTATTGAAGGAAAATGTATCACGACTGGAGTTGAAAAAACTTTTGCTTGCTATTGAACCTCATATAATTTCAGTAAAACATTGGTAGTAAGTGAATAAGTAGCCATGAAAAGGGAATTGTAAAAACTTTAGTTTGCCATTGCTTTGAGAATACACCAGAGTCACCCCTTTTGCAACCAATCAACCTACAATGTATTTTAAGTGCTTTGTATATTAAAAAGCTAAAGAATTCACGAAATAAATAAATGACATCAACTTATTAAGCAAATGCCATAACCGAAATGGAAAACCAAACAAAGTAGATAGCCAGGAATTGAATTAGCCACACTGCTAGTGAAATAAAAAAGAACCAAACAAAAAACACCATTTGGGCGGGTGGGGGAAATAATTGGATCAACCATGAAACCAGCTAGAAAAGAACGAACCAATCAACCAACCACCAAATGATGAACAAAGCACGCACCAGAACTCTTTAGCACTTAAAACCCATCAGAATCAAATTCAAAGAAGAACAAGAACAACAAGTTCAATTTTTCTTGCTTTTGGATTAATTGGAGCATTATAAATCTTGTAAATGCCATTATCATTAACTGGAGAATCCCAAAATGTAGTTTTACCATTCAATGCCAACAACCAATATCCGTCATCATGAACAATTGAAAACCCTGAAGAATACAATGCATCCGGTTGAACTGGCGAATCAAATTGGAATTGATGATTAGCGGCAATTTCCCCAATTCTATATTTAGAATCTCTCAAAACGGAATTTTTCAAAGTGTACCAATCATATCCATACGATGAATCAAAAGTTAACCAGGAATCATCACCATCGAAATCAAATCCATCACGTTTCCAAGGCTTGTGTGGATTTGGATGGGTGTAAGTAATTGGATTAGGAGTAGGCTCTTCACAAGGAGTTGGAGTAGGAGTTGGAGTAACACAAGGAACTGTGTACTTTTTGGGTCCGTACTCAATTTGACCATCACTCAATTCAAAAACAACATAAATGTCTCCATCAATTTTGGCACCTAATGCAAATCTGTTGGGGAAAGTGGTGATTCCACCTCCTGCGGTGTAAGGATTGTAGATTGGAGTAGGAGAGCTGTCGTCGTCATTGTCATCATCATAACCACGTTGGATTAAATTGGCATTAGCCACGGCGGAAAAACCAAAAGCAGCGATAATAGCAGTAGCAAACTTCATTATAAGATAAACTTGATTGATTGATTGATGATATTGATGAAAAGGAATTGGAAATGGTGCTATTCTTGGGTGCAATTGTTGGAATATTTATATTCAACAACTTTTCTATAGCAAACCCTCTTCTACATAGTTGATTAAGGGGCGGATATATCACTTAGTTAGCTAAACTGTGGATACTGAACCGCCGTTGAGAAGTTGAGGAGGGTTCTTTTCCAGCTTCAATAAAACTGTGGTGAAACAATAAAGTAAAAGACTGGTTGCAAAAATATAATAACACCATATTCACCTCACGAGTCGCAAACCACACCAGCTACAACATAGAAGATTCAAAACCATTCCACTAAAGCCACAGTTAGCCATAATGTATATTATACTTCAGACAATGATTGATCAAGCAATAAACCAAGATGGGTTAATACACCACTCCTCACAAAAATAAAATAAGAATTCGCCTTGAAAGACACACTTCAGTCTGGTACAACTGTGGATCCATATTGAACAACGAGCAGGCACTTGACACACCTCCACATTGCTATAACCAACTACAGACAAGGTTCATTGCCAATATTTTGTGTTGGCTTATACAAGTGTGTGTCTGTGTGTTAAAAATGTCCGTGTGTTAACTTTTTGCTCCGCTCTGAATTTATCCCCTTTCCAATTCACTAATGAAGCGTTGGTGGGAGAAATATACTTGACAACCGTTCCCGATCGGATGTTGAATACTGGTTCAGTGTCAGGAGTATACTCCACATCACACAGGACTATTTTGGAGTCATACCCTTTGCACTCTTCGATGTCGGGAAAACCACAGTTGCACTTGTTGCTTAATTTAGTTGATTATAAATGAGGCTATTTAGCAAATGGTGGTGCCATTTGGTATTTCTAACGTCATGTGTGGTATTAATTTGACTCACCATGTGGTTGAATTCACGCAGTTGACTCTTCAGCAAAGTAACATGGTTTGTTTCAGGGAAAAAACTGTGGGTATTGCTACTTCATGAATAGCAATTGTTGATTCTTTAATTGATGTGGATTGTACAACTAGTGGATGAATGAAGCTAGGTGACTATGGATTGAAAGTATTCTATCCACGCCTTGCATCAATAAGATCAATGGTCTAAATTATTTGTTGTATTAATTAAGTATTTATGTAAGTTTGAAAAAACTATTTACCATTGTGTGTATTGGTTTATTGTGACAAAGTTTCTATCACATTATAAATATATCAATAGTTTATGAGTTCATTAGTCAAATTGAAAAGTTCATCTTCATTTGTAACAGTTGAGACAATATTGTCGATTGCTTTTGGTAAAATCTCGGCCAATCTCTCCAACTCCTCTTCTGAAACACCGGTATTAATATTGATGAGTAATTGAGGTGGTAAAACCGGCAAATCTTCGTGTTCCAAGATAAGTTTGCTTCTTGTTAACAAGATCTTACCGTGCTTCAACACATAGTCAATGATTTTTTGCAACATAAAGTTTTCAAGGTTTAAAAATTCATCAAAGGGGTTCAAGTATTTAGATGGTTTTCCTTTGGTGATAAAAGTTGAATTTCCATACAATAATGGTAAATTCAATTGCGATCTGTACAACTCGGTAAAGGTCAAATGAATCATTGGAGATTGTGGCACAGAAGTAATGGTCATGGGGACATCCTTCAAACTGGATCGAAGTGCATCATACGCAAAGATAGTCCTTTGGTGAAGTTGAGTCATGAGCTTTGACTTACCAGTCTTTGGTTCAACGATATTGATCTCTTTAATTGCCTGTGACGTGACTTTTGCCGAGTATGGAGGCAAGGAAGCACTAAAGACATATGCATTTGATGAAATTCTTTGATGGTGAATCATTGGCTCAACACCTACACAAAATCCACCCGATGATGCAAATGAATTAGCCATAGATCCAATTGTAATTGCAACCTCGTCTCTTGAAATTCCATAATGTTCAGTCAAACCCTTACCAGTGTTTCCCAAAACTCCAATAGACAATGATTCATCTAAAAACAATCTGTACTTGAATTTATTCTTCAACTCAACAATTGTTGGTAAGTTAGCAAGATCTCCGGTATTAGCAAAGAGTCCTTCAGTGATGATGAATCTTCTCTTGAGGGGCTTCTGTTTGTCCAACATTGGTTTCAACTGAGTCAAGATTTGTTCCAAATGTTCCATATCATTATGATCATACCATTCAAGGTCAACACGACTCACAATTAAGGCTTTTTGCACAGCGAGGTTAACATTTCTGTCAACTACACATAAATCACCTCTTTTCAAATAAGCTGGAAGAACAGAACTAGCAGTAACAAAATCCTGACCGTAGATGATAGCTTGCTCAGTTCCCAAGTACTCGGTCAAGTCTTCTTCCAACCTGACATGAACATCTTGAGTTCCATAAAAATTTGGTGGTCCACAAGCACCAACACCAGCAAACTTAATTTCCGTCTTGGCTACTTCTTTGATGTTTGAATTACTGTTCAAGTCAAGGAAATCTTGTTTTACAAGATTAACAATCAGTGGATCATGACAAATTTCCTTAAACTTGGGATGAGCAAGCTCAATATGGGAGCCATTAAAACCTTTTACTTCAGGAATAGCTTTAAGGTTCCAAGCTTCCAATTCAGTGACAGGCTCCACCAAAGGTTCAGGTACCCACTCAGCACAAAGTTCATCAATCTCTTGTTTACTGAATTTGACAAATTCTGATTTATTCTCCTTTTTCTTGGAGGTAAAGAAATAGGTTAATGCAAAAATGAACAAGCAGTATTCAAAAAGGGACCTGACTGGATCATTTTGATAGGAAGATTTTATGTATCGAACTATGATTTGACCACCAGGCAACACTGCCAACGAGTTCAACAAGTACAATACATTCTGGGCTATGGTGTTTTGTATGATTTCCCAAGATTGAGATAGTGGCGGCGAGTGCGAGGATGAAAGAATGCTCGATATAACTGTAGTTGTTGTTGTAGTCGTTGTGGTTGTTGTTGTAGTGGCGTAAATAGGCGAAGTCATGATGAGTTATGAAATATATGTCGAAGCAGACTTTTGGCTGTTTAATACATGGAAAAGATAAAATATATCGACACACAAGATATATGCAAAAGGAATAATCAGTGTGTATGGTCTATTAAAAACAGTTTTCTTTTAATGAATGAGTAACTGTAGACCAAATCAAAACAAATCAAATATGAATGTAGAATATATGCTTGCTCAGTGTGTATTATGTGCTGCTGTATATCCGCTGCTTTGTAGCTTTTTCAATTGTCGTTTTCTCCTATTTGGCTATATGTTGTTTTTCCTTTTTTTCCTTTTCTTCTCTCTCTCTTAAAAAAATTAAAAAAATTAAAAATTTTTTTTTTTTTTGAACGTGTCGTGTGAGTGTCGTGTGCGTGTGTCGTGTTTTTTGTCGTGTGTGTCTTTTTTTATATCAAAATTAACAAAATCTATTAAATATCACTACATACCAATGCTTCTACTACTTATCAAGGAAGATAAATCTTGGAAACACCCTCAACATCTCTTCTACAGCATACACATCCCTCGAAGCCTTTACTTACAAGACTCAACCGACAGGATTCACAAATGGCAAAGCACTTACATGGCCAAGTGATGATCTCTCTCATATTTGTTTGACAAATGACACATTCCATTGATCTATGGTTTTCATTCGTATGATCATCACTATTTTGACTTCTCTTTGAAATGATCAACTCGATAAGCTTTTCACTTTCATCTTTGGAATTAAAACTTGGTTCGGTATTGGTACTGGAATGCAACTTGCGATATCTTGAACGCGTCAATCTTCCATCATAGTTTAAGTGGTCACGTATCAATTGTAGGTTGTTTTCACTTGATTGTTCAAACAACTCTTTTAAACCATCGTTGTCAAATATTTCTTGTAAAGGTGAAGAGTCGTTGCCAACATCATTAAATCCCCTTTTTTTGAAGTTTGTAGTAAGGTCTATTACTTCAACATCTGATTCATAATCTGACTCCTCTGGAGCAAAGACGTAATCTTCAGAATTGTCAGAGTTTGACAAGTCAGCACCAGTTAAGATTAATGCGTAATTCTGGTCTAATTGTTCGGCGCTATAATAATCGAGTTCGAGCAAGTTCTTTCCTGACGATGTTTCCAAACCCAAGCTTCCATTCTCGTACTTTTTCAAAGGAGCACCCCGAACCCCTTCTCTTCGGTTCAGCCCCGTGACTCTCCTCCAAAACTTCTTAAATAAATTGGGGATCCATTGCAAAACAAGGGCTCCAAAAACTATGCGATATAAAAGTTGAGCAAAGTCCACAATAATTCTTCTCAAATACAAAAATCTTCTTTTAAATACACTGCTCGTTTGATAAGGATTCTCTTGAGACGACTGAAATGCATCTGAATCCAAGTCACCATGTGTAACAAGTTTGGAAGTTGGCTTCTCAATCAAGTTGGAATATCCTGTTTTCTTTTGTTTCAACGAACGCAATAAACTGCTCGTATCAGCATCTGACGCTTGATTCAGTATTATCGACAGTTTAACTTGTTGCCAGAGACTTCTCTCAATCCACGTTTCGTTGTCCAAAGTAACAAGACTCAACTCCTTGATATAGCTCGATTTTCCTGCCAGAGTAATTGCCAAAACACCCAAGTTCAACAATGCCGTGTAAAAGTCATCACTTAATTTAATATTAAAATTTGCAAGCGAGTTCAAGTCTTGCTCGTCACCCACTTCATTTTCAGCAATATTGTCTTGATTTCGATCTTCATGGAGAAAAAAGCTTGCATAATTCAATCCTTCAAACCTAAACCCATTGACAACTATTGCAGTGACCAAGATCGATAAACTGACCAATATGACAAATAGAATCAACACCTGTGGAGTAAAAGTCAATGCTAAAATGATTGGAAACTGAAATATCTTTTTGTTGACAAGTGCGGTGATAAAGTATGCTAAAAATCCCAACCCAAGTGTTGTCAGCGGGATTAACCTGTATCTGTTGTTATTTAGTATTGCCCCGACATGGATATTCAAATGATTCAATATCAGGAAAAGTGAGGTAATCAACACCAGCTCCGTGGGACGTCTATAGTTGTATGAATTGCTAAAGAAAAATGCAGCATTGCTGCTGAACTCTTGGAATGCTAAAGAGTGCTCAAATATGGTGATACCACTCTCAGTAAATGGCTTTCTACCTTGAATGCAAGCAATAAAAGTCTCAATAAATGCCAGGAAGCAAAATGTTAAAAATATTGGCCAGTACATGTCACTCGTGGGTCCAATCATGACTTGCTTCGAAGGTGTTTTCATGTATCTTGTATCGGCAAATTGTTCAGGAGAATATGTGAAAAACCTTGCTGGAATAAGATTATAAAACCATTTTATATTCGATGTACCGGCTAGTCCCAAAAATTGATTCAACTTCAATGCCATTAGCACATTATAAACTTGATATAGTAGAACCAAGACTACCCCAATTCTAAAGCTGAAAATGCTGAGCTTTTTCAAGGTTGCAGCCAGTTTATATGCATCAATCAACCCTCTATTGCCGCTTATCTGGCGCTGTCTATTAATGGCCATTTGCTGGTTATGGATACTATTGGTTGAAGCCATAACCAACGTTCGATTTAAAATCAATGCCATCACCAAGCAGGCAAGGCCATAGACTGAACAGCAGTAGGTGCTTATAGAACCAAATCTTGACCAAGTGGAGTTATTTATTTCAGACAGGCCACTCTGTTCCCAAATAGCGTCCACAATTGACAGCACAAGTGTGAAGAAAGTTGAATCATTATCACTATCCAAAGTCTGATCTATGAAAGTTGAATTTGTTATGTTGGTCGACATCTGGCCTCATATAAGTAGATTATCAACGAATACTATATATTTGAATCTGACGGGATGTATTCTTTGGTAGGATGTTGTTGCTCTTTTTTAGGTGTCAAACGAATCATGCACAGATTAAATGTATGAGCTTTTTTCCGTTGTCGCTCCACTCCACAAGAAACATTTTTGACGGAATTAAAACAACCACTTATAGTACTCAAATGTTTATTTTGGTGTGCCTTGTATGCCAAAACATTGGATCTAATATGTTATGGTTTTAGGAAACACCCTTCAGCACAGTGCTGAGTTTGGAGCTGCATGGTTTGTCTTTTCAAAATAGTTCTCATGAAGGGTCTTATTTGTAGTATCACGTGAAATTCACATGTCATGACTGGAGTTGCGCTTTCTTAATCTACCTCCGAAATTGCCTCCACTATCTATCATATAGCTACAATATCCCACATAGAGGATGTGATTTAGCTTAAGATTAGTGTAATCCAACTCCATACCTTTGTGATGCATTTGTAAGGAAATATTGCTGAGAAACAGAACTGCAACCTTCTCTGGTCCTGTTGAGAGCCCAGCAAGAGAATTGTCCCCATGATGGAGACGTTACAACCTAAATCCATTTGACTATAGCCTGATATTTGTACTATAGTATGATACAGATTTACCCACCATTTAAGACTCATTTCACATATTGCCAGAGCTGAACACACAAGGTAGCGCAATAACATTTTCTGCATTTTCAGTTCTAAAACATCTCAAAGAGCCATCACATTCAGATACATCATTCATTTACTGCAAAGAATTCCACATGGGACGTAAACTACCGCCACCACCTCCACCTCCAGGTGGATTACCAAAAAATGGAAATAGCGCGGCAAAGAGAAGACATCTTGTACCACCGCCACCGCCGCCGCCGCCAACACCACCTGCTTCATCTAAAGACAAAGTGTTGCCAAAAACGCACAAGACTACATCGAGGCAAGATCCGCCACCACCACCACCTCCTCCTGCAAAACCATCATCATCATCATCATCATCATCATCATCATCATCATCATCATCACTACCACCGCCTCCGCCGCCACCATTAATATCTACTACTGCGGATCTATCGAGAACAAACACAGCTATATCATCCCACTTGGAACCGACTGAGAATGAATTAGGGAATAAAAAACGGACTTGGGTTCAAATGCAGAAAAGGAGGAACAGCAATTCCATGAAAGATACTGGAGGAGCACTAATTGCTGGCCCGAAGCCAGAAATGCCGCCTCAACATTTGCGTAAAATCATGATTGATCATGCAGATTTGAGTCTGCGAAATGTCAATGCAGACAAACGATCGCACTTGGGGGCATTAAAGTACTTACCACATGCATTGCTAAAGTTGTTGGAGAACATGCCCCAACCCTGGGAAGAATCCAAAGAGGTCAAAGTGTTGTATCATCGAACAGGTGCAATTACATTTGTGAACGAAATTCCGAGGGTAATAGAACCTGTATACATTGCTCAATGGGCAGCCACTTGGAACATGATGAGAAGAGAAAAGCGAGATCGAAAGCACTTCAAACGTATGAGGTTCCCACCTTTGGACGACGAAGAACCTTTCTTGGACTGGACGCAAAATTTTGAAGACGTCGAGCCTCCATCTGCTATAAAGTCAGGTCAGATTGAACAGATGGACGATTTACAGGATTGGTTCTATGACGAAAAACCATTGGTAGATGATACTGACGTGGTAAATGGCGATTCATACCGATCTTGGAATCTTGATGCCACTACTATGGATAAATTGTACAATATCTCCAAACCATTGTTGACAAATTCTGATCACCCATTCGATACAAAAGAGCTATTCACGGCGAAAAGTTTAAATGTGTCCATACCCGGTGGCCCCAAGTTTGAACCTTTGTTTAGGGAGAGCGTCGTTAATCCGGAATATGAAGATTTCACCGAGTTCAATTCTCTTGATAGAATAATAATCAGAGGTCCTATTCAAACAGAATATAAAGTTGATTTTCCTTATTTGTATAACTCGTTTGTGAAGAAAATCACACTTGCTCCAATACGTCCAAACATGGATTGTCTGGAAGGCTCGACTCAACAGGAAAGCTCCAATGGACTATCAGCATTTACATTCAACACCATATATAATCCCGTGACGAAAAGGAGACTGGATAAGAAAATAGTGGAAAATTTACGTGTGGACGTAAAGCCATTTTTTCATGCTTCATCTCAGACCTCACCTTCGCTATCAGAGCCACAAAACCTCAATGCTTCTCTTGATTTATTGTCTGCACCATATCCTTTCAACATACGCAGTGGCAGAACCAGGAGAGCAGAAGATGTTGCCATAACCAAAGCGTGGTACAATCACCGAGCTCCAAGATCCAGTCCGCTTAAAGTGAGAGTTTCTTATCAAAAATTGTTGAAAAACCATGTGCTGAATGAACTTAAAAGTGCCAAGAATAAGAAAGTTAGGGCCTCCAAAAAGGTGAATCTTTTTAAGAGTTTGCGTAATACGAAATATTTCCAAGAAACACGCATTGACTGGGTCGAAGCTGGTTTGCAAGTTTGTCGCCAAGGATTTAACATGTTGAACTTGTTAATACACAAGCGTGGATTGACTTATTTGCATTTAGACTATAATTTCAATTTGAAACCTACCAAAACCTTGACTACCAAGGAAAGGAAGAAGTCAAGATTTGGTAACGCATTCCACTTGATTAGAGAGTTACTAAGAGCCATTAAGATTATTGTTGACTGTCATATACAATTTCGATTAGGAAACGTGGACGCATATCAGTTGGCTGATGGAATCTATTACGTATTAAACCATTTGGGTCATTTAACTGGAATCTATCGATACAAGTATAAAGTTATGCATCAAATTCGACAGTGCAAGGATTTCAAACATATCGTCTACCACAGATTTAACAAGCTAATTGGAAAGGGACCGGGGTGTGGATTTTGGCAACCCGCTTGGAAAGTATGGATATTCTTTTTGAGAGGAACAATTCCTTTGTTAGAGAGATGGCTTGGGAACTTAATCGCTAGGCAATTTGAAGGCAGGAGACAAAATGATGTTGCCAAAACAATTACAAAGCAGCGAGTTGATTCCTACTACGATTTGGAGTTGAGGGCACAAGTGATGCATGATATCTTGGACATGATTCCGGAAGGATTGAAACAGAGTAAATCGAAAACCATACTCCAACACTTGAGCGAAGCTTGGCGTTGTTGGAAAGCCAATATACCCTGGAAAGTTCCTGGATTGCCTGAGCCAATTGAGAAAATTATTGAAAGGTATGTTAAAGCGAAAGCAGATGGCTGGATTTCTGTTGCGCATTACAACCGAGAACGTATTAGAAAGGGAACACACGTTGAAAAGACCGTTGCCAAGAAGAATTTGGGCCGATTGACGAGGTTATGGATAAAGAATGAGCTGGAAAGACAGGCCGAGTTTGGAAAGGATGGACCTTATGTCTCTCCCGACGAAGCCATACACGTTTTTCAAACCACAGTTAGTTGGTTAGAAAGTAGGAAATTCAGTCCCATACCATTCCCACCGATTTCGTACAAACATGACACAAAATTGTTGACTTTGGCTTTGGAAAATTTGAAAGCAAATTTCAATGCCAATGCCAAGTTGAATTCGGCACAAAGGGAGGAGCTAGCATTAATCGAAGAGGCATATGACAACCCCCACGAATGCTTAGCGCGAGTGAAGAAGCACTTACTCACACAGAGAATCTTTAAAGAGGTTGGATTGGAAATGATGGACTTTTATAGTCACTTGGTACCGGCATACTCTATCGACCCACTTGAGAAAATCACTGACGCGTATTTGGATCAATATTTATGGTACGAAGCAGATAAACGAAAGTTATTTCCAAACTGGGTCAAGCCTGCCGACGATGAGATACCCCCATTGATGGTTTACAAATGGTGCCAAGGTATCAATAATTTGCAAAATGTTTGGAAAACCTCTGAAGGTGAATGCAATGTGATGTTGGAAACAAAATTGTCTAAATTTTCCGACAAGATAGACTTTACCTTGGTGAATAGGCTTTTGAGATTGGTTATGGATACTAACATTGCCGACTACATCACGGCAAAGAATAACGTTAATCTCACCTATAAAGATATGAACTATGTCAATCAATATGGGATTATCCGAGGCCTCCAATTTTCATCGTTTGTGTATCAGTTTTACGGATTAATTGTGGATTTACTTATTCTCGGGTTAGATAGGGCAACAGAGTTAGCTGGGCCACCGCAGAATCCAAACAGTTTTCTCCAGTTTAAGGATATTACAACTCAATGTGCGTCTCCCATCAGGTTGTATTCGCGTTATATGGATAAGATTCACATTTTCTTCCGGTTTGATAATGATGAGGCTGATGAGTTGGTAGACGACTTTTTGGAGCAAAATCCGGACCCAAATTATTCAAATGTTGTGGGGTACAACAATCATCGCTGTTGGCCAAAAGATGCGCGAATGAGGTTGATAAGACACGATGTGAATCTCGGCAAAGCAACGTTTTGGGAAATCAAATCACGAATTCCAAAATCACTCACCACTATTGAATGGGAGGATACTTTTTGTTCAGTGTACTCTCGCGATAACCCTAATTTGTTGTTTGAGATGTGTGGATTTGAGGTTCGAATATTGCCCAAGATACGTGCTAAGGAATCGACATCATCGCAAGAAAATGTCTGGGACTTGGTGGATCAAACATCTAAAGAAAGAACTGCAAAAGCGTACTTGCAAGTTTCACAGGAGGCTACCGACAACTTCAACAATAGGATCAGACAAATTTTAATGTCATCAGGTTCGACAACATTTACCAAAGTTGCTGCCAAGTGGAACACGGCCTTGATTGCGTTGGTTACTTATTTTAGAGAGGCAGCCATTGCTACCCCGTCTTTATTGGAAGTGTTGATAAAATGCGAAACAAAGATACAGAATCGAGTCAAAATGGGATTGAATTCAAAAATGCCCACAAGATTCCCACCAGCTGTGTTTTACACTCCAAAGGAATTAGGTGGATTAGGGATGCTTAGTGCCTCTCATGTTCTTATACCCGAGTCAGATTTAAGGTGGTCAAAGCAAACTGATACAGGAATCACTCATTTTAAGGCTGGTATGTCTCATCAAGAGCAAAAGATGATACCTACTATATTCAGGTATGTCACAACCTGGGAGAATGAATTTTTGGATTCACAGCGAGTGTGGGCAGAATATGCAATCAAACGAGAAGAGGCACTCCAACAAAACCGCCGGTTGACATTTGAGGATATGGAAGGAAATTGGGATAGAGGTATTCCCAGAATAAGTACGTTATTTCAAAAGGATAGGCATACTTTGGCATATGATAAAGGTCACCGAGTTCGTAGAGAATTTAAGCATTCCAGCACTGGTCGGTTTAACCCATTTGCTTGGACAAACAGTCACCATGACGGAAAATTGTGGAATCTCAATGCGTATAGGACTGATGTTATTCAAGCTTTGGGAGGAATTGAGACCATTTTGGAGCACACTTTGTTCAAAGGTACTGGGTTTGATTCCTGGGAAGGTTTGTTTTGGGAAAAAGCATCCGGGTTTGAGGATTCATTGAAGTTCAAGAAATTGACCAATGCTCAAAGATCGGGGTTGAGTCAAATTCCAAACCGTCGTTTTACACTTTGGTGGTCACCAACTATCAACAGAGCCAATGTTTATGTTGGGTTCTTGGTTCAATTAGATTTGACTGGTATTTTCCTTCATGGTAAGATTCCTACTTTGAAAATTTCATTGATTCAAATATTCCGCGCCCATCTTTGGCAGAAGATACATGAGAGCGTTGTCCAGGATTTATGTCAAGTTCTCGACAAGGAGTTGGAGGTTTTGCAGATTGACAACGTGGAGAAGCAAGCAATACACCCGCGGAAGTCATATAGGATGAATTCATCAACTGCTGATATTGTGCTTACAAGCACTTACAAGTGGAACGTTTCGAAACCGTCACTTCTTAACGACAAGAACGACGAGATGATATTACCTGCCAAGAAGTTTTGGATCGATGTCCAGCTTCGATATGGTGACTATGACTCGCATGATATTTCCAGATATGCGAGATCAAAATACCTTGATTACACTACGGACGGAACAAGCTCATACCCTTCGCCTACTGGTATTATAATTGCCATAGATTTGGCGTACAATATGTATGACGTTTATGGTAATTGGTTTCCCGGATTGAAACCGTTGATCCACAATGCCATGAGAGAAGTTATGAAGGCAAACCCGGCATTGTATGTGTTGAGAGAAAGGATTAGAAAGGGTTTACAGTTGTATCATGCCCAACCGCAGGAGGCATTTTTGAACTCTAACAACTATGCAGAGTTATTCAACAACGAGACTCAGTTGTTTATTGACGATACAAATGTATACAGGGTAACAGTTCACAAGACATTTGAAGGTAACCTTGCAACAAAACCAATCAATGGGTGTGTATTTATTTTAAACCCAAAGACTGGACAATTGTATTTGAGGATTATTCACACATCTGTTTGGGCAGGCCAAAAGCGGTTGAGTCAACTTGCTAAATGGAAAGCGGCAGAGGAGGTGACTGCTTTGATCAAATCACTTCCTAGAGAAGAGCAACCTAAGCAACTTATCATTTCAAGAAAAGGAATGATGGACCCGCTCGAGGTGCACATGTTGGATTTCCCAAACATTTCAATCCGCCCTTCAGAGTTGCATTTGCCATTTGCTTCAGCGATGAAAATCGACAAGTTGTCAGATATCGTGTTGAAAGCCAATGAACCTCAGATGGTGCTTTTCAATTTTTATGACGACTGGCTAACGAGGATTTCCCCTTATACTGCTTTTTCTCGAGTGATTTTGATATTGAGGGCATTGGGATTCGATTCCGAAGGTACCAAACAAATCATATGGCCAAACAGTGATGTGATAACAGAGAGCCACCATATTTGGCCGTCTTTGACTGATGAACAGTGGATTGAAGTTGAAAGTAAACTAAGGGATTTGATTCTCGAGGAGTATTCTAAAAAATACAATTTGGATGTGCAATCGTTGACTCAATCCGAAATTAGAGATTTAATTTTGGGTCAAGATGTGAGAATGTCCAGCATTAGACGTCAGGAGATTGCCGAAATTGAAAAGAGTGGTGGACAGGTTGAAAACAAGGAAATTACAGCTCAAAAGTCCACGTCAACTAATATACACGGAGAACAAATTGTTACCGTGACTACAACCAATTATGAGCAGGCTACTTTCTCATCAAGAAATGAATGGAGAAACCGAGCATTAGCGGCCAACAACCTACACTTGAGAGCAAAGAATATATATGTCACCTCGGAGGAGTTTGTTGAAGACGATTCCTATACCTACGTCATGCCGAAGAACATTTTGCAAAAATTCATCCAAGTTTCAGATTTGCGAATTCAAGTTGGTGCATTCTTGTACGGAAAGTCACCCGAGGGCCATTCAGAAGTGAAAGAAATCAAATGCTTAGTGTTTGTACCTCAGTTGGGAAGTACCAATTCCATTCAATTTCCCAAAACTCAACCTGAATATGAAGGTTATTTAAAAGAAGAAGGATTAGAATTGTTAGGTTGGATTCACAGTCAATCGCAAGACTTTGACTACATGACTTCTTATGATGTCACTACCCAAGCCAGAATGTTGAAGCATTACGACCCCAGGTTTATTGACATGACCGCTTCGTATACACCAGGATCTGTGACACTTTCAGCATTTGAGTTATCTGAAAGGGGGTTTGAGTGGGGTAAATTGAATAACGATATGATGTCTGATTCGCCAGAAGGATATGAAAAGCTGTTTTCTAAAAAGAGTCAATTGATCATGTCTGATAAAGTTGTTGGAACATATATGGTTCCGGAAGATGAAATTTGGAATTACTTTTTTATGGGTGCAATTTTCAACGCAAATGATTTGTTCAACTTAAAAGTCGACGTCCCTTTACCCTTCTATGATGCTGTACACCGGCCAATACATTTTACAAACTTTGCCCAGTTGGAAGTTGGAAATGAAGAAGAAGCAAATCAAGAAGATGTATTTAGTTAAGATTTGTAATATAATATATTGTATCAATTAATTTCAGACTACATTTTGTGTTTCAACTCGCCAGAGGTCAATTTTCTAAATCTCTCCAAGGGGTTTCCAGATGTCCAGTTTTCAAGACCTAAATAACTTTCTTGAGAGTTGGCGTATGAGATAATAGGCTTAAAGTTAGCTTTGAGCAAGTCTTTCATCTCAAATATCGAATCAGGATGCAAATTCTCAGTTGCATTGAGTAATTCATCCAACACCACTTTATTGAACTCCTCAGCTGAACTGTATTTTCCACCATAAGCTTTGTTAATAACCCCCGATTTCAACATATATTCTCCTGTAATGCGCTTGGATAAAAGCAAAGCCTCAGATGCTTTAGACCAACCTAATCTCATAGGGAATGTAGCAGAAGACCCACCTTCGGCAACAATACCAATGTTGGGAAACGGTGCTAGTAAAAACGTCTTGCTGACATCGTGTACATATAATAGATCACACGTCATAATTAAAGCAGCTGAAAGCCCAATTACGAACCCATTCAAGGCAGCAGCAAAAATCTTCTTGTGGTCCATTATAGTCTGGGTCAAGTGAACTTGCATGGCAAGTGACGAACGCAACCAAGTCTCAAACTTGGCATCTTGCTTGCCAACAAATTTGGCATCCGCACCTGCTGAAAATGCCCTTCCAGTTGATTGAAGGAGAGTTATGACTGTATTTTCTTCGTCATTGGCCCTTGCAATGAGTTTTGCAATCTCATCATATTGAGGAAGAGTAAGTGAGTTTAGCTTCTTGGGATTGTTCAAGGTAATAACAGCGGCTCGGCCGATGACCTCGTAGGTTATTGGATCTTCGTTTGACATTGTAATGGGCTTAATTGAAAGAAAAAGTCAGTATAACTCCAATTTGGCATTTGCAAAATTTTGTCCACTAAGTTTTGAAAAGTTTTGAGGTTATAACATTTTCGGAGATTGTGCCGTGCCTTACTGTTTTTAGCCTCGGAACCCCCGCACTTGGAAAAAAAGAGAGAGATACTAAATTTGGAAGAGAACAGATGTATATGTAACTGAAACTTCTATCTATTCAGCAGATCGGAAGAACTATCGCATGTCCCTACAAACGCTGGCTAACTCTATCATCTTGGCACCGCCGTTCATGATTAAATATGACTGGAATAAGGCCTTCAATTTATCCCCAATCAGCCACAAAAGAACAAAGCTTCTAAGTAGCAAAATGCCTTACCTCTTCATCCGATTCCGGGCATCCCGTGCTATCGCCCTAGCTTCTTCAACGTCATGCACATTGCTATTATTCAAATCTTTTGCCAATTCGTAAGCTTCCGAAAATTTGCCGTGCTCTAAAGCTTTCCGTGCAAGCCATAGCCTAGCTTTTGAAGTTTCATCGCTTACTCCCCATTCACCTTCTTGCGAAAAACACAATCTCATGTATTTGAATGTATCCTCAACGTTGTCCAATTTCTCCAGTATTGTGGCTAAGCGGTAACAAATATGTGGTTCTACTAACTCTTCCAGATCTTCAATATGATGCACATTTATGTCGGCGGATACAACGGAGTTGTCATGATGGTATTCACCAATTCCAGCAGGGGACAATTTGCCAATAGTCAATGCTTTTTCGAATGATTTTAAAGCATCCTCCAACTGATCTATCTTCTCATAACAGTTACCTATTGCTTGCCACATTCTTTTATCCACCGGCTGCAAGTTTGTAGCTCTTTGATAATAGTAGAGAGCATACAAGTGCATATCCAAAACTTCGTAGGCCTGACCGAGCCCATACCAAGCACGGAAATCTTTGGGGTTTGTGTCAACAGCCCGTCTGTAAGATTCAATAGCCGCGTGAGAGTTTTTCAATTCAACAAACTCGTGACCCATAAGAGTCCAAGCACTTAGACAGTCTTTATTTAGAATCAACGCCCGTTTATAATACATGATTGCCTTTTCATGTTCGCTCTTCATGGAATAATAGTTTGCTAGAACACAACAGGTTTCAGGTCGAAACCTGTCCACCTGAGACGCGTACTGTGCCAAATATGACAACTTGGATTTCTTTTCCATCACATACAACATGTTCGAGTACGTGTCAAGGTCCTCCAACCTCGAAGGGTCCTCTATTAAAATGTGGTCAAAAATCGATTCCGCTTGATAATAATCTAAACTATGGTAAGCAATAAGAAACTGCTGAACTTTAATAAACGTGAAGTTTGGGAAAACAGCCAGCAAATGATTGACCAAGTCGAATAGCCTATTCAGCTTCTGGTGAGATTCTTGCAATACAACCATTTCAAAAAACTGAAACATAACAGTATTAGCAAACGGGTCATTTTTCTTCTTTACCCTTTGAATAAAATTTTGTGCTTCTTCGTACGTCACGAAAGAATCTATTAACTCCCGCCAACACGACCAGTTATATGGAAAAAGCACCAATGACTGGTACAAGTTTTTTTGAGCCGTTTGGGTCTTCTTTTTCTTTCGGTAGATAATTCCATTCAAGTAGTAGAGAAAAGGGTTCTCCTTAGTCGATAAAAACTCTTCCGACTCGGTAAGTACTCTGATATATTTGGAGTTGGTCATGTTATGGCTACTCTCCGTTCTTGTTTGATCACTGACACCATAATCGTTGGGATTAGCTCCGCTTCCCTCAAGGACATTAACATCATTAGAACCAACATTTATCACCCCATCGCTATCTTCCGTAGATCGCTTATCAATGGAAATCAACATTGCATACAAACGTAGAAATTTTGCGTCTCCACTTTTGCAGAACTCCAAGACTTGTGCCGCTCTATCAAATTCTTTGCAGTGGAAGTAGGACTGAGCTAGTAGTGTCTTGTCAAAGTCTTCGTAATCTTCGTCCGTGAATTGAACAGAATTTGCTGTTGCTATTGTTTCCTGTTTGGAGAGCCCATTCAATGCCTCAGCACACCATTTTGCTGATTGGTAGAGATTAAGTCTGTTCAATCGCTGTGCTGCATTCTGAAATTGTGCTCTAAAATCGTTTGGATCCAACTGACTGGCCATTTACTGCTTATGAATGGTATTTTTTTTGCTTTTGTATTGAGAGTTTTGGCACGGTGTTATTCATTTCATCTTGGTTGTAAAAAATGAACAAAAATTATTGATGTTTATGCGACAAGCACAAGGTTGAGAGAGACACCAACAACAATGTCATCGGTCGAGTCAACAGAGAGAATAGAAATACTTCTGAGTAATCTCGAGAGAAATATTGAAACATTTAAATCAGCTCATGACATTTTAGATCTAAGCAAGGATCTCCTACAAGATGGGAGTACACCAGAACCAGCACAAGTTCGATTATCGAAAAGAAACTACATAATAGACTCGTTCAATTTGGAAAAAACTCATAAGCAGTACAAGAACTGGGAAAACGAAACCAGGTTAGCATTTATCAAGGAGGATATTGTCAGCTATAATCAAGTCGTTGCTAAAATAGCTAACGTCAACCAAAAGTTGGATGAGTCTAGCAATTCCTATGAGGTGTTGGCAAAAAATATCAAGATACCAGACTTTACTATAAGCATCAAAACTTTGGAAAACTATGGCGATGAAGAATTGCTAGAGCTAGGGAGACTGTATCAAACAGCAAACTTACAGTTGGTACAACTATTTTCGCTAAATGCCGCCAATGAGAACAAACTCTTTCCTGATTTCCAAGTCATCCAAGAATTGATCAATATAGAGTTTAGATTGCGGGTCGAAAAACGGGTGCATTTGGAAATATTGATGTCGATGAAAAACAAAATACAAACTCAGAATAAGTCTTGGACGGTGAGGGATAACCAATTGAGGGAGTTCATTGATATTAAGGTGCAACAAATGATTGAAACGGTTGAAAAGGCTAATGCAGAGGATAATAAAGCAAGAGGAGAAGAAGAAGAAGAAGAAGAGGACGATGATGATGATGATGAGGATGAGGATGAGGAAGAAGAAGAGGAGGAGGTCGTCCGTGAATTGGACAGTGATGATGGCGATGAAGAAGATGGAGATGGAGTGGAAAAAATCGAAGATGACGGCGAAGCAGGCAAAATGGTGTACGAAATGAACATAGAAAATAAGGAGGATGTACTTAATTACTCCGAGGCAGATGCTCATCGAGAGCTTGACGCCAGCGTGAACGAGATAGAACCTAACCAGCTAGAAAGACTACACGACAATTACTCCCAAACTATCAACACACCAGTTGAATCTGGCAGTGAAGATGATGAAATGTTAATAGATCATTGAATACATGTATAAAAACCCATCTCTATATAATAATAGGGGTATTCATCACACCTACTTTGTTTTAACAGATGCCGGGGCTTGAGCTTGCTCTGCTTGCTTGGTTGGGTCACCATCTATAATGTACTTGAATACCTGTGCTGGTGAGTCACCCACGTCACGTCTGTAATTGACAATTCTAATCAATTGATAACCTGCAACAGCACCCAAAAAGAAATTGACAGAAGCCAACAAAGGATTTCTTGGTTTGATAACGAATCCGGCCCATCTTGTCCATATAGCACCAGTAGCAAATAACGCAATTTGTTGAGTTCCACTCAATTTTTCAACAGGTCTTTGTAAATCATTTATTCCGGCAATGACCAATGCCCATTTGAAAACAGGTGCCCAAAAATGCACTGTTTTGGGGCCAGTTTCGGAGTTCAAAAAACGGGTGAATTTGGATGCGTGTTGTGCTGTTGAGGCCATTTTATGTAATTTGAATATGTATTAAAGGGAAGGGGGGTGGGAGGTGTTGCGATATAACAATGAAAGTATATATTTTCACTGGGTAAAAAGATTAGATATGCTTTTGTTTTCCCACTTTGGATTAGCGGAGTAATTTTTCTTTTCTTCTCTTTACACAACAACTACAAAAAAACAACAAAAAATTAACTTTGGGCCGAATGAGAAATTTTTCTTTTTTTAGGGAGAGATTAAATTCTTTACAGCTTTTGTGTAAAGATTATACCGCTAAAATGTAAAACTTCACAAGGATTAGGTTTTAAGCATGTTCTACAATATTTTTCCCCTAGGTATGCAATATATCTATAAATTTACTTCTGAGCTATACATGCAATCATCTATACGTAACCTCCTTGTTCACACAATCCGTAAAATACACCACATTTAGACTTTAGAAGATCTGTAGGAGAGTCAAACTCTGCAACTTTTCCTTCATCTAATGCTAGAATCTTATCACTATCCATCACAGTCTCTAATCGGTGGGCAATAGTTATTATTGTCTTATCCTTGAATTCTTCACGTATGGTTTCTTGAATGATTTTATCAGTTTCCACATCAACAGCTGCAGTGGCTTCATCGAGAACCAAGATTTTCGAATCATTCATCTTCAACAATACTCTTGCAAGAGACATTAGCTGCCGTTGTCCTGCCGAAAAGTTTGAACCACCCTCATTTACTTTACACAAAAGCTTGTTTTGGGTAGGCTGAACCAGATTAGTACCGTCACCATCTTCGTCATTCTTTGAAGTATCACTAGAGGCGAGCTGCGCAACATGATCCTTCAAGTGAGCCAATTCCAAAGCTTTCCAAATTTCATCGTCAGTGTAATAATTGAACGGGTCTAAATTTTGCCTTATTGACCCTTGAAATAATTGAGAATCCTGGGGAATTATACTTAATCTATGCCTCAATTCATACAAAGATATGGCACTTGTGTTGATGTCATTTATCTCAATGTTTCCCTCAACAGGCTCAATTATTCGAAAAATGGCCAAGGCAAGAGAACTCTTACCGGCGCCTGTTCTACCAACAACACCTACTTTTTCACCTTCACCAATAGTTAAAGAAACATTCTTCAACACCAAATCAAGATTTTGCCTGTATCTTGTAGAGTAGTTGTGGAATTGGACATTTCCACGCTTGTACCAAGAAAGTGGTGGAGCAAAGATCTCTTGGCCATCTTCCTCCTCTACCGGTAATTGAGTGTATTCCAAGCATCTCTCAACGGCGACAATGCTTGTCTCTACTTCAGCAGATTGTCTCACCACTACTCTCAAAGATCCTGTGACCTGTAATGTATAAGTCATTAAGAACCCTGCCATTGAAGAAGTCAAAGGGTGTGTAGTTTTAACACTTAGAATCAACATTATCGAAGCAGACAAGACAGCCAACCCACCCACAACCTGCAACCTAAAAAATAGCCACCGGTTTATTGAGGTGAGCATGTACTGAGATTTCAAGTTGAAATCAACAACTTTATTCATGATAAAATCAAATCTGTCATTCTGTCCATACGCTCTAATAGTGTCAATGCCATTCAAACTTTCACCCAAGTGACCATATATTGGAGACCTTGAAACACTCACCAACCTCTTTAACTCTCTTGATATCGCAACATAATAAACCTCGTAATAAGCATAGATGGCTCCCAAGATCAAAATCAGAATAATGTACGCGGGAATTGCAAGACTGACCACAACCAAGGTGAATATTGTCCGACTTATTTGTGAAACAAAGGCCAGAAAAATGGATGGGATCCCATCGTCAATCCTATTTATATCATTAGTGAAACGATTCATAATTCTTCCGACAGGAGTCCTTTCAAAGAACTCCATAGGCGCACCCAATACCCTCTTTGCCATTTCGTTATGGATTTTTCTCGAGGCATTTATACCGAGCCACATTCTCATTATAAGAGACCTTCCAACAGTCATGAACGTAGCTCCCACGCCCAAAGCCGCATAAACAATAAGAAAATTCCAAATGTCCTTATTCTCACCTGACTCAGAATTTTCCTCAGTCCAGTGCTTGAGCCAGTAATTGCTTCCAATCGATAAAAGATTTGCCATGATTATGAAGCAAATCCACACAAAAATACCACCAATTGAACAAGCCTTGATGTAAGCTATATAAACTTCCCACTTAACCTTTCCCTTTTGACTTTCTTCTTGAGTCGAACCCGACTTTAAGTTTGGCAACAACTTCTGCAAAGGATCCCAATGAAAGGATTCTATACTTGCACGTCTCATTGACGATAGCTTATCATATGTCTCTAACGGTTGTATTTCCTGTTTCGCCGTTCCTTCAGAAGACTCAGACTCGCTTGACAGTGTTGGTTGTGGGGTTGCTGATGAACTGTCCCCTGAATCGTTTCCAAACTTCCTAATCAAGTTGTAGATCTTGGGATGGTGATTCAGATCCACTTCCAGGTATGGCACCGACTCTATTATTTTTCCATTTTCAATCATAGTAACACTGCTGGAATACTTCAACACCAGGATAGAGTTGGTGCATAAAATGACTGTTTTAGAACCCAACAATCCATTTCTGGAAAGAACCTTGTCGATTATTTTCCTACCCACATGAGAATCAACGGCTGAGAGAATGTCGTCCAACAAGTAGATGTCAGCCCTGGAATATACAGCTCTTGCAAGTGCTAGTCTAGCTTTTTGTCCACCGGATAAACTGACCCCTTTCTCGCCAACTTGTGTTTCATCTCCATCAGGCAAAATTTTCAAGTCTTGCTCTAATTGGCATGCAGCAACTGTCAACTTGTAAAATTCTGGTTCATACCTGCATCCAAACAAGATATTTTCCTTAACGGAAGCATTCATAATCCAAGGACTTTGGGCACAATAAGCTATTGAGCCATGGACTTTGACAATGGGCCTTGTTGCCAACTCCCCCTTCACGCAGACCATTTGACCGAGAAGTGCATATAGCAAAGAAGTTTTACCATTACCAACTTTACCTATTATGCAAGACAAGCTTCCTCTAGGAACTTCGAAGTTGACATTCTTTAATGCATGTGACCCGTTTGAGGTCACTGTGTCTTCACCCTCTTGGTCATCATTATATTTGGGTCTTGTCCAGTAAAATGAAGCGTTGCTTATTTCAACCGCATTTGCGAGAGTATCATTCAACTCTGGTGCTCTGCTTATGGCGCTCGTGTCTAATTCTTCACTAACCAAAAACTTGCGCACTCTCCCTAATGCAACCTTTCCCTCAATATATGAATTAATTGTATCGGAAAACTCCAAAATTGGACTTGAAACCAAACTTAACAAACTCAATGCTGGGAAGACTATATCTGAAGTCAACGGCTTCTTTTGTGTCAACACATAAGTCCCAAAACAAAGCAAGTTCATTAATATTGGTATCAAAGACCAAACAAAATTTGAAACCTGATTGTAAAATCTAACCTTGATCAAGTTCTTCAATTCACGATCGTTTCTAGCTTGTGATAATTTGGTCAACATTGGCGTTTCCCAGGCAAATAGCTTAATGCTTTTTATAGAAGTTAGTATCTCGTTGATCACTCCCGTTCGGTCATCCTTCAATTTCATTTGTTTTCTGTTCCAGCTCGTTATGTACTTGACTAGTATTGCATTGATAGGTAGAGCCACCACGATTGCTACGAAACCCGCCAATGTGGATACTCCCAACAATGGCCACAATGAAATCAACCCTAAAATTATGTCAAACGGTGCAATAATCAAGGTACTAAAATTAACCATTGTAGACGATATTCTATTGATGTCGACAGACATCAAGTTGATTATGTCTCCCGATGAACTATTCAACCTGGCTTCGCTTGATAACTTTAGAGTCTTTTTATACACCAATGAAGTGAGGGAGCTTCTGATGTTTAAGCTATTTTCCAAATTTCTCAACATGTACTTATTATTTAGTGCGTTTTGAGCAACCGTATTTGCAAAGATGCCAACACAAATCAACATACCACGTAGCATTGGTGGACTTTTGATGGTGAAAAACAAAATTAGAAACCTCAACAACTGCGGCCTAGTAAAGTTGAGGGTCCTGGCTAATAGCTCGTATCCAAATGCTACAAATAAACCTCTACCGAAGGAATTGAACAAACTGAATAACAAGTTGCCGTTGTTCCAATGCTTTTCCAACATTGTAGTCGAATAAACTGTTGATATTTCTTTTGGTGTGTTTGGCAATTCCGTATTGGTTACAGTTTTGTTTTTATAAGAGTTCACAATTAATTCATTCATCCAAGTGAATGTGAGGCGTTGTAGTATATTGGGTTCTTCTAATTTGTAAGATCTTCCTGTTATTTTGTACGTTTCACGCAAGTCTCGACTAGGTGTCCATTTGAAATACTCCAATACGAAAATGTGGATACTATTGATCACCACAATGATCTCAATAACCAGGATTGATTTCACCAGTTGGATGATAACCCAATCCGTATAATTATCTTGGTAATATAGCGCAGTAGCAAATACCGTAAAACAAGGCCAGAAAACGAGTAATACGTCGAGTTGTATCGGGGAAGTAGCAATCTCCAATACATGCAAAGGCAAAATGACACAAACCATCGCCATTGTAGACAACCCAAATGCAATAATTTTCTGGTCTGCCAACCTCTCGTGGATGCTGACAAAACTGCCTATATATGCAAATAAAAGTACCTGAATTAGTACCAAGACTACTCGTGTGTACGCTGTAGGACCTACGTTCTCAAGCAGATAATTGTGATGATTAAGTCTTTTCAACTGATTCCACATCGTAAAACCACCCCATATTAGAATGGCCGAAGCAAACAAGGTTAGCATAGTGGTGTAGAAGCATGGGTTAAACGCGTTTTCATTGTTGGGGGCCATCGGTACTAAGACTGATCGCAATCCACATGTTAGCTTGGGGTAATCCATTTCTGATCTATTCCTTGTTGGGTGAATGTTAATGCTAGCTCATGAAGTTTTAGAGCCTTTTTGGAAGTTTTATTATGGTTTCGAATGAGTGGACAAACCCAAGTGATAAAAAAAATGGGTTAGCTTGTGACAAATAAGACTTGTCTAGTCATTGCTACTGGCAAACTCGCTACAGGTTTGTCAAAAAAATGTAACTTCAATCTCTGCTACCACTCAAGTCGCAAGAAAGCTGAATAAGCCATTCCTAACTTATAATTAAATATCCCCGAATCGATACATTCCTTGCCTATCTAAGGTACTATGTCCCCTTTCGAGTAACATTTGTAAGATCAGCTCTAACTGAAAAAAACTATTGAGTATGTAATCTATTTCCATCCAAAAGAGTTGGCTGTGAAAAGAAGGAGCAAAAGCAAACACTTTATTCAAGAGCAGAACAACGAGCTGTTGAGAGTGACTAGAGTTGTTTTTAATTTGCGACAATCCCGTATCGTATCTCTGCACTTATCTACTCTTAATTCTTATAACAAGGATATATTCAGGTTAAAATATTCCCACTATTAAATATACAATTGTGTGTTTAAAAAAATATCAAATTTGATGTTTTGAGAACCCAAATATTCACAAAAGATACAAAAACCCATTCACATGAGACACTTCTATCAGACGCTGATAATGCGTCTACAACGTCAGTATATGGTTAGTATACGGCGCATCTAGAGGGCCAGATAGCAAATGCACTCTCAATTCTCACAAATATTAAAAAAAAGAACAAAAATCCTCTCCTATGAATACAGCGCAATCAAAATATCAAAGGTGGTAGAACTTCTTAAGCAGCAATGGTAACTTCAACATCCACACCTGGTTCAATAGTGATTTGAGTAATCTTCTTGACGGTGGCAGCTGGGGCTTGCAAATCAATAACTCTCTTGTGAATTCTCATTTCGTAAGCATCCCAAGTCTTAGAACCTTCACCATTTGGTGCCTTTCTGGTGGTGATCTTCAAAACCTTGGTTGGCATTCTAACTGGTCCCTTCTTGACGATGTTGCTTTGAGAAGCGTTCTTGATGATGTTAGCAGAAACATTTTCCAATTGCTTAACTTTGGTGGAGGTTAAGGTGATTCTGATTTTGTGGATTTGTTGTTCTGGTTCTTGTTCTAACTTTTCCTTGTTGATTGGGGCAGACATCTTGACGTGGTTACTAGTAGTTGACGTTGTTAAAGGACCAGAAGAGGATAGTAGGTTCGTATAACGGAAACTGAAAAAAAAAAATCTACGCGAGACAGTGTGAGAGGGAGTTGGTGTAATAACAAGTTACACAAAATTATTTCTTTGTGTTTCCTTGTATAGGGCTATAGCCCTTCTGAAATAACGAGAGAAGATTGTTGGATCTTAGCACGTTGCAATGGGCTCATTACTAGAAACGATGACTTGGTTATCTTTGAAGATGCTATCCAGCCAAAGGCCGAAAACCAGAGCTGGAATCAGAGATTGCTAATAAATTTTCGAGCAAAAGCGTGGAAACTTATCGTAAGAAGTGCACCAATTACCTGATGATTGCCAAAAATCGGTGGATTAGTAAGTTGATGAATGCATTAGTACTGAGAGGAAAACAAAACTGCATATGATTGTGTGCCACTGTTTGTACTACCCTCTCCCTTGCTAACACAATATTAGTATTTGGCTAGCAAAGACCCAAACTGAAACCAATTACCATGGTTTTGCACCAAGCTACCAATTTTGATCTTTTTTGCAACTACAATTAGGCCAAGCTTTGCCGTAACAGCAAAATCTGTTTTTATTACCATTGCAGTATGACTCTACGCAGAGTAAGTTATGAAAAAAGGAAGCAATATATACCCTTTAAAACTTTTTTCTTCATATATATATATATATATATATATAGTAAGCGGAGTAAAGGCCTCATAAAATCTATGTACACTGATCACACTCTCATTTCTTCTGCTCCAGAATCGCTTCCTTTTGCAAGCCCCTAACAACCTTCCACATCAATTGAAGATCTTCTGGTGTAGAGTACCCACTAGATGCCCATCTTATTTTACCAGAAGGATCAAGGATGTAAATATAGCCCGAGCATTGGTTGTCACAATGCAAGTGCTCCCTGATCTCCGGAGGCAATATATGCAAGGGCAATATGAAATAATTTTGATAGCGGTCGGGCAAAATCATCTTTCTCAAGTTGGACAACGATAAATTCAAGATGAATCCTTTGAGCCAGCTGGATGGCATATTAATGTCAACAATTTGAAAGTTGGGGAACTTCTCGGTGAATTTCTTGTAATCTGTTGAATAGTAATCCCCATCATCTACTTTAAAATACGATTTGGAGCACTGCTCGCCTATAGCTGTGGAGTATAATCGCACTATGCTATACTTGTTGTTGAGCACATCATATAGACTATTCAGCTTCCCAGTCAATGTTTTCGCGATGAAATCAGGAAAATACAATGCCTTATCTTGTTTGAACCACGAAATAGGAGGTCTGAATATTTTGCCCTTGGTATTCTGGAACGACTTGATATCATAAATCGGAGAGTGTTTGATATCGTAATCTAGGTTTTTCTGTCTCCTCTCCTTAGCTTGTGCTCCAAATAGTTCTTCTCCAATATTTGAAATAGAGTATGTGTCAGATAGCTTGTGATTTAGTAAAACCGGCTTCGGCAAACCAATGGGTCGGGTAATTTCATATGAGTTTTCTTGTGCTGGCTGGGACACTTCCTTGATCGTGTTCACAAATCGGGGTTGTGACCTTTGCTGAAGAAAGTGCAATGAAGTACTTAACAGTCTAGTACTAGTCCTTGAGACATTCATCGTGTTGTCTATGCTTAGCTTTGAGGATGAGGTGTTGATGTCTCATTTTTCATGGTAGTTCACAAACGGGGTGAGCGATTATTTACAAGTGACAAAATTTTCTGACCATTTTACATTGATCAACAGATTTAAGAAAACTACATACATCAAATACACCCGGCTAGCTGTGGATAAGAAGAATTTATAGTTTATAAAATTATTGCCATGTCAATACAGCTAAGAGACGGTTTAGTCAATCAGCTGTTGGATCGAGTCCTTGAAGACCTTTTAGTCAGATTCGTTGTCAATGTTCCCGAGGAAGACTTGTCTTCTATAGAAAGAGTGTTCTTTCAGGTGGAAGAGGCACACTGGTTTTACTTGGACTATGTGCGTCAATTGGACCCTAGCCTACCTTCTATGAAGATGAAAACTTTTGCTTCAAAGCTTTTGGAAAAGTGCCCTCTAATATGGAAGTGGGGTGATCCTTCCGACGCATTAGCAAGGTTTGGAAAATACAAAAGTACCATCCCAGTAAGGGGAGTTGCATTATTCAATAAAGACTTGACAAAAGTGTTGTTGGTGAAAGGGACAGAGTCAAACGCATGGTCATTCCCTAGAGGGAAAATTTCCAAAGATGAAAGTGATGTAGATTGTGCAGTGAGAGAGGTGGAGGAAGAAATTGGATTCAATTGCCGTGATTTGATAGACAAGAATGACTATGTTGAAAGAACAATCAGAGGTAAAAATTACAGGATTTTCCTCGTAAAGAACGTGTTAGAGGATACTCATTTCGAGCCAGTGTCCAAGTATGAAATCTCACAAATAAAGTGGTTTGATATCAAATCGGTTCAGAAAAAGGTGAAAACCAATCCCAATAATTTTTTCATCGTTGCAACTATAATCAAACCTGTCATGAAATGGATAAGTAAAAACAAAGGGGTATTGAGTGAAGAGGAGCTTATGCAAGAAGCAGAATTGAAATTGAAGAAATTGATGGGATTGAACAAACGTGAAGAAAATGTGGATGCAGGAAGAGAGTTGCTTAACATCTTACAGGGAGCGAAACCAACTTCAAAACCAGTGGACTCCCAAAATGAGTCAGTGAATGACCAAACAACGCAGGCCGGTATACCATCTATGGTTAATGTGCAATTCCCACCACACCTTCAAAATCAAATTCCATTTTTCATTGGTGGCCATCCTAACGCACCATTTTTTGTACCACCCATGGCTAATGCAATCGGCCAAGCTCCTCATTTTTCTATGCCAGGATTTTTCCATCCTCAACATCATCAGCATCATCAACAACAAATGGCACCCAACCCTGAAAGCTTGAATAAACCCACAACAAATTCGAAAGAATTGTTATCCATTTTAACTGCAAAAAACGAAGCTAAAAAGGATGAGGTTGCTGCAACTCGGAAGAAGCATGCAGATTCTGGAAATATCAGATCAAGAGCTCAACAACTATTGAGTGTATTTCCCAAAAGAAAAGAGTTTGCTGGAACTAAGGATGATAGCCCGGCTACTAGTAAGGATCTTTCTAGAAGCGTAAGCTCTACAAGCGATCGATCAAACTCAAGCCAAGAAAAGCTCAAGACAAAATCGGATAAATCGAATTTAAACAAGCCAGTGCCACTGGAAAAAGAAACTCCCAAGTCACCGCATCTACAACCTTCGAATGAAATTGAAGAATCCATTCGCTCATCGCATCATCGCCAACCGGTGGTTGGTCAAAAGATTAAGTTACTCAAACGTTCAGATAATAAAAATTCAAAAGATCTTCTAAACCTTTTGGGACCTAGAAAGGAGACCAGTGAGCTGGAAACCAGTCCTATGAATGACCTCATACAGTATGATGGTGCCATCAAGCATGACCAAATAGAGACACCCATTGTTGACAATAGAAATGGCATAAATGGATCAACACAACTCAAAGAACAGCCAACAACTGACCGTGCTGCTTCGCAACAGTTACTAAGTTTCTTGCACCGAGAAACTCCTAGTAAAAGCAATGATGACTACAAAGAGAAGAAATCTAACGGGATTGCCAATGTATTGAATAAGGAAACCCGCGATAATGACATCACACCTAGGGTGGTATCTCCAACTAGAGATTTTCTTAGTCTACTCAAAAAGCCAAACAATGCTGACTCTACTAATAGATCGAGTGTTGATCCATCTCCATTACCAAACAAGCCACCACCACCACCACCACCACCACCACAACAACAACAACAACAACAGCAACAACAACAACAAAAACAACAACAACAGCACAAACCACAGTCATCAACGTCAGCTAACAAGTTGCTCAGCTTGCTTGGAAAGAAACCATCAGATAGTGGTAAAGGCGGTGTTAATCAAGATATTTGGAGTAGTCAAGACAAAAGTCCAAGTATTACATCGCCTAATGCATTGGCTAGTATTCAAAAATTTGATCGAGAAGTCGGCAGCAACCAAGCCACATTGTCAAACACAATTGCATCTCCAGTTTCGGAAAATTGGGGATTTTCTCAACATGAGCAGTACCAACAACTGCCACAGCTACAACAGCCCGATTTGTCAGCTACAAATACGTTGAGAAATATTTTAAGAAAGAACAGTGCTCAGCCATCGCCTAGTTTAGGTGGCGTTTATGAATCTGAGAACCTCAATAATTCACAAATTGGATCAAGCCAGCCATATCCACAACACCAGCCGCAAGACAATTTTGACAATTTTGAAGATTTTGAAGATTTCGAAGATTTTGGTGACTTCAATGCATTCAATGACACGTATATATTCGATGATAACTCACATCCTAAAACATTCAACAACTTTGATATTGATAGTGACGAAGAATATGCAGAGGGCCTCGTTGAGCATCCAACTCGTGTGCAGATTGCATCACGTCACCAAGCGCCAAAGAAGCAGCAACCACAACCACAACAGCAACAGCCTCACTACCAAGCTAGTGAATTTGCACAACCACAAGGACATTTGGACAATAATAATGGCAGTACCTCGGGTATTTCCACCCTTCCCGAACCCAATTTTGTTCAATCTACGTCAACGCGAGCAACCATAGGTCTACATGATCAATCAAATAATGCAGGTAAAGGATTATTGGCATTATTGAACCGTGGTAAATCATCGTAAGAGAATAGCTAAATACGTTATACAAAACAACAAGATAAAAACATAAAGAATAATTCTCTCCCTACATACAGAAAAAGTCTTTGGCATTGGTCTTGATTGCTGATTTCTTTAGTCGTTGCGGCTTCTCCTCATCCATACTCTCATCAATTTTCGTCCAATCGATGGACGACGTCTTTTCATATACGTACGTGGTCCTGCTTTTATTAATTTTCAACATCTTGTTTCGGGAATGCCACACCCTATCTAAATCATGTGGGTTGTACTGTTCGTTTGCTATGAATATGTCAAGGATGGGTATTTTTGACATAGGCACATTTTGGATAGACGAATTACTGGAAATAGTGACAGATCTCTTCAATGCATTCATGCTCAATCCCATCGGCATATTTTGCACAATTTTCAGTTGGCCCGGTCCCATGAATGACCAGTGCTTATGCTTGATTTCAAAGTCAACTTGAATGTAATCAAGTTTGCAACTGTGAAACAGAACTGTGTCGAGAAACTTGAGCAATCCTCGATGTGTCACTTTCGTATTGACTAATTTAATCAAAATCAACCGGGTTAATTTGCTACCGCCAGAAATACAGGAGCTTAAATGTTGTAAAAATGTGTCATCTATATCATGATTTGATAAATCAAGACAAACCAAATAGGGGATATTGAAAATCAGAAAATATTCTTCATAGTTTACCAACTTGGGAATATGTGACATATCCAAAATTACAAATGTCTTTAACTTCAACATTTCCTCAATCATGTCCGAGATGACGATATTGGAGAATACTGTTTCGATTCGATGTAGTCGGTTCTGGGGTATTTGGGTAAAGGCAATGGTTTCATCTCGAGCATTCATAATGTGCGCTTTGTGACTCTTGAAATCCAGAAAGTGGCCAAAATGTTTTAGAAATAAAGTATACACTTGAATTGAATCAGTGTTGATGCCTAGGATCATTGTCCATACTACTTTCCAAATCGACCATGGCAAGGTCCTTAATAAGTCTGGGGTAATTTTGGACGACTGTAAAGCGATGGTTGCTGCGCATATTTGTCGTAGTGTTCGCAATGTTTTTGGCTTCGTCAGGTGTTGTAACCTGTTTGGAGTAACTCTAGTCCATGGGTATGACACTGTTGTTATTTGAGTATCGACGAAATTCAAATTCAGTTGTCCATGAGTGGCGTATTTTGCTTCGATGGATTGAGGATCCTTCTTGATGAACTCTTTGAACTTCTCTTGCCTTTTGCGTTTCTTTGCTATCCCTTTTGATGGATTGTTCTTTTTAGTTCGGTGTTTCATAACTTCTCTTCCAAGAGAGGGAGGAGGATTTTGAAAGTTTCCTGTTTTTGCAACACAACTTTGTGCTCGCGTTTGAAAAATTGAAAAAAAGATGTGATGAGCCTTTCATGTCAACTGGAAACCCCACCCTAATAGCTAATCCAGTACTACCATGAAATTGGACACTTCCCATATGAGGTATTTAACCTCTGATGATTTTAGAGTATTACAAGCAGTAGAACTAGGCTCGAGAAATCATGAATTGGTACCCACTCAAATGATTCATTCTATATCTGGGTTGAAAGCACCATCAGGTACCCAAAGAGCCATTGGAGATCTAGCTAAATTAAAGCTAGTCGCTCGGTTACGTAATGCTACATATGATGGATTCAGGTTGACGTATAATGGGTACGATTATCTTGCGTTGAAGTCAATGTTGAATCGAAATACATTGTACTCAGTCGGGTCAACCATTGGTGTGGGTAAGGAATCAGACATCTTTTCTGTTAGTGATCCTCAAGGTGTACAGAAAGTCTTGAAAATACACCGTCTCGGTAGGACTTCATTCAAAACTGTCAAAAACAATCGTGATTATTTAAAGAATAAACACACATCAAATTGGATGTATCTATCTCGATTAGCAGCAGCAAAGGAGTACCAGTTTATGCAAATACTCTACGATAACGAGTTTAATGTGCCCCAGCCATTTGACTATTCAAGGCACTGCGTGATGATGGAATGGATCAAAGGAATACCAATGAAACAATTAAACAGTAGCAACATTGGCAAGTTGGACTATAAAAAACTATACTCTGATCTCATGTGTTTTATTGTCAAGCTAGCTAAGGCGGGTTTAATTCATTGTGATTTCAATGAATTCAATATCATCATCAGAGACCCATCAGATTCCACCAGCAAGAGTGATTTTGTCGTTATTGACTTCCCTCAATGTGTATCGATTGAACATGTAGATGCAAAAGTTTACTTTGATAGAGATGTACAAGGCATACGAGATTTCTTCAAAAAGAAGTTCAAGTACGATCCTCAACACGATTCAACCATGTTTGATACTGATGGGTACGGTGACGGGTACAAGTATGCTTATCCCAATTTTAAACGTGATGTGATTAGGGAAAAGCTGTTGGATGTTGAAGTTGAAGCTTCTGGATATGCCAAGAAGAAGACTGGTAAAAAGGAAGTTAAAGACTTGGAGAAGGCTGTGATGGGGATGAGAATAACGACAGACGAGAATGATGATTTGTCAGAACTTGAAGATGAGGAAGAAGAAGAGGAGGAGTATGATGAGGATGAGGAAGATGACGAGGAAGAGGATGATCTTGAAGAGTATGACGAAGAGGATTTGAATATCAACAGCGAAGACAATAACCAGGAGGAAGAAAATGAAAAGATCATTGCTGCCATCTCTGCCGGTGATAAGAACCTCAAGATGGATAAACTAGGCAATTATATACTAGATGAATAGATAAAGCTCTCTACAGAATTAGATCATTAACCGTTAATCGCCTCCACAACGTTTGATATTTTACTATTTTTTTTCTTTTGAAACGTGAAAAAATGTACAGAAACAAAATATATACTCTCTCCTATGCTACTACTTAACGAGTGGCCATACCTTTGGTAACAGCTCTCTTCAAAGTCAATTCAGCCTTTCTATAGTCATCAGCAGATGAGTCTTCGATTTCCAAGGTTTGCAAAGCGTCAGACAAAGCAGATTCAATCTTATCCTTAGCGGATTTCTTCAATTTAGCGCTCAAGACTGGGTCAGTGACAGTTGATTCAACTGAGGCAACGTAAGCTTCCAATTTTTGTTTTTGTTCGTGTCTCTTGGCGAAAGCGTCATCAGAGGTCTTGAATTTTTCAGCATCGTTGATCATCTTTTCAATTTCTTCAGTAGACAATCTACCAATTGAGTTGGAAATGGTGATGTTGGCAGATCTACCGGTTGACTTTTCAACAGCAGTAACCTTCAAGATACCGTTAGCATCAACTTCAAAGATGGCTTCCAAAACTGGTTCACCAGCTTGCATTGGTGGGATGTTCTTCAAGTCAAATTCACCCAACAAAGTGTTTTCAGTACAGTTGACACGTTCACCTTGGTAAACTGGGAATTGAACAGTGGTTTGGTGGTCAGCAACGGTGGTGAAGGTTCTTCTCTTGATGGTTGGAACAGTGGTGTTTCTTGGGACAACAGGGGCGAAGACGTTACCTTGCATAGCAACACCAAGAGACAATGGGATAACATCCAACAACAACAAGTCCTTAGTTTCGTCATTGGTTGATTGACCAGTCAAAATAGCACCTTGGACAGCAGCACCATATGCAACAGCTTCATCTGGGTTGATTGATTTTTCCAATTGCTTACCGTCAAAGAAGTCAGACAATAATTTTTGGACTTTTGGAATTCTGGTTGAACCACCAACAAGAACAACTTCGTCAACTTGTGACTTGTTGACCTTGGCATCCTTCAAAACTTGTTCAACTGGTTCCAAAGTAGACTTGAACAAAGCAGCGTTGATATCTTCAAATCTAGCTCTGGTGATGTTAGCTGAGAAATCTTCACCGTCAAACAATGAATCAATTTCAATGGTGGTTTGAGTACCAGAAGACAATGATCTCTTTGCTCTTTCACAAGCAGTTCTCAATCTTCTTAAAGCTCTGGCATCACCTGAGATGTCCTTACCGGTCTTTCTCTTGAATTCAGTCTTGAAATGTTCCAACAAGTTGGTGTCGAAATCTTGACCACCCAAGTGAGTGTCACCGGCAGTAGCCTTAACGGTGAAAACACCACCAGTAATGTTCAATAAAGAAACATCGAAAGTACCACCACCCAAATCGAAGATCAAAACGTGTCTTTCCTTTTCGGATTTACCAGCACCCAAACCGTAAGCAATAGCAGCAGCGGTTGGTTCGTTGATGATTCTCAAAACGTTCAAACCAGCAATGGCACCAGCATCTTTGGTGGCTTGTCTTTGAGCGTCATTGAAGTAAGCTGGAACGGTAATAACTGCTTTTTCAACCTTTTTACCGATTTTAGCTTCAGCAATTTCCTTCATCTTGGTCAAAACCATTGAGGAGATTTCTTGTGGAGAGAAAGTCTTGGTTTCATCCAAGTATTCAACTTCAATTTGTGGTTGTCCGTTGGTGTCAATAACTTTGAATGGCCATGACTTGATATCCTTTTGAACGGATTCATCATCAAAAGCTCTACCGATCAAACGCTTAGCATCAAAAACAGTGTTTTTTGGGTTCAAAGCAGCTTGATTCTTGGCAGCATCACCAATCAATCTTTCTTCACTAGTAAAAGCGACGAAAGAAGGAGTAACTCTGTTACCTTGTTCATTGGCAATAATTTCAACTGCTGAGTCGTATGTAGCAACACATGAGTAGGTAGTACCTAAATCGATACCAATAGCACCTTGGAAAACACCGTCAGCCATGATTATAATTAATATATATTATATGCTAGTCTGTACTAGAAGGAGTTAAGTTGTAAAAAAAAAAAGAAGAAGAAGGGAAAAAGAACTGGGAATGGTGAAAAGATTTTTCAGGAGTGAAAATTTTCAGACACACAATGAAGAGCAGAAGAAGAAGAAGAAGAAAAAAAAAAATGAAAAAATGCGATGAATGTGGTAGCTCTGTATTATTACATAAATTATTATGTAATTAATCAGAACTACACACTACCAACCACAGTTTGTGCACGTTTTCATTTACCCGGATAGTTCAATCATTTATTTTGCAACTAATAGACCATTATTCTTAGCACCTGCTTGATTCAATTGAGTTAGCAAACATTATGACTACCGAGGTAACAGTAATATGGCTGTAGCGATCTAAAAACAGCAGCAAAAATCTTTCATCCTACACAGTTTGTCGTTCTTTCCACAACCTAGGTAAAACACAATTATAAATTTCATTAATCGCAATATCAACATTCTGGCTTAACCCATTTATCGTTATATCTTGTCTCATATTATTCTTACTAATAAATCTCATATTTCCATCAATGTACTGTTGTTGAGATTCATAAGGTGTCAGGTCGATATGGATCCAGCATCTCAGTTGTATACGTATCGAATCTAATCTTGTTCCACCAGCTCCCAAAATTTGTTTAATCTCGCGCCGGTTGAATGATAACGTGGTTGAAACCAGGCGCATCAGATCGTATGTATCTTCATTGTCAGTACCTAGATCTATTGAATCTGTTTCGTGTTTGTTACGGTTTCGGATCTCATCTAAAGTGACAATTTGTGGTGTATATATAATAATCTCGGTTTTGTCACATGCCACCAACTGTTGCATTAACTCGTCAGTACTGTCTTGTGGTGGCAATGTTATCACGCCATTATTGAAAGAGCCACCCATCTTAAAATACTGAGGTAGAGAACCTCTAAGTTTGAGCTCATTGCAAATTGACAATTGTAATCCAATTATCATTCGCAAGGTATCTATGTCATAGTATGATATAAAATTTAGATCCCAATAAGGACACCCCATGTATTTCTTAATAATTAAATCTGCAGTCGAATCGGTATCAAACCTTATAGCTCCAATTTCAAATAATTGGTGAAGGACCTTGCTCAAGGTTGATGTTGTCAATAAAAGTGTGAGGGGGTGGTGTTTAACATAGTTATTCTTTTTCAATATAGCAGGGTGCATTTTTAAATGAATAGTTTCGGACGAGTAAATCAATTGATTGATCTTGGGTTGAGATAACGTATTTGAGATCTCCATTATGGTTTTATCTTCTTTCCCCAGGTCAAATTATACTTGTTTGGATAAGGACGTGGGTGGTTGTAAAACTAATGTTTTGCAACAGAAAATGCTTGATATCTGTCACGCGTACAGAGCATACACACACACACACACAACAACAACAACAGCTACAACAACTGATCAATCATTTACAAATACTCAAAGTTGGACTGTTACATTAGTTATTAATATATTAAAAGTTATAAGGTTTTATTTTTCTACTCACACCACTCAAAACCTCGACCCTCACTGCAAATTGGCCATTGTCAAGTATCCGCTTCAATTACCACCACCACTCTCATTTCTCCTCATAATAGATTTCCTTGGCCACGTCATACAAGAACTGATATTGGTAAACAGTTTGAACCATCATCATCCGCTGTGTTCTCAACTGGAAAACAGCCTTGTATACTAAATCTTTTGTTGGATTGCTGTCAAGAATAGTACGAAACTTGTCCTTATCTCGAAACAAATGATCATAAACCATAAAAGTACCCGACCTTCCAACTCCAGCAGAACAATGAATTATGGGAACTGCTTGGTTTTCTGGCAGACTTGTAGTTGCTTGCTTAACTTCGTTTATATGGCGAGATAGATTGGCCAATGGTGTGATTGAATGTGGGACTTTAGCATCAGCCCATTTATAATAATAGAAATGGTAAACCTTTTTTGTCTTTGTTCCTGATTTGAGCTCAAACTCTGTCAACAAGTAGTCTTCATTGGCATCATAAGTTTCATTCACATTCTTGATTGTTAATTCCTCCAACACGATACCATCTTCAATATTTTTCTGAGAGAATTGCCAAGTTTCACCCAACTCAGGCCAGTATTTATCACATTTCACCATTCCTTGTTCGGTTAGTGGTGTAACCATGGCAATGATGACAACTTCATTTCCTTGTTTCTCCAGTTCATTAAAGCACATTGACCAAAAGTGATTTCTTGTTGATTCCAACGGCCCTTGACATGCAATGTATCTATTGATCAATGTGTCACCTTTAATTTGTAATTTTATATGCGATGCATTGATGTAATCGGAATAAGTTGCTTCGTTCTTGACTGGTAACTTGACCCTGGTTTCATTCCATGGCATAACATTGGAATACCGGTTTCGGTTTTTGTTTGTTTTCAATATGGATGCAGAAAGTGACCAAATCGATTCAGTGGGGTTATTTAACCCCTCAACAATCCTATTCGATTCAACTTCATTCAATTCATCGAATTTCTGTCGCTGTTGTTGCGGTGTGATTGTGAATAAAGTAGGCAAAGAGCCTTCTTCTCGCTGTTTCTTAGATGCGGTCAGGTGATTGCTCTTTGATGAGGTACTATTATTGTTGACGCGTATAATTGGCTTTTTGAATACATTCATTCTTGTAAATGGGAATTGTGAAGTGCTCAAGTGCATCTGCTTTTGCTCTTTCTTTTTCTTTAAATTCTTTTATTTTGTGTGTGGATTATTGTACAAGCCTTGCGTGAAGCGTCTTTGAGTCCTGTTTTGTTTCTGTTTTGTTTCTCTATTTTTTGCTTGTATTGTGTTTACTCGAGGTGGATACCATATAATTAAGAGCAATGATGGTGAAACGACAGATTTGATTCAAAGAAAACGATATTGAATAAGTTGTATTTGGTATAAAGAAAAGAGTGGATGTGTAAAAGGTTTAACAATTTTTCGTATTTTCTTTAGAGAGTATTATACAATGACAATTAATAAATTGCTACATCCAAATCTTTTAGAGACTAAATTACCCACGGGACACGGCGGATAACGCAAATGCAAAATGCAAGATGCAAGATGTCAAATGCACATATAAAGGTTATTGGCATTGAAATAAATCAGACCATTAAGTGTGTATTACTCTTTTGGTTGTCTCTCTCTGCGTTCAACACGAGCTAATACCAAGTATCACAACCATGCTGTATATGATAGCAAGATACTGTATATGACACGCACACAATTAACTACAATAGGGTAATAAAAAAGTAAGAATTCCAACAGTCATAATGGAAGTCCATTGATCTAATTCTCAATCGCCTTTTATTATGTATCTTGATAGTTCAATTTATCTTCCCCACCGACCCCCTTGCATCACCCCTTTCAGTCTTTTTTTTTATTACTTTTAGTTCGCTAGACGGAACCCCATTTTAAAGAAAAAACTTTAATAAGGTGTCTGTAATATGCGCTATGTAAGAATCTTTTTCAATGTCGTGCTTTTAGGCTTTACCTGTGTATTTGCGACAATGGCAGAAACAACTAGGCTTAATAATTTCAAACCTTGTCATAGCGTTTAGCTTTGTTTTGTCGGTAGTGAAGACTGCAAGCCAATTTGCACTCAAATTGTTGCTTATTAAAACATTATAATGTAGCGGTGAGTAGCTTCACATGTGACATGCAACTAGGCACTATTAACAACTCAAATTTAATGATTGTCATCTCAAGTTGTTGTTTGTGACCCACTTGATTCAAGTAAACACACACAGTTGCTTGTAAATGATCGGTTCAGTTGAGATAGTGACTCATTCTGAGACAACTTTATCCCGTTTCAGACTCAATGGTATGGTGCAATCCTTCAAAGGGAGGGTGCTGTCATATCTCCTCTCCGAACACCTACACATTTCTTCTTACTTTTATCGTTGTTGCTCTCATGCAACATTTCAGCAGCATTGTCTTGTTAAAGTATATTGGAGGTAGAGCACTGTTTGGTGGCTAGCTGAGTTGCATTTAATCAGATGACAGATACCAATTATGTTGTCAAATGTAGCATGGAAAAGCCGCGCTGGCACCAATTCCTAGTGTACACATGTATTGTCATCAGATTGATAACTTTGCCTTTGCCTCGGTAATTGATGTTAACACCCAGACTAGAACTAAAACCAATGCTGTCTCATGATTGGTAGTGGTAGTTCCAAACGGTGTGTCCCTACCAAAATTTTAATTAAAAGAAAAAGAAATGTTCAATTCTTTGAGAATGTCACAATTTCTCTAATCAAAGTTTACGTAGAGAGAGACCACCAATCACTCCATCTTTCAGAGTTATCAATTAACAATACACCAACCACTTTGATAGACTTATTCTGTATCACATTATTACACATATTCTCAACAAGAGTCTGACTGTACATTATTTAACAACTGTAGGTACCGTCTAAACCCACAACATTTACACCTTCCAATTGGGTTGCTCACTAACAATAGCGATTGGATAAATATTCGAATACTTATATTTGACACCTAAATCAACTTCAATCATGTCATATATGTTATCAACTAGACCAAAGTTCTTATATCTCACCAATAAGCAACTACAAACTATAAGCAAAAGACTTCTATCTTCCACCTCCAAAACATCAATAAATTCATCCAAGTTACTAAACTCATCAAAAACATTTTTCAAGTCACTCCCCAAGACTGAACAACAACAATATCAGAAACAGGGCAAGAACGTGGCACTTGTATCTGGCATCATAATAGTTGGGTCCTACATTGCTTTTAACCAATCAAATTACTACAATTTGGATACATTACCCCTGCTGCCGCAATCATCTCAAGTAGCAGCAAACGCGGCTGCTGGTTCGTTTGCAAAGCCGCCAAAATTGTTGGAGGATAAAAAGTTATTTTCAACTTCAACATCATCAATGCATCAAGAAAACAGTATCAGCCATCAGCAACATAAGGAAGGAATCTTTTTATTAAACGACGAACAAGTTGATACCAAGTTGCGTCAGTTTGAAGAAAGCTATTTTGTCAATAGAGGAAAGGGGGTAATGAGGTATGATATATGTCAATTGCCTTCTAACTCGCCTATTGAGGATGACCGAGCCGAGGAGATTATACAAGTGCCAATCTTGCAAGATAACAACATTAAGACCACCACCGATTGGCTATTTTTCGGAGTTTTTGATGGACATGGTGGCTGGACTACTAGTTCAAAGTTGAGAGACGAGTTGATCAATTACGTGATAAATGAGTTGGGTACTATCTATAAACCTGTGCAAGGAGAGGAGAACCTCAGATATGTACCCAACAGCGCCACCATTGATCAAGCTATTAAAAATGGATTTCTTAAATTAGATCATGAGATTGTCAATAAGAATATCGAAAAATTACTCACTGATGGAAATAAAGCTAAAGCTGCTGAATTGTTGATGCCGGCATTATCGGGATCTTGCGCTTTGTTGTCATTTTATGATACAAACTCGAAAATGTTAAAAGTCGCTGTAACCGGAGACTCAAGAGCGATCTTGGGCTCGTTTAAGAATAATCACTGGACTGCTAGACAGTTAAGTATTGATCAAACTGGCTCAAACCCAACTGAGGTAGCCAGAATTATTAGTGAGCATCCGGATGAGCCTAAGGTTATTCGCAATGGCCGTGTTTTGGGTAGTTTGGAACCTACAAGGGCGTTTGGTGATTGTAGATACAAACTTCCGGCATCAATACAAGAACGGATTTACAAGCAATTTTTCGGCAAGAGATTACCCAACTATTTAACATCTCCTCCATATGTAACTGCTGAACCAGTTATTACCACCACAAAAATTAACCCAGATAACAATGATTTCCTAGTCATGGCAAGTGATGGACTTTATGAAATGTTGACAAATGAAGAAATCGTTGGACTAGTTGTTAAATGGATGGAGAGGGAAAAAATGGTTAAACCACAAAAATCGTTTTGGAACTTTTTTGGAAAAGTTGGTGAAAACAAATTACCGGAAGTGGAGGATATAACAATGGACAAGGCAAGTAAGAAGCCAATTAGAAAATCAACTGGTGGGGGTAGTTTCTTGTTACAAGACAACAATGTCTCTACCCATTTAATCCGTAATGCATTATCCAATGGGGGTTCAAAAGAGCAAACATCGATGATTATATCGATACCTAACCCCGTGTCCAGGCGGTATCGTGATGACTTAACAGTTACTGTTGTATTTTTCGGTAACAACCTAAATGAAGCAAATGAAAATGGAGCTTTGGAGATCAATGCAAGTGCCACTGCAGGTGGTGTTGATGCTTCAAAACCTAAATTATAGAAAAAAAAGAAAAAGAGAGTAACATGTCAACATCAATTACTATCAACGAGGACAAAAGTGTATATTTATTGTTTAATAGAAGTATAGTTGATAATATTTATATATCAAATTGTCTTTCTTTTTTTTCTTTTTTTATCCATTTGCCAATTAAAGAATCTCATTGTATATACATATTGTCGAACAAGATGTCTTTGACTCAAGCACTGCTAAACAGGTCTTAATTCTTCTTTTTTGACATCCACCCACAAAAGCTTTAGCAAGAGAGTAATTTTAGTTTAACCGAGCATAAACTATTTTTGATCAGAGGTACACGCATTTGCCACACTGGAAGTCCTGTGAAACAAAACAAAAAATCTGTCTCTCTCTCTTTCTCTCGTATACTACTTATATTAAACGCTACCTACTTCTAATTTCCCCTCCACCCCTCCTTTATAACCCCCACATAAAAAATTAAAAAGAAAAATTTAAAAATATTGAAAATATTAAGATCAGAGAAGTTTCAATTTAAGAGAACAGTTGAGATTCTCAGTGTGAAAAATTAATTTATTTCGCTTTAAGATCACTTTATTTTAAAGAACCCCATCGGTCACACGCTAATTATAGTTACATAACTCCTCCTCCACTTACCTCCATTTCCCAACCCATGTCTGAAGCAGTCAAGAACCAAGACGAATTAGCATCAACTACTGTGCAAAACGCCGGTAATGCTGCTGATGCCACTACAAATGCTACAGCTGATGCTGAAACACAAGACAAAGGTGATCAAGATACCACTGCCAAGTCTAAAGAGAAACCAGAAGAAAAGGCTAAAACCTCTTCTGGTGGTGATGATGTGGATGATTTAGACGATTTGTTGGATGACTTTGCTGATGATGTGCTCAATAAGCCACCAGGATCAACTCTTGATAACCAGTCGCAAACTGGCTCAACCACGAAAAAGGACGGCAAAGGCACTGCATCATCTACTGATCCCGTCAATGAGGACTTCCAAAACTCGGTAGCCGAACTCATCAAGGATATGAATATTGAGGACCCTGAAACTCAAAAACAGTTTGAAACTTTAGTTCAACAATTTGAAACTAACCATAGGTCAGAAGCTGAGTCTGGCGCACAACAAACGGCAAACTTCGATTATGTTATGAAGGAAACTATGGAGAGATTGCGTAAATCAGGCGAAGATATTGATTCAAAAATCAAAAACGACTCCTCGGGCACTAATCCTGAAGATATCTTAACTCAATTATTAGCAGGAATGAATGAAGGTGGGTTAGGTGGTGGAGATATGGATATGAGCAAACTATTGATAGATATGTTGGAACAATTGAGTTCAAAGGAAGTGTTGTACGAACCAATCAAGGATTTAAATAACAAATTCCCACAGTACTTAAAAGACAACAAGGACAAATTGGACGAACAACAATATGCAAACTATACCAAACAATATGACATAACCAATGATATCTTGAAAGTATTTGAAGGCGACAATTACAATGACTCGAATAAAGGACAACGAGATCAGATTAATGCCATGTTGGAAAGTTTGCAAGAGTTGGGTCAGCCCCCAGTAGAGCTAGTAGGGGATGCCGGTGATTTCTTGCCTGGTTTTGGAGGTGCTGGTAAAGATGGAGCCGGTCTTGATGGACTCGATTTTGATGGTAAGGATTTACCGCCTGATTTGGAAAAAAATTTACAAGAAGGATGTCAACAACAGTGATGCACTTAACTGTGTATATATACAAAATTGTCTATTTAACTCAAATATTTAGTCCCGCCCTATTGGCAAAGTCTTTATAATATTGTAACATATCTTGAGTAATACCACGAGAAATCCCCTGCAACGCATGCTCAAAGTGTTTATTTTCAACGTGTTGCGCATTACGATTCTCCATTATTGCATTTAAGCCAGCTTCTTGACACAATAAAGTGACTTCAGCACCGGAGCAACCTTCAGTAAGCTTGGCGTATCTTGTCAAATCTACATCAACCAAATCAAATTTGCGGCAACATTTGGTCAATATTTGCAACCTGGCGTCGTGATCAGGTGGAGCAACATATATATGACGATCTAATCGACCGGGTCTAAGCAAAGCGGAATCAATTTCTGTTGGTTTATTCGTGGCGCCAATAATGACAACTCCCTTCAATTCCTCAACACCGTCAATCTCATTCAACAACGAAGTCAATACATTTTTTGATGCAGCGGTTCCACCTCCATCGCCATCACGATCACTGGCAATAGCATCGATCTCATCCAAAAATATAATTGATGGGGCAGCAGCTCGAGCCTTTCGGAAAATCTCCCGAATCGTTCGTTCACTCTCCCCCACATATTTATTAAAAATCTCTGGTCCCTTGATCGCCAAGAAATTTAGACCCGACTCGGTTGCAAGCGCTTTCGCCGTAAGTGTTTTGGAACAACCCGGTGGACCATATAAAAGCACACCCTTGGGAGCATTGACTCCTAATTTGGCAAACGAGGCTGATGCTTCCAATGGCAATTGTACAACTTCAACAAGTTTCCTTTTCAATTCCTCTTGCCCACCAATATCGGACCAGTACACTTTTGGCATTTCCAAAAAGATTTCCCGCATTGCTGATGGGCGTATTTCGCCCAATGCTTCAAACAAATCGTCCAATGTGACTTTGATATTTTCCTGTTGTGTACCATTAGCCAAGCCTCTATTTATAGCCTTCATTACGGCTTCTCTGCACAATGCAGTCAAGTCAGCACCAACATATCCGTGAGTCTTTGCTGCGACCAATACTATATTTTCCTCAGTCAAGTCATACTTGTTCTTGTTCATTTTATCAAACTGTTTTTGCAAAATGTCTTGTCTAGCTTCAACGTCAGGAATACCAATTTCGATTTCTTGATCGAACCGGCCCGGTCTGCGTAATGCAATGTCTATCGCATTAGGTCGATTAGTAGCACCAACAACAACTATTTTCCCACTATTGTCCATTCCATCCATCATTGTCAATAACGTCGCAACCACACGGCTCTCAGTCTCTCCTGAATCGTCTGAATTACGTGATGGAACAAGTGAGTCGATCTCGTCCATAAAGATGATGGATGGTTGGAATTGTGCTGCCTCTTCAAATATCTCTCGAATAGCATTTTCAGTTTCTCCCAAGTACTTGGATACAATAGAAGGACCATTTATGGTTAGTATGTGTGCATTGATATCATTTGCTGCACATCGAAGAAGCATTGTCTTTCCTGTACCTGGTGGGCCATAGAGCAATATACCTCTAGGTGGTGATATCCCGAAATCAGAAAACAAAGTTGGATTGTGCAAGGGAAGTTCAATTGTTGATTGTAGTAAACTCGTTTGTTTGGCAAGACCACCGACTTGAGAAAATGTTGGGGGTCGGGGTAGAAGGGGATATTTCGAGACTGTTGGTTCCGTTCGGCTGCTAATTTCAACTGTAGTTTGTTGTGAGAAAATATATGCAGGGGTAACCGTACGCGATTGACTTTCCGTGTCTGATATCGTGAGCTCCTTCATCTTTGAGTCGATACCACCCTGTATGTCAATGATTGTAAGCCCACCTTTGTCATTTTCAACTTTAAGGCCAGGGTAAACAAGTCCTATTTCATCCAATACCACTTTTGCTTCTGGTTCCATATCTCCATGGACAACCACACTCAGTGCATAAGGTGGCTGTCCATTGTACTTTTCCACGTTGACTCTATCTCCCAATAGGAGCCCACTTAGACGCCTAAAACTATTCGATAAAGTAATTACGTTTCTCGCCGGAATGTCGTTGGACAGGACAGCAACAGCTATTATACCCGGTTGGCCATTGAGTTGACTGATGTAAACGAAATCCTTCGAATTCAACTCCAACGCTTCAAAAACTTCGGAGCTCAAGTAGGCATTGGCAATGGCTTTGGATTTAGTAGGCGATGATGTATGTGGACGGACAATGAACGATTTCGGCACTTTTATTTTCTTTGATATGGGTTGATTTGCGGGGTCTGGTGTTGACGCCAGCTTCTTCTTAGTTGATGACTTAGAAGACATTGTGTAGTTGTTGTTACCTTAGTGGTGGTGGTGATATCCAAATTGATCCAATCTTGAACTTTGTATTTCCGATGACAAAAAAAAAAATAAAAAGAAAAAGGATGAGCTGCAAAAGTTCAGTGTTCAAACATATTTCACTTACAGCCTTCTTCTACTGTTCAACTTTGCAACTAAACCAACGTTCAAATGGATATATTACTACTACTACCACAACAACAACTACTACTACTATGATACAGAACTTTCTATCCATAAAAAGCACTGCAATGCGACTACTACCGAGACGCCAAGTCTCTACGTTCTTTTTACCCAAATACGAACTGGTCAGCACATTATATCGCAAATTCACACCGTCCTTTCTAAATCACTTCAACTTCATAGATAAAACGCAGCGTACTCCCCCTTATCAGAAAGACGGCCCCAGGCTTAGCGCTCAAAGAGATAGTCCAACTATCATCGATAAAGTTTTAAATGCATCGAGTGACACACATTATCAACAACATGTACAACCCTTGATCAGCTTTATTGCTCCGGTAAAGTTTCTGAATAATGAAATCGCGTGCGTATCAAATGGACTAACTAACTTGGAGCTACGAGTAGAAAATGATAAGGGCGAAGTTGTGTTTATCGAGTCTGATCTTCTTCGACGATTAGGCAAACAGACTTTTGCACTTGCATTGATAAATCAGTTTAAAATTTTTCAAACAGTTGGATACTTGTCAAATTCAGAGGCGGATATCGAGTCTGACATCTCCTGGCTACTAAGCAACGAATCAATACTTGAGTTCATGAAATTGAATGGACTTTCAAATTGTGTTTCCATGAATCGAGAACTATTGGTAAACGAGTATCTAACTCATTCAGAGTTTGAAGAAAAGAAAAAGATTGTACAAGAAGCTACGACCGTTGGAAGTTTCCACGCCTTGATCGGATTGGTTCATTTCAAACCTCGGCCAGGGCTGCAAGAATTGATGAATAAAATAATCAATGGTAAACGTGGTGTTTTTAGCATATTAAAGCAAAGTGCGTGAGACGTAAATAAAAATACAAAGTACAGCCCCAATTCTATAGATATAAAGATGCACAAAACACAATATCCCTCTTGATCTTTTCCTGTGCTTCGGCCATTTTCAAATGCAATTTCGAATCGCCAATAATCAAAGCAGCATTCTTAACTTCACGACAAATTTCATCCAATCTGGTAATGACTCTAACAATTGTACCTTCAGACTCAACACTAATTCCCATGATTTCATTAAAACTCAACCCATTAGCCCATTCGTAAACAACGTTGACCAAAGCAAACCGTTTACTTTCAACAAAGTCCTCCTCTTCCGAGGTTAACGAAACCCTCTTTTCAATAAACACTCGAAGCAACTTTTCAGCAATCTCGTGGATTCTAGCTTTACCCTTCTCCAACCTTGGAGTAATCAACGGTGGTTCATCTTCTTGCGTTCTACCTTCATAAACAAAGCACGATAAAAGCGCCACAATCTCAGCCGGTTCGAAATCACCAAGGAAATTATCAAGAACCAACTCAGTGAGAATCAATTCCCAGCCCGAATTGATTTCACACGCAACTCGACCTTTCAAAACTACATTGTGTTTGTCGTCAATAAATCCAAGAGTTTCAAGAACTTCCAATCTTTGTTCATAGTCTGGCAAAAGGTCCAAGTTCTCGTCCGAAATCAATCTCTGTAGCCCTTCCAATTCCATTTTAAGAAGATGTATTTTCCGATATTCGGCATAATGGTTTTGAAAATTGGGACAGTTGAAAGCTTGCAAATCGTTAATCTTTGTAAGGATATTTTCTTTCTCGACGCACAAATCATGGAGGGATATTTGTCGAGTTTGGTTGAAACTGATCTCTTCCAATTCCTTCTGGTGCCAGAGAATCGAATGTATGAGCTCCTCTGCCTTCTTAACTTCATCTGGTTTATTTTCAATAACAGCATTCATGGATACCTTCAACGTATATTTACAAATGAAATTGACACTTTCGTATGGTACCGATACGACCTTGAGACCACCATGGTACTTAATTTTGGCAAAATTTTTAATCAAATAGCTTCTAATTGGAATGTATGGCAACTTGTATTCCTCTTCAGTCGTCTCGTACTCTCTGCCATGGTGAAATGTAAGCAAATAGATACTGTCATTAACACTATCTGACTTCACAACAAACCCTATTTTCAACACGGACTCTTTATCCCGAAAACACACCAACTTTCCAATCCTCAACAACTGCGTCTTCAATATAGGCGACTTGTGAATATCAACAACACATTGGCTATAAACATCTTCGTACTCAAACATGAGTTTACAAGTTTCCTCGATGTTCTTCAAGTTACATTCATCGCATGGAGTTAGCACCAAACTGCTTAACCTGTTTGTAAGAGCATCGTGTCTCTTTTTATTCTCTGGGAGCAACACTTGGGTTGAATTTTCACTGAAGGAATGCTTAATCATTTCTTCAACTTTCAACGCCTCAATCCTAAGCAAATTCAAAATCATATTGTAAGTCAATCTGAATTGAGATTGCAATTTCGTTGGAGTTCCTAGAGCCACCTCTTTGAAGTCGGTAGGCGATAGTGCTTCATTATAAGCCATCACTATCACGGTACCGGTAGCATCTAATCCTCTTCTACCAGCTCTACCCGACATTTGCGTAAATTCCCCCGGCAAAAGGTTTCTAAATGCTCTACCATCGTGTTTTCTAGTAGAACTGAATACAACTGTTCTAGTTGGTAAATTCAACCCCATGGCAAAAGTCTCCGTAGCAAACAACACCTTCACCAACGTCTTGGCAAATAAAATTTCGATACACTCTTTCACGATGGGTAGAAGACCACCATGGTGAACTGCTATTCCTCGGCTAAGCATTTCTCTAATCTTTATAATTTGAGGTAATTCACGATCTTCCTTTTTCAATCTACCAACAGCTCTATCAATGAACATGTGAATCTCTGACTTTTCCTTGGCGGTACAGAAATCAACTCCGTGTAATGAATCGGCATACATTTCACATTTTTTCTTTGAAAACACGAAAATCACTGCTGGCAACAAATTATTCAGCTTCATATAATGTACCAATTCAGGCCATGTATTTTTGTTTGGACCATCAGTACCAAATCTCCTTGGACCGGAAAAGTTTCCATGGTTGTTAGTTGCGCCTCCACGTCCACCACCACGTCCGCCACCTCCTCCTCTGGCACCTCCCCTACCTCTAGCAACAGCTTTGTTACCACCTCTAGCTGTTCCGCCAGGTCCTCCTCTACTTCCAGAACCCATTGTCGTAGACGGAAGAGACTTGTTCGATTTTCCTGCTTCAAGCAAATCCTTGTGAGCTTTGAACTCATTCTCAATGAATCTCCTGCTTGAGTCAACAACTTTGAATAGTTTGTTCTTTGCCGATATAAAAATCTCTAAAGGCACGGGTCTTTTTGGAGTTGAAATGACGTAAATATCCTTTTGTTTGGTTCTTCCCACCCAATTGGCGAATTCAAACGTGTTTGGAACTGTGGCAGATAATAGAATGTACTTGACATGATCAGGTAACATGATAATCACTTCTTCCCAAACAACACCACGATCTATATCGTTCACATAATGCACTTCATCGAAAATGACAAACTCGACATCTCTTATCAAGTCTGCACCACGATACAACATCGAACGCAAAATTTCGGTTGTCATGATAAGACAGTTGGCTTCAGGGTTGATTTGAACATCACCAGTGATTAACCCGACATCTATGTCCTTGAATGTTTCCTTGAAATCTCTAAACTTTTGATTTGACAACGCTTTGATTGGGGAAGTATATATACACTTTGTCATATTTCTCTTGGCCATTGCGATTGCATACTCGGCCACCACGGTTTTACCTGCCGACGTGTGAGCTGCCACAAAGACAGAATCGCCCTGTTCTAAATGAAACACGGCTTCTTTTTGAAAGGTGTCTAGCTCAAATGGCCAAGTTCTTGCCATATTGGGCACTAATTCGTTGAAATCCTCAATTTTATGATCCAAATCAACAACGTGAGCCCAATCACGCTTGTCAGCTGGTTTCTTTTCATCGTACCTGAAAGACTTATAATCAAATGGAACCAATCCTTCAATTTCGTCTGCGTCAAACGGAACTTTTGATTTTGATTCTGCCAATGATTTTTCACCATTTGCTCCATCCACCAAAGAACGTTCATTCACCGCTTCAAATGTTTGTCCATTCAGATTTTCTTCACCTCTGCTCAAATCTTCCAACTCTGTCAAACCTTTGGCTTCACCAACTTCTAGCCCTCGCGAAAGCCCAGGTGGTATATCAAACAATCCATACTCGTTTCTATGTAAGTTTGAAGTAGCATCCTTCACTTCACGGTCCATTGATGCTTGCTGTAACAAACCGCCAGGTTGGAAAGGTAAAAACCCCGACTTTCCCCTTATACTATCACTCTTTGATGAGTAGTCTCTATTAATACTCAAAGAATTCGATGCAGAGGCGTTCGCCTCATTGAGGTCCACTTCTTCGCGATATCCAGAAATTTTACCCTCGATTCCAGATCTTTTGAATCTGATCTTCGTTCGGTTTAAACTCGATGGATTAATGACTAGTTTGCCAATGATTTTGTTTCTGTCGATATCAGGTTTGGGCTGTAAAAGATCGAGCAATTCCCAATTTAGTTCTGGTGACGGCTTTAAAAAGTCATCTACGAGTTGTTGGTTCTTTTCTTCTTTAGTAGGTTTCGAAAATGCATATGTCGTTTTCCCATATGGATCAGCACTCAATGGTGAGTCCTTGTGCCCTGTAAGTTCCTCTATGAGCATCAGGATTTCAGGTGCTTCTGTAATCTGGGCAAGAAGGGAAGAGAGAAAGAGCTTTGAAAAACTGTATCGCGCAAAACTCGCGAGAAACCTTTTTGTTTTTTGACCAAAACCATCAGCACACAACAATACCCTAGCCATCTACAAAAGAGTGCACACATTGCGTATTGTTTGACTGCCCTGGTCTATTTCGTGATTTATTTCCTTTTATTGACATTTGTACTTTTATAACATACCCCCTCTTTTGCTTTGCCCTATTTTGAAAGCGCTCAATATCAATAATGTCGCTTCGCAATATCAGATTACAAGAAGAAAGAAAACAATGGAGAAAAGATCATCCATTCGGGTTCTACGCCAAACCAGTCAAAGGTGCTGACGGTTCATTAGATTTAACTCAGTGGAAGGCAGGAATTCCGGGAAGGGCGGGCACGTTATGGGAAGGTGGTGTTTACCCAATCAAATTGGACTTCCCTCCAGAATATCCCTCGAAACCACCAAAAGTGAAATTTCCTGCAAACTTCTACCACCCAAATGTATACCCCAGTGGTACTATTTGCTTGAGTATTTTGAATGCTGATCAGGATTGGAAGCCGGCGATCACGTTGAAGCAGCTTGTTTTGGGGGTACAAGAATTATTGAGCACGCCCAACCCAGATTCACCAGCACAAGAAGCAGCTTGGAAAGACTTTAGTAAAGATCGGAAGTTGTATGAGAAGAAAGTGAGCGAACAAGCTAAAAGGTTTACGCCTGCTGTGTAGAATAAAATCAAAGTGTATATCTGTTGTAATTGAAACGAATAAATTGATTAAAGTGAAACAGGTCGGGAAGAATACCAACATTGTAATCCTACAGTAGTGATTCCTCTAAGTAGTATTTTATATATATCACGCTATTTCAACTCTAAACCACATCGCCACTATTCAACAAATCCCTACTTTTGAAAACGGCCCCTCCCGATTTTGCCTCTCCGAGTTGGGACGTTCCCTTTTCCTTGTATGTGCTGACTGCTGGAATATCCGCCTTTAGTCTAGATACCAACGTAGAATAGGCTCTTGGCTCCAACTTGATCAATGTGTGTAATGGTATAGACATCCAGGGACTTTCTTCTTGAGGCACGTTCATGAAATACGCATAAAGACAACGCAATACAGCTTGGTGGGTGATTATAAGAATATTCTCTTGACGTTCCAACTCCATAATGATGGGCTCCAACCTTATGACAATGTCACGATAAGATTCTCCGCCACGATACCTATATTCATATTTGTTGTCATCCCTAGCTTTGAAATCTTCTGGGAATGCCTTCTCAATCTCCTCGTACGTCATTCCGTCACACTCACCAGCATCCAATTCGTCTAGTGCTTTCCACTGCAATTTTTTGTATGGCAAAAATGAGGCTGTCTCCTGCGTACGCTTTAAAGTCGAGGTCCATACCGTCAAATTTGTATGCTTATGTTCCTCACCCAACGATTTAAGAACTAGTTCAGGTAACTTTTTTGCGTACCTCCACCCACGTTCTGACAAATCGGCATCACCACCAATCTGGCCGGTCAAGTTGAACTCCGACTCACCATGTCTTGACAACCAAATGCTTCTTGGTTTGATATGTAAGTTCATCACGTAGTAAACAATTCGACTTTCCAAATAAGTCTCGATCCGGTTCAAAATAATTTGCGCGTTCACATTAACAAGTTTGACGAAGGTCAATTCCGAGTCTGCAGAAGGGTCCATAGTTTCATAAACTGATTCATAATGCTCGATTCTCTTAAGAAAATCTGCCATAGCAAATTCATTAGGTTTTGTGATGTAATCCGGGGAGGTGGTTTTCACATCCATGATATTCTGCAATATGAGCTCTTTGTCGTCACACCAACTTTCTAAAAACATGGGTTCGATATAGTTCTCCCGGCATAACTTCAAGATTCTATCCCTTCTTTCACGGGTGGAGTTTGTGGCATCCAAAATCCCTACAACACCATTTTCCTCGACAAACCAATTCATCATGTCTTTGATTGCTGAATCTATTGCTTGTTTCCTATAAGCCAACCCCTCTTCATTCTTTGGATTAAAGAAATCGGCGTTAAGAGCAGCCTCTTTGGCCACTTCTCGCCTGTAGTTACCAACGTTGAAGCACTTTGACATTATCGACAACCATGACAAGTACCGGACAATCTTCTGGGATATAAGAGATTTTCCACGAGCTGGTAAACCAACCATAACCACACAAACTCTAACATTCTCAACATGAGATATTGAATACACTGGCATCACTGTTATGGGAGGGGGGTGAGGAGCTTCTAATGATATATCAAAAGTAAAAAAATTTTTAAAAAAAAAAATGTGGGGTCAATCCGGTTGAAAAGGAGTGGATATCAGCTCTAAACGTGGTTTACCCTTTTCTTGCTTTTATTTTGTGGGGTTGTTGTTGCTATTGGAAGTTTTTCTTTTTCAGCAAGGGTAGGTGGTGGTAGATTCCTTTCTTATTGATAAGATCCGATCCATAAAAGGTTTTAGATTGTTTGAAAGAATAGAAAAGAAAAGAAAAGTAAAGTATTGATAAAACTACATGATGTGATTATATGATTATTTTCTCATGTGTTGAAAGTTAAAGTCGTGTGTGTGTTTCTTTTTCTTTCTTTCTCTCTTTCTTTCTTCAGTTCCGAATTAATCCTTTAACAAACTTACTCTTATTCTTTTTTATTCTATTTTCATTTTTACGAAAATAACAGTCATGTGACCATCACGTGCACAATTTTGTTCAAATTGTGCCTGAGGTGTCTGGAATGTTTTTAAAGATCTCTCTCCTGGTACTGCATTAAACTTTTGTAGACCTTAATAACACACACCACTAGTTAGGTTTGAAGCATCTAAAGCTGCAACTATGAAGAGGTTTCTTTCCAAAGCAAGTAAATCTGATAATGCTGATTTAAACCAGGATACGCAAAGTCTGGCTGGGCAAGATGACAACAAGTCAAGAACAACATCGTCGTTAAAGCCTAGCAAGAGTAATATATCACACGAGTCGTACGACTCGGTACGGGAGCTAAGGCCCATGTTTGGTGAAACTGGAAAGCATCTGCTGCTGCTGTCTCTGAAAAAGCCTTCTGAAGCTGGTTTTTACGATACGAGCTTGAACCTTAATCCACTGATAATTCCAAATGACACGGCAACCATGGGGACATCCAGCAGTAGGCATTCAACTGTGCATGGAGAAGGTGGCTCACTCTTTTCCAGCAAGCAATCCTTTTCAACTAAACAGTCATCCTATCAAAGTTCCAATACTTCGAAACAACCATTTCAATACAACTATAGCCAGCCGTTGCAAATTCTCGACTTGGTTGAAAGCGATACTGGTGATGATAGGAGCTATCACGACCGTGTTTGCGATGAACTAAAGAAATTAAGTCAAAATTTGGCTTATATTTTTATGCAATACAATAATTCGAGTGTGAATCTCTCCACGACAGTGGTGAATTCGATTGATTGTTTTAAAGATTTCAACAGTAAAATAAAGAGGGAAGAGGAAACCAATGTCACTACATTGAACAATGCCAGCTTGAGAAAAATTGTCAAGTTTTATCTCCATTTTTATGACAATTTATTGAAAGATGATGTTTATATCAAGTTGAAGCTACTATTAGTCAAGCACTTTAATGATTTTGCCACTGTATTCAACGACACTTTTGATGAGAATAATGTGGTTGCTAAACCTCGAAATTTTGCTGTAGGAGCCGATAACATGGAGGATTTCCCCAATGAAGATGTTATTACTCGAATTATTGATAAGATTGCCCACACTAAAATTTCAGTTCAGGAACAAAATGGATCCTTTATAGCCCCAATAATGAGAGGTGTTTCTACAAGATTGAGTATCTTGTGTCTATATTTCGGATACCCTGATCCTCAGGAAATGCATTACAAATTCACACAAAGTATACACGATTTGTATGAGGACATTCACGTCATGGTGATGAGGAACCAAATTGAGCTTGCTTCTGCATCGGTACTGAATCCGCCGCTGATGCAAATGGGGAGCACGCCAGTAGCAGTACCAAAACAGAAGTTTAAGCTACCGTTTAGAATACCCACAGACCCATTGGAGCCTCCAATATCCATGTCCATATCGACGGAAAATTCCACCAGAGTGTCAGGTACCATGGGTGGCTATATATACCCCAAGATAGACCTCACCAAGCAGCCACATCTCAAGAGCTATGCATCGAGTAAATTTGCTATATCATGTGGCCACGTGTGTTTGGACCCCCAAGATTCGTCGTATTATTGCAACATTGCATCTCCATCAGCAGCATTGATTCTGCTATATAAACAAGCACTTACTGTACAATATCAAAGACAAGCTGGGCAACTTAATGAAAGTCATGTTGCCTATGGATCGATATTGAATGAATTGGAGGAGATGTTTCCTTTGAAAAAAGTCAAGGTCCACGATAAGCATTCACCAGAACATTATGACATGCGTAACCTACCACAAGTGAGATTTGGGCAGATTATATGGGGAGAACGAACGTTGATCAACTTGTCCGAAACACCTAATGAACTCAGTGGGCTAGTTGAACGTAAACTCTCCGACTTGGCAATTATCAAGGTCAATAAGCACTTGAAATGCACATACAACTATTTAGGCGATGATGTGCCATTCAATGAGTACGATCCAGCCTTAATCATGGATAATTTGTATGTCAGAAAGGTTCTCAATTTGAAACGATTTACTCCAAAAACGATAGATGAGAACATTAATGAAGTCGATTCAAGTGTGTCACTGTCATCGCAAGAGCAAGAACTGAACTATCACGGCATACCTGTGTTTAAATACGGATCAACAACAAAGTACACTCGCGGTAACTTGAATGGGATTAAATTGGTTTACTGGCTTGACGGAGCTATGCACTCGCTGGAGTTTATTGTCAATTCAATAGACAATAATTCGGCATTTGCCAGTGGTGGTGATAGTGGGAGTTGGGTGCTTACCAAATTGCAGGATTTGAATTCCAAAGCTAATGGTCTAGGTGTGTTGGGAATGTTGCATTCCTATGATGGTGAGTATAAACAATTTGGGTTGTTTACTCCCATGTGTGAAATATTGAACCGACTAGAAGAGGTGACTAACATCAAGTGGGGTGTTGTGGGTTGTGAGCTAGAAGAAAAAGGTGCAAAAGTTGAACAAGAAAGCAATGCAGAAGATTTGAGGTCTAGTCAATCACAAGAAGTTGACTAGAGGAGCTCTTTTTTTTTTTGTTTTTCTTGTTGTTACATACTAGCTCGTGTATTAGACGTTTAGATTTTATATTTGGTGATCAATGCAAGGATATATTTGGCTGGTGTTATTTAAGTTCAATTGATTGTTTAATACGATTGCTTTCAAAAAAAAACATGATTTCTTTTCATGTCTTCTGCTTACTGGGTACAACTCATTCGCAAAAGTTAGAGACAATGTACATGATCTCTAATCGGTGTTGTGTGCGGGCACTGATAGGCGATTGTCGCACACAAACTCACGACACATCATCAAACGAGACGACATTGAACCTCTTTCAGAAAATAAACCGATTCTCGAATTTTCCCCCCAAACTAAAACGACACCAACTCGCATATCAGACTCCCAAAAGTGAAAATAATGTCTTCAAGCGGAGGAAAACTCGTAGTAGGTGGTGTTGCAATCATTGCATCGTGGTGGTTCGGAGTAAATTTCTGGAAACCCCTCATCCTGTATGTACATATTCACCATCCACCATCAATCATTGATTGGTTTCTTCTTTTATTCTTTTTTACTAACTGATTCAACCTAGAGAACAATTAGACAAGGACGGAAACTTAAAAGACAAATACAAGTCAGAAATACCTAAAGACGAAGTGGCGTCGTGGTCGGACTTGAAGCAGAAATGGGCCGCTGTCGTTGATCCAAAGCTGAATTTTTCGAGTCAGGATAAAGCAAGTTTGGAGGATTTGAAAGAACATTTGCTGGAGAATAAACCTCGGGATCGATGAGGTTTAGGAAGAGAGTGATAAGAGGCTTAAAGAATGAGAATATGTTGAGAGGATTTTTGAAAGGCTGCCGTGTATACTTGATTCGACTAATGACTTTTGTACCTTGCTAAAGCTCATCACCGATTTCACAGACTTGTATAGATAGATATTATATACAAAGCGCTTCGAATTTCCACTCTTTACAACGTAACTCAACATGATAAATAAATTTAATTGGCCTGTATAGATTAAAAAACAAAACCTATATTCTGGAATATATATATATACGTATACGTTAAAACACACAATGACTAACCGACTGTAGAAATACAAGATGCGGGAGGAGTATCAATAATAATAAATAATGTACATTTGAATCAAAATAATAAAATCCTTTTAAAGACCATTATTGACTCTCACGCTTTATTTCTTACCAGCTTTTTCAGCAGCAACGGCAGCCATCTTGTTCAAAGCTGAACCGTATTTGAACCATTCAATTTGTTCTGTGTTGTAGGTGTGTGACAATTCGGTTTCCCAAGCTTCACCATCCTTTGGATGAACTCTCATAACAACATTCTTACCTGGAGCCAATTCGGTCAATCCGAGTAAATCAATTTCGTCATCTGGGTTAATCTTGTCGTAATCAGCAACATTGGTAAAGTTCAATGGCAACAAACCTTGTTTCTTCAAGTTAGTTTCGTGAATACGAGCAAATGACTTGGTAATAATGGCGAAACCACCAAGGAATCTTGGTTCCAAAGCAGCATGTTCTCTAGATGAACCTTCACCAAAGTTTTCATCACCAATAACAACCCATTTGTGGCCAGAGTCTCTCAATGCAGCAGCGGTTTGTGGAACACCGTCCCATTTACCAGTGTAGTGGTTCTTGATTTCATTGGCTTTACCGTTTTCAGCGTTGGTGGCACCAATCATATAGTTGTTGGAAATGTTTTCCAAGTGACCACGGTATTTCAACCATGGACCAGCCATTGAAATATGATCAGTGGTGGTCTTACCAACAGCCTTGATCAAAATTGGCAATCTTTCAGCATCCTTACCGTCCCATGGCTTGAATGGTGTCAATTTTTGCAATCTGTCAGAGGTTGGAGAAATGACAACTTCAATTGAAGCTCTGTCTTGTGGTGGAGCTTGGTAGGTGTTTTCACCCTTGTCGTAACCCTTTGGTGGCAAACCAAGACCAGATGGTTCTTTCAATTTGAATTCTTTACCTTCAGAATCAACCAAGTAATCAGTGATTGGGTTGAAACCTAAGTCACCAGTGATGGCGTAAGCAGTAGCCATTTCTGGAGAAGCAACGAAAGCGTGAGTGGCTGGGTTACCATCGTTTCTTGAAGTGAAGTTTCTGTTGAATGATGACACAATGGTGTTCTTTTCACCCTTCTTGACATCTTGTCTATCCCATTGACCAATACATGGACCACAAGCGTTAGCCAAGACAACACCTCCGAAGTCTTCGAAAGTCTTCAATTGACCATCTCTGGCAATGGTAGCTCTAACTTGCTCTGAACCTGGGGAAACAGTGTACAAAGTCTTGGCCTTCAAACCGTGAGCTTCAGCATCCTTGATGATGGAAGCAGCTCTACTCATATCTTCGTATGAAGAGTTGGTACATGAACCAATCAAACCAACCTTGACATCCAATGGCCAGTCGTTGGCAATAGCGGTTTCTCTCATCTTGGAGATTGGGGTGGCCAAATCTGGAGTGAATGGGCCGTTGACGTGTGGTTCCAAAGTGTTCAAGTCGATTTCAATAACTTGGTCGTATTCACAACCTTCATCAGCTTTAAGGAAATCATTCTTGTATTGATGAGCAAATTGAGCAATGTCAGATCTACCAGTGGCTTCCAAGTAGTCATCCATAGATTTGTTGTATGGGAAAACGGAGGTAGTAGCACCAATTTCAGCACCCATATTACAGATGGTACCCATACCGGTACATGAGAAGGTTTCAACACCTGAACCGAAATATTCGACAATAGCACCAGTACCACCCTTGACAGTAGTAATACCAGCCAATTTCAAAATGATATCCTTTGGTGAGGTCCAACCACTCATCTTACCGGTCAATTTAACACCAATAATCTTTGGTGCCTTCAATTCCCAAGCAAGACCAGACATGACATCGACGGCATCAGCACCACCAACACCAATAGCCAATTGACCCAAACCACCAGCGTTTGGAGTGTGTGAATCGGTACCAATCAACAAAGCACCTGGGAAAGCATAGTTTTCCAAAACAATTTGATGGATAATACCTGAACCTGGTTTCCAGAAACCCAAGTTGTATTTAGCACAAGCAGAAGCCAAGAAATCGTAAACTTCCTTGTTCAAGTCAATGGCTCTGGCCAAATCCTTGGTACCACCAACTTGAGCTTGAATCAAGTGATCACAGTGGACGGTTGATGGAGTAGCAACTTGTGGCAAGTTAGCAGACATAAATTGCAAAATAGCCATTTGAGCGGTAGCATCTTGACAAGCAACTCTGTCTGGTCTCAATTTCAAATACGATTTACCTCTTTCGATATCTTGTCCATGAGGGTCATCCAAGTGACCGTACAAAACCTTTTCAGCATAAGTCAATGGTCTGTTTAATCTGGCCTTGACAATTTCAACATTTTCCAAGTTTTGTTTGTAATTGATAAAAGAGTGGTCTTCCAACAAGTTTTGGTGGACTTTGGAGTCTCTGTTGATAGCAGAAGCTAAACCACGAATGGTGACCGAACGTGGGTTTGATCTAATAGCTGTTCTTGAAGCAGACAACATATTAGACTTAGGATAATATTCTAGTAATAAATATGGATTAAGGTGTTTGATATTACCTGATTCTCTAATTGAACTAAAGTTGAATAGAGAAAAAGAAGAAGAAGCAGCAGAAAAATAGGAAGAAGAAGAAGGGAGATATATAAAGGGAGAGGAGAAATTGGAAAAAAATTTTAAATTTTGGTTTTTGGTTGGTTGAACAGAAACAGAAACAAAATAAAAATAAAAACTAAAAAACAATAGAAATAGAGAGAGAAGTAAAAAATAAAAAATAAAAAATAACCTCCTGTTAGACACTCATACAAAAATAACGACTACTTCTACTACATTGCATCATCTATGTCCTTCTATTGGCCTGATCCACTCTAGTTCCATTGAAGTTATCGTAGTATTCAATACAATTTTCTATAGTTTGTAACATGGCCATCTTCCGTGGCTATTGTAGAATACAAATCTCCATAAATGTGGGTTAGATTTTTTTTTGATCATCTACTACTACTAAAAAAATGAAAATAAATTGTCTGTTTGTGTCAACAGAAGATATTTTGCAGATTTTTTCGGTTCCGTTAATTGAAGTTTCACTCTCTTCAGCCAATCAGCAACTGTAAGTTTATAATATTGCTTTTTCTGTTTGAGAACGTTTTGTTGACTGTACACTACCTCCTCGGTTAAATAACTACCGGGCATACAAACTCCAAGTCACATCTATTGTAGACACTTTCAGCATATACAGAGAGAAGGGGCCATTTGAATATATTCACTCGAGTGAATTATCTGCTTTAATACTTTCCATAAGTGTTGTGAAATTTGCAATGACTTTAAAAGAGCACATGGTAAAAAAAAAACTCCGACAGTTTTGTTTTGCCCCAGATTTCAATTTTAAATCTATTTTTTATTTTTTGTTTTCCCTCCTGTTATTACTATTATGCAGTCTTACTTTCTTTCATTTACATCTCATTTAATTGGTTGATTTTATTTTTGTTAAACAAAAAAAAAAGAATATTTCAAAAACTTTCAAAACTTTTTAAAAGAAACCACAAAACTAAAACTCAACTGTTCTTTATAATCACTGCTGTCTATTATAAGTCTACAGTGTTCTTGCTTTAACATTTTGTTTCTTTCAAAACAAAGAGGTAGCGTCTTTCTGGCTGTAAAAATAACAGTTGCCGAGGTTCATAAAACAAAACACTTTCGCGTTTATCAGAATAAAGCGTATCATTTTATTGTTTGCACCCATTTCTTAAACTACAAAGACACTTGCTAAGTTCGTTGTTGATGATGGAGACAGTTGGCAGAGTTTAGTGAGAGACACCTTTGATTAGTACAAGTCAAGACACGTGTTTCAAATCGTACCGTGAAGCAAAAAAAAGAAAGCCAAAAACAAAGCCCGACGCGGGACTCGAACCCGCAACCTTGAGATTAAAAGTCTCACGCTCTAGCCGATTGAGCTAGCCAGGCCAATTTTTTTCAAAGTTTTCTGTGTGGGCAAGCGGTGGCTATTTATTGCATCATGTGCAAGATATATAATTACTGCCGTCTGGATGCAAATCAAACTATACCCACTTCCATCATACCTTAAGCACCCAGCCATGTAAATACCAAGGCAATTCAATGATGTACTCAATAGATTGGTGGTACAAAACCAAAAAAACATATCTGTCGTTTCAAGCTTGTGGGGCATAAAACGTGTTGCAAGAAAGAGAAGAGAAAAATGTAGAAGGATCCTAGTTGTATGAAAAAACCATGTTGAATGTAGCTAGCTTCAAAGTTAGAACCAATGTGCTATCCCATATTGAGAAAACAATAACTGTCATGCCACAGAAGTTCTAACCGAAAACAGAGTTTATCTTTACTCTCTTTGTACGTTCAAAGGTAATGGAGCAACTTTCATCTAAATATCAGGCAAACTACTTACACTTCTAGCAAAACATTCATTTTTTTAGCCTCTATTACCATAAAGCTGTAAAAAAATCAGTAAGAAAGCTTTTTCAATTGTTGAAAGGGTTATCATGCCAACAACCCCTTCTTTAGAAGATTACAAAAAGATTGAACTTACACAAGGGACTTTACATCCCCATTTATACTGAGAAATGGCATTCCACAGAATAAAAAATATTCATATATATATATATATATATATATTATTATTACTGTAAACTCAAGTTGATCTAACTAATCTCTAAGAAATTCACCTACTAAAATAGTTGCTCAATCAAACGAGTATTGCTGCATACTTCAATGTTTGCAACCATAATCAATATATTTTGTATAAGTTGTGTACTTTCTTCAGACTTGATCGAAAATTACTCATTACTTCAACAGTACCCATAAATTTCATTTCAAGGAAGGATGGTTGATAATATATATATATATATATATATGGCGATTGGTATTTGGTCAAATTTCAAGTGTTGCTTAGAGGCATGCAAACGTGAAGGACATTGGGCTTTTAGTTTGGGGATTTTTCTTTCCTTTTGTTTGTGGTTTTATACTGTATCATTTTTGGAGAATATCAAAAAAAAGTGCTGCCAAAATTGATAACTTGAAATTATGCCATCAGAATCAATCATTGAAGCTGGTATTAGCGATTGGCCTTTGATGAAACGGACCAATCTATCTCGGAATATGTATATAGAATACTCTAGTAGTCACGTCGACATTAAAATCTTGGTGTATTCAACCCCTCTCTTACTCCCTTGTAATGAGATCGCATTTTAGTTGTAAAAAATGGTAGTGCATCTTACCTAATCTTAACACAATAAACAAAAAAGGATTCAGATCTCTCCAAAGTGATATCTCAATCGAATGGTCTTGTACTACATAGTTGCAAGTTAAGACTCAGGCAAACATCAACTGGGATTCAATTGCAATTTCAAACATCACTCCACTCACGAAAACACCTTCACAAATAGTTTTGGTTCTAATAACCTATTATCCATGTGCAAGTGTTTCGTCTCTGACCATATTCCAAGACGAGCATCGCATTATCTAATATAGCAACACTTTCAAAAGCATTTCAATTAGGAAAGTTCTTCTATCAGTCTCTTCTTGTAGACATGCGCATTCTGTGGTAAAAAACATTGTATTCAATCCACCACTTTTCAACAAGACACAGGCTTCAGCAACTGACGTTTTAATAGTAAAGCGTCATATAAGTTCAATGTCATGGTGGTAGTCGAGTGTTTAGATCAAGTGCATGGTGTAGTGGATGCATGGCTTGTTGTTCACCATGTCATTTATATACTAACAAATCCTGTAATAGACTCATAATTCTCTCTTCAAATTCATACTTCACCATTTTTGAAAGTCTGACAGATGTTTGAACCTAGGTCAAGCTAATGAAAAAAGCGTGGATTTTCATCAACGGCTACTTTTTCTTTAAAACACTGATGCCAAAGAAGGCATGAAGAAACTAAGCGTTAGCTTCATCGTTCCAGACATGTCCAAATTGACTGAGTGCATCGTGCAGTTAGACTTACATATCAATCTCGATGGTGGTTGTTGTGTTGGAAGGACATTTCATTCTTGGTTGATTGGTGTCGAGAGTGTGTGTGTCGTGTGTTCGAATTTTTTCTCGATCAATTCAAAGCGTCATTTAGAGTTAACTAAAGGCGGAAAGAGAGAGAGAGAGAGATAGATAGATAGATCCTTTTCTTATTCTCTTACGTGTATCTTCCTTCCTTGTTTCGTACAAAGAACCTGTCTTCCCTACGTTAAATGAATGAACATACAGGGTCATTAACTGTGATTGTACAATGAAGAATGAATCGATACGCAATACACAATGCGAATCTTTTATTCTAAAGAACCGCTCTTTCCAGCACCTGGCTGGACTACGACTTATATTCCTATAGTAGCAGATAATATTTTCTGTTTTAAGTATAGAGTAATAGGATAATGTAAAACTGCGATGCAGTTGTATAGCTTGAGTATTAGCTGAAAATGGTAAGAGTGGGATTTTGTGTTGCTTTATTTTAGGAGCGAGGACAGTTCACATTCCATCTCTATATTATATGCAAAGATATAATTAGGTATTTCCTATTTATATCAATAAATTGGTGATCTCTAGGTTTGACCGGTATAAGTCACTTTTGTATTCATTTGGCTGGGATTGTAGTTTCAGAAGATTTACCCCTTACAGCACCTTGCTACGCTGAAAAGTTTACTTTAAGGGAGAGGGGTTTCCTCCAGCAAAACCCCGTTTTAGAAAAAATACAATAAATTTTGCTGTTAACTTGTGAATGGTTGCAAAATTCTCTGTACCAGATGTTTTCTGCCTTCCGTTGTCTCATCATCATCACAAGAAAATAAAAAATAAAAAATTTAAAATTTAAAATAAAAAAAAAATTTTGGAATGAGTAGTTACCAAAGCCAAAGCCAACACCAACCGCATTGCATCCAACAAATAATGGGGAAATTGAAAAAAGGAAGAAAGAACCAAAAGGCAAGAGTTAATCCAATTGGGTCCAAGTCACAGCAGGAGATTAAAAAGGATGAGTCAACAAGGAACTCGAAGATTCTACCCCTTATAAATAAGCTTAAATCGAGCGTGCCAAATGATAAATCGATGGCTCTAGGTGCTATAACTATTCTTTCCGAAGACGCTCGTATGAGAACATTACTTCTTAAGGAGAAGGTGATTGCTGTTGTCATGCAATCATGTTTGAACGACTCCAACGATGAGATCATCGTTGAGGCATTTGGATTATTGAGAAACTTGGGGATTGAAGAAGGCCACGATGTGACTAAATATTTGTGGAGGCAAGACATATGGACGAGTATAGAGAGTGCGTTGAACAAAATCAATGACTCTTTTAAGTTCTTGCAGGAAAAGGGCAAGGTCGAGAAAGACAAATCTAAGTTGCAGCTACTATACGATTTCACTGAGAATATATTGAGTTTAATAGTAGTTCTTGCAGGTGGAGATGAATCGATGTACGAATCAGTGTTCAAAAAGATAGATCCAATTCTCGATTTTGTTTTGAGAATTCTCGATGGTCATATAAGTGGAAGCTTCAAGGTTACAAACAAATTGTTTGCGGCATTGTTAGAATTTGTTTACGAATTTTCCACCGAGTCTGTTGAATTTGTTGAAAAATTGGAAAGATACAACAACTGGGATAAGTTGATTTCATATGTCAATGATTCAAACAGCAATTTGGCCAAAATTTATATTGAAGGGATCAAGTTTAACAACTATGAGGTGTTGGAGTCAACACATGCTAATAAACAGCTGGTGTTGAGGGATGTTTTGCGTAGTATTTTTGACATTGAGACCGGTATAGACTTGCAGAAACTTCTGGAACGCATTGAATCTATAGCCCACCCAAATAATGCTGATGAACCGATAAAGAAAGATGCCAACACGCTTGAGAAGGATTTGTCGTCCAATAATGAAGTTAAGTCGGAAACAAAAAGAGACTTATCAACCATTGAAGTTGGTTTAAGTGTTATCACTTCGGTGCTTGAATATTTGGCAGTTAGCGAAGAATCTCCAGAAAAACCTATCAACTTATCGCCAGCTTTGGAAGAGATATTGTTTGAGAAAATAGAGCCAATGTTGGTTGAGCTTCTCAAGTTTGAATTGAAGACAAACGTTTTACAATTGGGGGAGCAAATAATTGGTGCAATCAATAATTTTGCCTGGCTCGTTTTAAGTACGGAACACCTTCCTGTTGCGTGGTATGAAAAGTCATTGCAGTTGTATGATATCATACTAACTATTAATGATGAGAAATTACAAATGGACAGTTTGGGTGTGTTTTGGGCAATAATAAAGAGTTTAGGACCAGAAATTGTTGGAAAAATCCCTCCTGAACTCATCCAAAGACTTTTACAAGCACAAGCAACTGAAGATAACTCCAACGCCTTTTTAAATGTTATTGGTGTATTGGGATCCATAGCACCAATTATCAACAACACTGAAATCACTTTCCAAATATCACAATTTTTGATTACTTCGATCAATGCTGCATGTAATGAGCCGCAACACACAAGGAATTTGGAGGTCATTATTGAATCTTTAAATGCGTTTTATGATATCTTTGGTGATATGCAATTTGATTATGATTATCCAGTTTTTGTCAAACATGATTATCTAACTTTATTGAAGAACCTCGAGCCTAAGATCAAGGAGATATACAAGAAAATTGACAAAAGTAAACATCCACAACTTAAAATGAAGATGGAAGAAACATGGACCAACTTGGAGAGATTTATACAGTACAAAGAGAGTGAACGGATGTAATTGGATACTCGTATACTAAAGGGGGGGGTTAATACAATACTTTGCAAAGTTAGCGACAGAGTATAAGATCTATGTTTGTGTGCAACCTGAGCGGCTAGTACAAGGGATCACTAGCCATCACTTTTGTAGAGTACTATAATCATACCAACGTACTTTCATTGTAGACTTTAATAATATTGACTCCTCAGAAGGGTATTCTCATGTTTTTAGTGGCTGAGCTTTAGTTATTGCAAAATTGTTAAGCAAAAACAAGAGAGAGAAATCAATCTAAGTTTGACCGGCAATGTTTGTAAGAGTAGTTGCAAATGTCGTTGCCATTATTCATCTCTACACGACTCGAATGGTTCTCTAGATAAAGCTTATTACCTCAACGCCTATTCCATAAATAAAACAATTATACACAGCAATATCCACCATCGACTCTGATATCAGAACCATTGGTGAAACTAGATGCATCACTAGCCAAATACAAATATGCACCAACCAATTCGTCAGTTTCAGCTTCTCTGCCCATTGGAGTGAGACCCCACCACTTGGCTCTTTGCTCAGTCGGTATTGGTGCCGATAACAATGTGTTTGTGTAACCTGGACTAACTGAATTGACCCTAGCAAATCCAGCAAATTCAACAGCTAAACCCTTGGCCATGTGCATAACAGCAGCTTTGGCTGAGTTGTAAGCAGTTTGGTAGTTTGGAACATTGTTGATATGGGCTGACATGGAGGCAGTAATGATGAATGATCCAGAACCTTTTCTTTTGAAAATTTGACCCACGTATTTAGCACAGTAAAAGACACCGTTGACATTGACATCAAACACTTTTCTCCAGTTCTCTGGAGTGGAGTCCTCATTAAGAATAGAACCGGTGTACCATGCAATACCAGCATTAGCAACGAAAACGTCAATCGTTCCAAACTCTTCTTCAATCTTGGCAACGACTTCTTTCACTTGTTCAGCACTGGTGACATCAATTTGGTAAAATTGTGACTTGATTCCGTAGACAGTAGCTAACCTCTTACTCAAACCGTTGTCGCTGTGGGCATGATCCAAAATTACAACATCACCGCCAGCTTGAGCGTATCCTTCAGCAATTGCAGATCCAATGGCACCTGCACCACCAGTTATGACGGTAACTTTTCCCTTCAATGAGAATCTCTCGGTTATGTTCTTTGACAAGTTGAATGGTTTGGTTGGAACCTCTCTATCGGCATCAGTGTCTGGTTTGATGAGTGATTGATATGGTGAGACAGTCATTGTTCGAATATGTTCTTCTTTTCTTTAAAAAATTACTTGATAATGTTGCAAGAGAAAGAAAAGAGCAAATGTAATTAGAGAGGGAAAGGAAATCTAGGGGTATTTATATAATCTCTCATCATCATCCTTTAGGCGCTTGTTTATGTAAAACCTTACTTCGGTGAAACTCCATATTTTCAACTTTCGTGAGTTTGTGTACTTAACTGTGAAGATGAGTAGTCGTTTCTTTTTTTCTTCTGTCCTTGTCTAAGTTGTTGGAAGTTTTGTGTAATTACCTTGTGTGGTTCGGAAGAACTGAACAAAAATTCTAACGGAACAACACAACAAAAGACAATTCCTTTTTGTCAACCCTTTAATGATGTAATATCAGAACAGCAGTCTTGTTGGTTTAGTAATTAAGTAACACAAACAAAAATAAATCTACAGAGAAATCATCATAGTATTCAGCAAAATATACCCTAAATATCCTTGGGGCCAATCATATCCTCAGGTCTTACCCATTGGTCAAACTCCTCAGAGGTCAACATTTTCAATTCCAAGCACGACTCTTTCAAAGTAATGCCCTTTTTGTGTGCATTCTTGGCCACTTTTGAAGCATTATCATAACCAATTTTGGGGTTCAAAGCAGTAACCAACATCAATGACTCGTGTAAAAATTTGTCAATCTTCTCCTTTATTGGCACGATGCCTTCAACGCAATGAATTCTAAATGACCTAGATGCGTCTCCCAATATTCTGATAGAGTTTAACAAGTTGTAGGCAATTACAGGTTTAAACACGTTTAATTCGAATTGTCCTGATGCACCTGCAAAAGTAATTGTGGTGTTGTTCCCCATAACTTGTGCACAAACCATGGTCATTGCTTCACATTGGGTAGGGTTGACTTTACCTGGCATAATGGACGAACCTGGCTCATTTTCAGGGAGTGCCAATTCTCCATATCCACATCTTGGCCCCGAACCCAAATATCTAATGTCATTGGCGATCTTGTATAGAGATGTTGCCAAAGTGTTCAAAGCTCCAGAAGCCTCTACACAGGCATCATGTGCCGCCAAAGCCTCGAACTTATTGGGTGCTGTCTTGAAAGTGAAACCAGTGAGCTCGGAGATTTCTTCTGCAATTTTGACATCAAATCCACGGACAGTATTTAACCCGGTTCCAACTGCAGTACCGCCTTGGGCCAAGTATGACAATCTTGGTAAGGTCTGCTTAACTCTTTCGATACCAAACTTCAACTGTTGCACATACCCGGAAAACTCTTGACCCAACGTCAATGGCACTGCATCTTGCAAATGTGTTCTTCCAATTTTGATAATACTTTGAAATTCATCAACTTTCTTTTGAAAAGCATCTTCCAATTCAACTAAATTGGGTATCAAATGCTCTTCAATGTGGATCACGGCAGCAATGTAAGCAACTGTTGGGAATGTGTCATTGGAGGACTGTGACATGTTACAATCATCATTAGGATGGACCGGCTTTTTTGTTCCCTTTTCACCGCCCAAAATCTCATTGGCTCTATTCGAAATCACTTCATTGGCGTTCATATTGGATTGAGTACCAGAACCAGTTTGGAAAATAACCAAGGGGAAATTGTCACTCAATTTGCCTGCAATCACTTCATCTGCAGCTTGCTGAATTGCATTTGACTTTTTAGAATCCAATAATCCAAATTTCTCATTGACTATTGCTGCTGCTTTCTTCTGGATACCAAATGCTTTAATGATGGGAAAGGGCATTTTGATGTCACCAATTTCAAAATTAGTTAACGATCTTTGAGTTTGAGCACCCCAGTATTTATCTGCTGGGACCTCAATTTCTCCAAAAGCATCAGTTTCAATACGTTTGTCAGACATGTTTGATTGAATCAATGGTTAGGGGCAATTGGCGAAGAGATGAAGAGGAAAGATTTAATATAGGCTCTTCATCTCGGAGTTTTATCTTTTTTGTTTTTTTTGCTCTCTAATGCCGTACTACCAAAACACGCCACGTTCTTGTCCCGGTTGAGGTATTCCTATTACTTCCGGTATGGAAGGACACCTTTTGCAGGGCTCAATTGTGAATACATACATACGCTCCTTGTCAAGAGCGCAATTTACACTCGATTCCGATTGGCCAATGATCAGAATTTATTTCTATATAACTGCTTTTTACAAATACTTTGATCCTGCTTCTTGCAATCTTCTTTGCGCTAGCCGTCTAGGTGGCTCAACTTTTGCCCCGTGCCAGTGATAGTGGAACCCGATTTCGTGGGCCAAGATCTCTCCGAAGCCCAACATCATACCATTAATGAATGGCAACACCAAATTTATGGCACTTTTTCTAATAATACCAACAAAGTGCGACCAAAACGAGAATTGTCCTTGTTCTGTATATATCTCTTCATCCACCTGCTCCTCATCCTCTGTTTCTTTATCAGCCAACAAACTCTTGTCTTCGGCTAGTCTTCCGGTATTGGCTATATCTGCATTCAACACTACATCTTGAGGTATAATAGTAGAAGGATGTGTATTCAAACCATCAACATAATCTCCCCCTAACGCATCAACAATAATTTCCTCTACTGTTTCTTGTCTTTGGGTAACGGAATCAGGATTCTCGGGACTGAATATAGTTTGTAATTCATCACTTACTGCTTCCACATTCCGCGGTATGCCTGTGCTTGACGTCTGTTGCGTGTTCTGAACATTTTCAGATCTTTGATGACGTTGAGCATATGAGCCAGACATGTCGATTTTCAGTGATGTAATCTCTAGCAGTTAATGGGAATTATTGTGGGTTTGATAAATTCTCTCTCCCTTTGCTGATTCGGTGCACTTGAAGTCGCGCAAGTTTGCTTTACGTCACTGAAAAATGACACATACACACCCTAAGTTCCATTACAGCGTAGCACGGATGCTGGGTTCATCGGCAGGGCTACAATATTCTTTTGCACATGTTATTTATTCTAAATAAACTTTCTATACAAGAGCTCACCCCATACGCAAATCGAACTCATTTAATTTTTCAATAATACTGTCAGGTTCAACGATATTTTTCGGTACTGTACGTCGAGATCCTAGCTTCGATGTCGATGGAGCACTTGGTAACAGTTCTTTTCCTCTCACCTCTGGTCTACTGCCATCATAATCTGGATCAACCTCTTCCAATAGGGAATTAATGTCCAGTGATAAGTTATCCAAATAATGCAAGATTGATGTGTTTGTCGTACTTTCCGACTTCCTCGCTTTGTCCCTTGACTCAGTCGAGGTCGAGCCCCTATACGAATCTGTACCATTAACACGGGGAGAACTGTCTTTATAACCACTTGAAGCAGATGAGTCATAAGTGGGCTCGTTGGAACTCAAAGTTGACAGCGATCTATTCCGGTGTGGTGTTAATTCGTACATGGTGCTTGGCCCATCTCCGACAGGCTGATGATGCTGAGTGTAAGCCGTGTTGGCATATTTGGCAATGCTGTTTGTTTTGGGATCTAACGTGAATGGATTGACTAGGAACAGATGGTTGCTCGATGTGTTTGAATTAGAATGCAATTTATGGTATACTTCGCTTATATCTTTTGGTGATTGATCATTAGAGTGGGTGTTAACATCCTTCGCAATAGGTCTATTTTGCAAGATTAAATTGGAATTATGGGATGCTCCCGAGTCTTCTGGGGAGTTTGAACGACGCGGTTTGTGCTTCTTACCCTTGGTACCACGTTGAGATGACGAGTTTGGAGTTGATCTGGATGGAGATGAGGAGGACGATGAGGAGGACGATGAGGATGACAGCGACGAGCTCAGAGCGGCAGCATTGAACTCAATCCCATTTTGTTTCAATCTGTATTCCATTTTTGCAGCCACTGTCCTTCGGAACAAGATCTCAACTAACAATTTGGTGTTTAGTTGATGAACTTCTCTTTTTGATAAAAGTATGGCGTCTTGAGGGTATAATTTCTGAAAGGGAGGCGGAACCTTCATATACTCTAGCCCACTTTTGTTTTTTGAGTAGCTCCTTTGGGCCACTTCAAATGCCCGCGCTTTATAATTTTGGTATAGAATATCAACAACGCTCATTGATGTAGTACGCGAATGTACATGGCTAGACTTCACTGCTGGCTTTTTTCTTGCAAAATCTTCGACGTGCCAATGTAATAGTGGATGGGGATGTAAGATTTGCGTGTAGTTCCACATTTTCATCCTTTGAGGTAGATGAGAACCAACTACTTGGTTGTAGTTGCTCATTTGCACAAAATTCAAAAATTCATGTCTAGTGGTAAAGTTTGGTGTTTGTCCATTGTGTACAGATCGATATTTTAACGATCGCTTTCGTAAAACAGGGAAGGTGAATTTAGGCCAGCTAAACCATGAAGTTTTCTCCGTTTTGGGTTTCTGTTTCTCATCGCTAGGTTTAGATTCTAGCTCGTCCTTAAGAAGATCCTTCCTCTTTACTGTCTTGTTTCTCTGTTTGATTCTATTTCTGTTTCTCAATGTAGCCAGCCGCGAAATTCGGGAACCAGATCTATTCAATGAAGGCGACCCCACAACTGTCACCACAGGATTGCCCAGACTATCGTTGCTACTGTTCACAATTTCGCTAATGAAGCTTCTTCCTGTCTCAATGTTTTCTGCTATGAGGTCATAGTTCGACTGACTATGCCATGGTGAATGTTGGTGCAATTGTCGAGTTGAGCGTGTTTGTCTCGGTACCGTCAAGTTTGGGTGAGCTGTTGAGTCAAATGTTAAATCCTGGTTAGAATAAATGACTTCAAATGGGTTTGATTGTGAGACCACTCTAGAATGGGTTCGACTGCGGTCATAAGGTGCTCCTATACTGCCTGAGTATCGATGATAGTTTTCTTGATTAAACGGATCCAAAGTGGATCCTGTGACGATTGATGCGTGAGACGATCGAGGTATCACCGATGTCATACTGAACTGCTACTTGTCGACAACTCTACGCTTGGAAACGTTGTGAAATATGATGAAAGCAAAAAAAAAGCAGCAGTTGAGCTTCTAGACGGCATCACCAGATCAATTTTTTCTTCTACATTCTTCATTCGCTTAATGCAAAGGGGTTTCTCTGTACCTCAATGTATGTTTAATTTTTGTGAAACATGGCTGGCTTAAATAACCGATTAAGAAAGGAGAAAAAATTAAAAATAGCTTTACGAACCGAACTTTTGCAACAGTATAGCGCTACCAAAATATGGAAACTGCAACACCCAACACTCTCTCTGGAAGTATATTTTCTAGCTATACTTTGGAGAAACTGGCTTGTTTAAAATCCTGAAAAGAATGTGGTTAGCTTGAATTGGCTTCGAGAACGAGAGGGGAACAAGAGAATTGCATAATCGGCGGAACAAAACAGTGCTCCGAAAGAGAATTTGTCTTTCTATACAGTGTCGACCTAGTTCGGGATTAAGTAGCACACATACTATTGTCCACTCCTTTTTTATGGTAGTTGTAGTTGCTATCCAATTATAGATACAGTTCAAGGCTTCGGCTTCAGGTTCTATAATAATACAGTTCAAAACTGGTACTCAAATCAATAAACCTTTGCGCTGCCTCATTAGTACAGTAACTTGTTTGAAAGGTGTTTTGAAATCATTTCAAAATCATTTCACAGGCACGAATTTTAGACGAAGAGACATTTTCTGACTGAATGTCGTGTAAATTATCCTACGACATTCTTTCTGTAACGAGACACGTAATGTTTTTAATTTAAAAAGTTTTTATTTGTCTAATTAAATGTCGTGTATGTTTGGCCCACACAACAAAATTTTATAAACAGAAGACAGACGGACAGAGATCCCTCTCCGTGTCAATAAAAAAAAAATTGATTTAAACGATCAGTTCTTTCCTTTTCACACTTTCAACACACTTGGTAATTCATCAAAAACTATAAAAAATGGACAAGCTTAAGGAGGTATGTAACGACAAGTTCCTTTTTCACAATGATCAACAACAGCAATTGGACGAATACGTTAAATGGTCATAGAAATGACTGATGTCGACATTTTTACATCCAGATCAGGACGCGCATGATCCAACAAAATTTTGGTCGATTCGATTTCTAATAGTTACTCCTACAACACAGGTGTAAATCAATTGCTAGTCAGATCAGCTTTAACCGTGAATGGTTGTTACTTTCCTTTATTACATGTACTAACTCCTCCCCCCTCAGAAAATCAACAATTTGAAATTGGATGCTGAAAAATGGCAAGAAAAATCTGACGACTTGTCCGAAAGGATCAAGGAGTTGGAACAAGAAAGTTTAGAAAAGGATAACCAAATCCAAGCTTTAACCAGAAAGAATCAAGTTTTGGAAGAGCAAGTTGAAAAATTGGAAACTAATCTCGAAGAAATCAAGAGCACTGCTGATGAATCACATTCTTTGAAAACTTCTAACGACAACTACACCAAAAAGAATCAAGTTTTGGAGGAAGAGTTGGAAGAAGCTGATAAAAACTTGAAGGAAACCACTGAAAAGTTGAGAGAAACCGATATTAAAGCTGAACAATTGGAGAGGAAAGTGGCCAGTTTGGAAAGTGAAAAGGAGGAGCTTGAAAAGAAACAAGAGGAATTGACTGAGAAATACAACGAAGTCAAGGCTGAATTGGATGAAATCAGTCAACAGTTGGAAGCTATCTAAGCTCTAGCGATGTTGTGTTCAAATTTGCTTTCGAGTTTAAAGGTGGTTAATTCAGTCTATAGCATAGCTTTTAGGAAGAGAGTATATTGCTAAAGTAATCTTATAATTGAGAAACCGTGGTTAGTAGACTATTCTGATGAAACACTCCCTGTGGCACAGCCTAGACTGAACATTATATCTTCAGATAGCTTGCATCTGTAACTCTTCTTGCTCAGCCTTCGCAAGCGAAACAATTGAGCAACAACCAACGTGTACGACAAAGTTGCGACTTACAAAAATAACTGTCGTTTTCCTTCGATGTGCTCTTCCTTATCATCTATTTGCCACACCTAAAGTTCATTATGGTCTATACTGTAGTCACTAAAGTACTTTAGATCGAACTACTATTACTACTATTACTACTACTAGTAGTTAAATGTTGGATTTTGTGTAATATAAATCTGTAAAGTACTTAGCGAAGAAGACTGTTAGTACTAGTACTAGTATTAGTATTAGTCTTAGCTGTGTTTATTAAAGAGAAGAAAAAAAAAAAAAACCAGAGAGAAAAATCACAGGAGTGAAAGAGATATACGAATAGATACAGGTAACAACACTTTATATTCCCTTGGATAATATACACCTCCACTGCTATAAAACATAACGGCGTACCATATTGGAACCTGGTATTGTTGTGCAACGTACCTTACCATTTCCATTTGATATCCTATAATGATCATAGGTTCAACATTTCGGTCTAGATTTGGTAGTACTTTAGAGTCACACCAGATAGATGATGATTATTCGACACCAATAGACGAAGCAGAATCAAACACATCTTCATCACCACATCCACTACTGAATTCACATACATCTTCACCTTCTCTTTCACAGCAGAAATGGCTACGTCAAGCAAGGCACTCCCATACGACCTCAGGATCACAGAGTGCAGACCTATTGGCACCACGCGGTTTAACCGAAGATAACGAAGTACATCCACAACAGCAAAGCTCATCAAATCTACAACACCGAGCTTCATATACTAGTCTCACCCAAAACCACGCTTACTTCGATGAACTACAATTTGACCCTGAAGAGCCGGTTCCCACATACGAAACATCACAGCTAATGCATCAGAACAACCAAACTCCACAACAGGAGCTTGAAACAACTCAATACTTATCAGTGGATCCTCAGATTACTGCACGAGAGCTACCGGCTGGACTTGCGTCGCACTTGTATACCCCTATTCCGTCACTTCCTATACCGAGAACTTCGTCAATGTTTATCCTGGATTCCATAGAGTCATCGCAATCGACAACACCAAACATATTGCAGCAGCAACAGCTACAGCAACAACAATTGGGGGCATCTCACACCCTGCATCACTCATCATCAACAAGCACACCGTCCACCAGTTTGCAATTGCGTAACAAGTTCAAACAAACTTCAATCAAGAGATTAGGCTTGAAATTTCTAAATGCTAGACAACATTTCTTATTAGCGTGCTGTCGTGATATATCTTTAATACCACCTTTAATCGGGCTATACCAATCTTGGAAACGTATTTATCAGGACGACGATTTACAAGACTTGGCATCATCGTACAAGATCACAACGGCAAGAGGTCTGGAACATTTTCTCACCGGTGTTTGGTGCATTGTTGCTGCTTATTTATCCTATTCAATTCTTGATTCTTTGTTAGTAAGATGGATCATTACATACTCAACGTCGGCTGCAATTGTGCGCGTATTGTCCATGTCCACAATCATGATTACTTGTGAGTTATACTTGGTCAGCACTTTTAGCGCGGATGGGTACAAATATGGCCTACATATCTGGATTCTAATAAGTTGTATTCTAACACTTACCTATATTGTGCAGAATTTTGTCACCCTGAATTTGCAACTTGAACATCATCATAACAATATTCAGCAACAGGAACCAATGAGAGGTGGTGAGACAGAGGTAAGCACTGAGATGAATTCACTGTCTCAGAGAAGTGTCAATGGGTCAGGGCATGGCAATACTTCCAGTCGTAATAATGTCAAGCACCACAATCAGATGAGGACCAAAAAACCTAGACGGTTTTTTGACTTTTACAACATTGTGGTTTTCGCTGTGGTACCCGTAGGACTAGCAAGTTTTGTCACAATGATTGGACTACTCAGATCCCTATTGATATTGAGAATTGATGTCGATCAAGTAATGAAGACGGCGGTGAGTTGATGAAAAGATATAGAAAAATGCAATTGGTAGCTGTTCCATAACTAAATTTTTCTTCCTCTATAAATACAACCATCGCATATCCCAAATTTTTTTTCTAATTTTGTTTTCCCTTTTTTCTTTTCTTTCTTTAATCAAAAAGTATATAAGGGAGAAATTTGCCACGACGAGATAATGTAAACGCCTCCAAGTTATACTCGTTGCCATTTTATTATTAAATGATATAAACCTCCCGAGATTGACCATGAAAACCCCTTTTTAGGAAGTTTGAAATTCGTCTTAGAGAATTTTGAATGTCGATAATTTTTGAAGGGCACATTTTAGTAACCCATCTCTGCTGCTTTTATGTTGTATCACATAATGTAACCGATGTAATGTAATTTTGTTGTTTCTACTTGAACGTGAAAATCCGGATGAGCATTATGTATTTATCATCTATTGCCGCTTATAGAAGAAGAGTGTATCCACATTAAGGGCATCCATTACAAAGAGCTATCCAATCAGTCAATCATTTCTTACAGCAAGACAATTACAACTTTAAATTTCTCTTTATTACCTATACATTACATGAAATAATAAAAACTCCCGTCTTTTGTTTCAACAATGACTCCCTTCTTCCATTTCCAAAAATAACAGCATCTCCCTTTTTTCCAAAACAAATGCAGTCTCCTATCAATGAATGAAAAAAGTCACTTCTTTTTAAAAAAACACTTGGATGAAAATAACTCTCCCAGATGTTTATCTGAATTTGTGGAAACCAATATCGTTAGCCTTTTCTCTGAAACATTGACGACATAAGTCTATTCCGTATTTTCTGATCAAACCAGAGTGGGAAGAACAATGACGACATTGTCTTGAACCTTTACCAAAGTTTCTTGGGTGTGAGAACCAAACGTTTTCGTGTGCCATATTTTAATGTCTACATAAAATGTTAGTATTATTCTGTTAAGATGAAGTAGAAGATTGAAGTAGAAGCTTTGAGGGATGGGGGAAGGTATTGATCAATTCATGTAAACCTAATGGTCCTTGAAGGATGAGGTTCTCTAAATCTTCGTCTTCTTGTTGTAAACTTGCTTGTTGAAAGATGGTAACTGAAATTCATCTATCCGTGAAAAACTTGACAATTCTGAGATTGTGGTTGCTAGTCTGTAAGGTAACTTTGCATGCGTACTGTATGTTGTAACCTAGCGTAGGGTAGGCATCCCTGAGATTGATAAAATCTGGCATGACATCCTCTTCATGTAGACACATCTGAATTATCTATTCCTATCAGTGTTTCCCTCAACATATCATTCATCCCTCTCGTTCCATCTGTATACTTCAACCTGACGCTCCTAGTATTTCCTCGTTGTACATACTTATCTAACGTTGTTGATATATAGTCAGAACTGTTAAAACTCTGAAAATTCCAAAATTTTTTGATTGATGTTTCGTGCGAAGTGCGTGAGAATTCTCTTTCTCTCTCTCTGTGTAACTACTCTCACACTTTTTGAGTTTCTGAATTTTCGCTTATATAATCAAAGTGGCTGTAGCCCTAGTTTTGAATCACGTGAGCACCATCTCGCAGATCAAATTAATTTCTAAACAAAGGGCTCATCGCGTTAGCTAAGACTTAGTGTTTGGTTAACTAAGTTTTATAACCGACAGCAAAGTTACCATAATATATCGACATCATGGCCAAGGGTGGGAATTCACATAGGAATACATTAAAGAATGACCACAAGCCATTCAAATCAAAACATGCAACCAAAGGACAATTAAAGAACCAGTACAAGGGTAAAGTTGAAAAGACAACATCATCCGGCTCGTCGTCCAAACCTTTGAACAAACAGGCAAGAAAGAACTTGGCCAAGCAATTGAAAGAGAACAAGATCTTGGAAACTAAACTTACGAAAAAGTTGTTTGAAGGTAACTCGGGGGCTCAAAAAGTGATCACCATCATATGTTTGACCAAAGATATATCCCCAGTTGACATCGCGTATCAATTGTTTAACCAAGATGATGATAACAATACCGAATTTGCATACCCTGGCGTTACAAATATTAACGTTGCTAAATTCAAAACAAACTTGAAGATTGTGCTTCCGAATCATGACAATGTATTGCAAATACTTGATGCTGCAAAAGTATCCGATTTTGTCATATTTGGAGTGTCGGCAAACGAAGAAGTTGAACAAGGCTACGGAGAGACAATACTACGTGCATTACTAGCACAAGGTATTGGATCTGTAATCGGTGTATTGCCAAACATAGTATCAGCATACCCTAAACGCAACCTTCAATTGGATATTAAACAATCGTTGCAATCATTTTTCAACCATTTCTTTCCAGCTGAGGATAGGTTGTATGCATTAGAACTGGATTCTGATAATGCAAACTGCCTAAGATATGTCTGTCAAAAGTTCCCTCAACTGGTAACGTGGAGAGATTCTAGAGGATGGGTAGTGGCTGACACATTTCATAATGATGAATCTTATGATGGTATAATTATTGAAGGAACCTGTCGTGGAACGGGGTTTAATGTTAATAGATTGGTCCATATACCAGGCTATGGCGATTTCCTAGTAGACAAGATAGAGAAATTGAGCAAAAGCACAGGAAGGAGCCGAAATGAAATGCAAATTGACGGTGATATCGAGCAATCGTACTTACCAAATGAGAATCAAGACACCTTGGACGAGTTGAATCCTGATTTCCAAGAGGGGCAAGGTGGCGGTGATGCTGATATGTGGGACGATGACTTTGGCGACGATGGCATGGGCGTCAGATCGGAAGGTAAGATCTATTTCAACGATGATGGCACGAATAAAAGTAACCCCAATAGAAAGCTTCCCAAGGGTACTTCCGAATATCAAAGTAGGTGGTTTGTCGATGACGTTTTAGAAAACGCATCTGACTTGGAAGAGCTGGAGGAGGGCGATGATGATCATGTAGACGAAGAAGTCATGGATGAGAACCAAGACATTGTTGACGATGCAGCCACCGAGTATGCTGAATCTGACATGCATATTGATTTATCACCAGAGGAAGAACAACGCCAGTTGGAAGAATATCGTAATGCCGCTGCCCGGGAAGACTTGGAATTTCCAGATGAAATAGAGTTGCATCCTAACGAATCAGCAAGAGAAAGACTTAAAAGTTACAGGGGTGTCAAATCATTGGCAAATTGTGAATGGGATGCAGATGAGAATGGATTGGAGAAACCAAGCGTATGGAACCGTTTACTACGTATAGCAAACTTCAAGGCTACTCGAAACAAAGTCAATAAAGAGTTTATCAAACAGATTGAAGTACAACCTGGAAATAAGATGAGATTATTTGTCAGGGCACCAAAATACATTCTCGAACAAGTCGATGTCACTTCCAAACCATTTGTTGTTTATGAGTTGCTCGAGCATGAGCATAAATTGGCAGTGACAAATTTCTCTTTCGAGAACTGGGAAGATTACGAAACACCAATTCAGAACAAGGATACTATAGTTGTTCAATACGGTCCACGTCGACAAGTTATAAATCCAGTATTCAATCAAGCCTCAAACAATAGCAATAATGTACATAAACAAGAGAATTTCCAACATCCAGGAATGATGACGATAGCCACTGCCATAGCACCTGCTTTATTCACCAACTCGCCGGTTATATTTTTTAAACCTGGCGAAAACGGTTCCGTGCAGTTCATCGGGAAAGGTACCTATTTGGGCTGTGACCACACACGTGTTGTTGCTGAACGTATAGTCCTCACTGGGCATCCAGTCAAGATACATAAACGTGTGGTGACTGTGCGTTATATGTTTTTCAACCCCGAAGATATCAACTATTTCAAAGCAATTGGACTTTTCACTAAATCAGGTCGACTGGGATTCATTAAGGAAAGTTTGGGTACCCATGGTTATTTCAAAGCCAACTTTGATGGGAAGTTGACATCGCAGGATGTGGTGGCCATGAGCATGTACAAGAGAGTTTGGCCAGAGATATCGAGTTTGTATACTGAATAAATGCATATATATAACTTGTATTAAGGTTTTACCGAATTAGAAACAATGTATATATGACCGAAAACTAAAACTAGAAATAGAGTCCACTATAACTGAGTAACCGAAAAGAGAAAATCTTGGAGTAACGAACAAGCATATTATAGGTAGAGTACCTTGCCAGAGAACAAGTATTAGTCGCTTGGGTGGAGGACCTTTAAACCAAACCAGCTGCAATAACAACAGCTGCCATGAATAATGACCTAACCTTGGTTGTACCAGCACTGCCTTCGGCAAGAGGAGCAATACCTGGAGCGCTACTGCTTGATGAAGAAGACGAGAGTGGTGTTGAGTCACTCAATGCAAGTGGTGCGGGTGCGTTGTTACCAGTTGAAACTGATGCAGTTGTAGAAGGTGCTGTCACAGTAACGGGAGTTCCCTCCTCACCAATTGACAAGAAAACTGGTCCTTCGTCAGTGTGTGTGGCAGTGCCAGTTGGTGTAACATCTGGAAACACTGTTACATCTGGGATTATTGTTAATTCTGGAGTATTGGTGGTGGTTGGTGCGGTTGTTGGAGTTGTTGCAGGAGTTGTTGCAGGGGCAGTAGTTGACGTGGTTGTTGGAGTTGTTGCAGGGGTTGTTGTTGGAGTTGTTGCAGGAGTTGTTGTTGGAGTTGTTGCAGGGGTGGTGGCTGGGGTCGTTGTAACGGTAACTTCAGTAGGATGACACTTGTGGTTGCTGCAGGTAGTAATTGTCACAACGGTGGTTGTTGGTGTATAAACAGTGGTTTCAGTTGCCTTTTTGGTGTTTGAATTCTCACCAGTGATGACGGTTCCAGTTTCATGGGTAGTTGCAGATGCAGGTGGCTGAATGGTTGAAACAGTTGAACACAAGACTTGATCAGTAATCGTCACGGTAGTTGGTTCTGTGACGGTGATTGCGGTTGGAAGACAGTGATTGTCAGAACATTTAGTAATAGTAAATGTTGTTGCTTCTGGACAGAAGGTGGTGTAGTCAGTGACAACAATTTGGGTATGGATCACAGAAGTGTTACTGTAGATCGGTTGAGCCAAAGCGGCAGCTGCGAGTAAAATAGTGGTGAAAACCGAAGATTTTGAGACCATGTTGTTTGTTAGCGAGCGAATGTTTTGATAGATAAAAATGATACGGAGGAGAAAATAGTGGAAACTATTTCGCCTTTATATACCATTTTTTTTTTGATCAATCCACCTGGTAAGGGGAGATGAAGGAAACATTGTGGCATTTTGATGAGCGTCACCAGCAACGCAGGGAGTTGAGAATTTTCAGCTGCACAAGCAAACTCTTTGTTTACCAACAATTGGCTAATTCGGTAAAATTTTGGCTCAAATGGGACATATATTTGGTTATGCATTTCATTTCATTGTTATACGGCAATAACTTCAGCCGTTGTATGGTACTGCAAATCTTTCTGTGTGAATATTTGACTGCAAAATATTTAAGGTTCGGTAATTTGGTTTTGTGCTATCTAGATTCCACCATGCAATTAAAATTGTTGAGCAATTCCAGTGTAGTGTAAGGTTCAGTGAACGTACAGACTAGGAAGATACATGAAAGTATAATTAAATGAAGTTTGAGTTCGGGGTTGAAATTGGTATAAGCTAATTGACAAGAAAATCGTACTCTAAAAAACTTACCACTGGTTTGATTCCCTAAAAATAAAACTCAAACGACTTCAAGGATAGAGTTTTTAGGACCATGGGCTCTACAGATATCCTCGGTATTGTAATTGAATATAGTTCAACTTTGAGTAGCAACTTCGGGTTGCTGTTTTTTCGTGGTAACTTTTACCGGTTCTCAAAATTAACTAGTTTTGTTAAACTTTTTTGTCGGAACAATGAACTGAGTATCTTGAGTACTTGAAACTAGCAAACTTTGATCCAATATTAAAACTACAAGGAGTAAAGTTTGCAAACGTTTGGAGGATTTTCATTTGATAAATTTTGGAGGTGTCTTTGTGTGTGTTTTTTGTCTACAAAGGGTCTCTCCTTAAAACCTGGTACGAGTAACAACATGGCCGGAAAGTGAATTATTCCCAAAATGAGACAAAACTCAACAATTATCTAAAACTTTTGCTTTCCCGCCTGCCAACTGGAGTGATAAAAATGCAGCCTTATTCACGAGCTATAGTATTTGAGAATCACAACGTTCTGATTATGGCTCAACGAGATGGTATGCTGGATGGATATATTATGTCATATTAGATAGCGTGGCTATAGATAATGAGAAGAGTGATACCAAATACAATGTTACTTGAAAGTAACACCATAAACTCACTACATAGTCACTGATCTTGCTTTGTTCTGGAGGTTTAGGAATATGAATATATAGTGAACTGAGTTTGGACCTTGTAAGGATTTCAATTAACAACAGTTTTGAGCTTTGGATGTTGAGTCGTTTCTTTGGTCAGCAGTTTATCCTATCGAATAAGTACGAGCTTATTTAAAACATCAGTGGTATACATATTTTCTTTGTGTAAAACAATTCTTATCCAATTTGCACTCTATCGTGGCTAAGACTATTCAGGACCATTAGAGAGCAGTTGTTTGTACCCCTTTTTTAGTCTTTTCATGTTGAATATATCTGGCTACCCCCAAGTAGAATCCAATGACAGGTAGGTCTTACATGTATCCAAGCATAAGACCCAAAATGCTTCTGGCAGCCAAAAAGAAAAGAACAGATAGTTGTACAATCGCACGCGCCGCACACACCGTTAATAAAGCCTCTCGACGAAATTTTCACTTTTTTTTTTTTGACAGCCTGTGTTACCGAACAAGTAGCCACTGTCCACCACCACTAACTATCTTACATTAACATGCGTTTATTCAAAAATGTTTTATTAAATGCAGTCTTGGCTACTGCAATTGTACCGAACGTAAACATAGATCAAACAAACACACGCGGAAATGATCCAAGTCTCGATTCATTATCTTTACCCAATTTATTGACAATTGACAGTTTATCACGTATAAACAACTATCAGCTTAGCAGTGTTACATTTGATCAAGGAAGACTATTAATGGAACAGCGAGGCTCAATCTGGTCAAAGTCCTTTATTCCATCAAACGATTTCACAGTTGAAGTAGTCTTCAGATCATCAGGTAAATCACAGGACATTCAATTTTCAGACAATGGGTTAAATTTATGGCTTTTGGACGACGGGAAAAGTCAAAGTCTAGACCAATATGATGGATTCAGATTCGCAATCAACAATGTAGATACACAAGGTTTGAAAATCTTTAATAATGATGGAACAAAGAATGCGGAAAATGGACTTGATGTCAGCATTGGCGATTGTCAGTTCAGATATTTGGAGAGTGACGTACCATTTACGTTGAGGATATCTCATAGTGATAATTGGTTTAAGGTGCAGGTTGACAACAACCTATGTTTCAAAACTGACAGGGTCAAATTGCCCCAAAATCAGAATTTCAAGTTGGGAATCACTAGTAACTCAAACCCTCAATCACAAGAAGTTTTTGAAATCTTGTCTGTCAAAGTATGGGACAAGTTGACCGAAGATGCAGTTGATGACCATGGGCTAATGGCTGATGGGGAGTTGAAGGTTGATGTCAAGAAGATTGTGGATGGATCGCAGCAACAAAAAGATGAAGGCTATGTAAAACCAAGTGTATTAAGAGAGTCATTAATGGAAAGAGCTAGAAGACATAGAGAAGAGACAGAAAGGCCACAGCAACAACAACAACAAGACAAACTGAATCAAGGTAGCCAGAGTAATGATTTTCTGGTAGTTCTCAACAAATTGAGTCATTTAGAGTACTTGGTAAATGACTTGCCAAAGAACTTCGACCCATCTTCTTCAAGTAGCCAAAATGACCAATTTGATCAGTTGGTTCAGTCTCAGTCCAACATAAATTCAGCTATTCAAGAAACACGTGATATCGTTAATGACTTGAAAGAGACATTTATTCAACAATACGCCCAATTACTCCAAGCCGTGTCAGATCTTAATCAAAAAGTCATTGGCGAAGTTAGGGAGCAACATTTCAGTATGGAAGAAATTGGCAAGAAAGTTGACTTGTTGATGAACGAGCACAAGGAAGTTCAGTATCAATACCGAAAGCAGAATGAACAGAGGGGTCAGGAATCATCACACACTATGTCTTCATCGGACTCAGTTTTTGATAAATTAATCAAATGGATTTTGGTTCCATTGATGATTGTTTTGCTTGCATTAGTTGTATTTGTTTATCGTCTTAGACACGATATCAAACACTCCAAACTTTTATAGACTACATAAAATATCTAAGTCAAAGTACATCACTTGAAAATAGAATTTAATCTTCAGTCTATGCTCATTCCTTTCAAGCTTTGGAACTTCCATTAGTCCCCAATTTTGATGGTGTTTAAGCATCTGTTTCATCTCCCAGTTGGCTTCTACTCTTGGACGGCGTGTTTGGTGTCGACTCCACAGCGTCATCCAACAACATTGATGACAATCTTTTCTTTTTTGGTGAGACTGATCGTTTTAATGACGCAGGAGACTTGGCCGGCGTTGGAGGAGGAGTTGCAGAGCGGGATCTTGAGCTGGACTTGCTACTAGACTCTGGTTGAGCTTTACTATCATCATCAGCATCATCATTTTCTTGGGGAAAAGACAGAGCTTCTGCGACTTCCTCCTTTGGTTGGTCGGTAGACTGACCATTTTGCTTGTGCTTAATAGCACTCTTCAACCTCGATTCCAAACGAGATTTAGATTTCGCTGCCAAAGACTCACTTGGCGCAAGAGGTGGAGTGTGACGAGTCTTGGTGGAGCCAGTGCGACTAACATTGGGGCTATTTGCAGCGCTATTTGCAGCGCTATTGGATTTAGTTTTGGAACTGTTTCTCCTGAGTTCATTAAATATTGTTTCCTTATTTTTAAGCAAGTCTTGCATGGTACTAACAGGATGCTTATCGTTGAAACTGCTCTTTGAAAGTTCAGAGTGTGTATTTGTCTTGGGGCGTAAAATCAACTTGCCAAACTCTAAACAAAGAGCACCTTGTAAGCTCTTTGATGCTTCCTTATCTTTTGCTCCAATTATTTGCACCAACCTCTTTAGATGAGTCAACAAGGCATCGAGAGTAGCTATGTTGCATTTAGGCAATTCCGATAGCACATTTTGAAGACCATTAATACGAGTAGCCTTTTGCGACCCGTCTTGATAGTTGATATACAACAATTTGATCACATCGTAAAAACTGTGTGGAATTAATGAGTCGGGTAATTCCAACAAATACAACTTCAAAACATTAGTAATAACCACAGGATTCGACTCGCTTAGTATCTCGGAAATCTTGACTGGGTCAGATAAGTCATTAAGTTGCGAACGCAATTTGTGCACACTAGATAAATGCACCGGTTGAGTCCAAAGGTTGATCCGTTCCTCATCATCCTTTAAGTCGGGGTACGTGTGGTCTAAATGGCTCAAAATACACTGAACGATTATTGGAACTACCTTTTTGTCTAATCTAGACTTGACATTCAAGTCTACACCAAATGTCTGCCTAGTATTTGAGTCGTAATAGTTGTCGTACAATGTCACATGCGGTTTGAAGTAGCCAGTGGCATAATTCTCAATCAAGAATTTCAAATCCTTCACCGGATTGATTGTTTCTTCTAACAAGACTAGTTCATCGGTAACCATTTGCAACTGTTTTACCCTATTTGCAAAAGTGGCTATGAAATCAAAAGTCACCTTCTTTATAGCTTTCAATCGGTCTAATTCACACTTTTGCATAAAGGTTAGATGGTCCATAACAAGCTCCTCAAACTCGCACCTCAATGCATCAAGCTCTCTAACTTTTTCAAAGTACAGCAAATCCAAAGACTTGACATCATTGAGCAATTTAGGATATTGTGTTTTGTCGGAATAGTCGACACCGCTAACTCCCATTGCTTCCTTAACGTCATCAAAATTGAATGTGCCGAAACCCTTGGAAAATCCATTACTACTGACATCGTTGCTATTTGGGATTATCTGGGCAACATCAAAAGCCTTCTGTTTCCATTGGTAAAAAAATTGAGACGAATTGATGAATGACTTACCCATTGATCCAACAACTCTGATAAAGTCATGCTTGATTAAGTCTTGGCCAAATTTTTCTGCCTTGTCTAGATTTTTTTCAACTTCAAATACATTGTCGAGAACCCATTGCGTGATGGAGCTTCCTGTAGACACGTCCTGGTATGTTCCTAAAATAGGAACTTTATGTGCAGCTCGAGGTATACCAATCAACATTTGCTTCAAAAGAGTTTCCATTTGTTTAGAGTTAAACTCGGCATATGTAAATTCAAAGCTGGTTTCCCCTTCCTCACCTCCATCTTCGTCAGTGGATTCGGCCGCTTTTTGGGATGCTGAAATTCTCCTGTGAAACTCAGAGTCACCCATTTCCTCACTCAACTCCTCCTCAGAATAGTGGCTTTTAAACTCTTCTAAAATTCTGCATTTGTTGAAGTATTTTTTTTGTAACTTGTCCACTTGAGCCTGTGTTGATTTTAGCGATTTATATTTTGCGTTGATGGTCGACGTAGAGTATCCAACTCGTTGTTCGTGTTCCTTACACCATTTTTCAAATGGACTGAGAACCATTGTTTCAATGTTTTCGGCAATGTCAATATGGTACTGTCCTTGTTTGTGGAAGTTATCGTGCAATTCGGTGTATACATTCTTGATTGTTGACGCGTAATCGTCATTGGTTTGGCGTTTGCTAGTAGGCTTTGAATTTGTTGATATTGACTGAAGAGAAGTACCATATAGCATCTCCAGATCCATTCTTTTTTTGAACAAATCTATGAAGTCATCATTTTCGTGTATACCCTCGTATAGTTGTCCAAATAGGATTTGGAACCCCAGGTTATAATCCTGAGTCCAGAAATTCTCTGCAAACGACATCTATACGGCAATGATGAGCTTAGATTTGGTATGCCAAATTTGATACTGTAGTGGTACAATAAACAGTATGAAAAATTTTTTGAAAAGTAAACGTCTAATGTAAAAGTGTCTTTACTTGTTGGTAATGTAATGTATTTCCCAAATCTACGATTCAATTCAGATCGAGTCAACTTTTTTATTCTTTTTATTTTTTCGTCTGTTTTGTTTTTATTTATTTTTTTTTTATTTTTTTTTATTTTTAATGAAAAAAATTTTGACGTCAGACAACGCACCTCAATACAAATAAGAATGATGATATGAATATGTTCTATATAATTTGTACGAGAAATTGAGGTTGAACAGTTGGTAATAATAGTGGTTGTGGTTGTGGTTGTTGTTGTTGTTGTTGTTGTTGTTGCTGTTGTAATTGGACAATAAGCATCGTATAATGCATCAACTATTAATTATTTCTTATAAACTTTCTTGTATTTATGTATCTTGTGGTCTAGATTTGCGTTGCATTCCACCTTGAAGCAAAGTGGTGGATTTTGTGCGTGTACTCGAAAGCCAGATCCAAACTATACAAGAGATAACATTGAACGGTGCATACAGCAGGGAGGAGGAAAGGCTATCATAGTTGTTTAAGTAGGGACTCTCCAGCCGTTGATACTATTACATAGACATTTAAGCATGAAGAGCCACAAGAACCCTGGCGTGGTAGCTCTTCACCAATGATGAGCATCAAATTCGCCCTTTGCAATCATAAATCTTCTTCTTCTTCTCCTTTATCTTCTGCACGAGGTACACACCATGCTCAAGCAATTCTATAGACTGGGTGCCACCTGCATTACAAGAACTACGCGAAGATATCTTGCTTCAAACTACGACAGCAATTTTAAACCAAAGTCTGACCCACAACCAAAAGAATCTTCCACCAAAGTGCCGCCACACAAAGATGGTTTATACTTTGGAAAATTCACAGAGGAGGAGTATAAAGAAGCTGCAAGAGTGATTAAAGAGCAGATTGCCAAATTGGAAGGAGAAATTAAAGGAGACCACAATGTGAGGGAGAATATTGGCAAGCTTCCTCAATTCCCTGAGCAAGGTCCAGCTGCATCCAAAGATTCAATCAAGAGCTTGACCGATTTTTTCAAACAAGCAATTAAATTGACTGGGCCAATAACGCTAAGCTCGTATATGAGGCAATGCTTAACTCATCCTGATTTTGGCTACTATACCACGCGAGATCCATTAAACTTGAAAACGGGAGATTTCATAACCAGTCCGGAAATCTCTTCTGTGTTTGGTGAAATGATTGGAATCTGGTACTTTACAATATGGCAATCTCAGAACAAGCCAACACACATAAGATTCATTGAGTTGGGTCCAGGTAAGGGTACTCTAATAAATGATGTGATAAAGACCTTCAATAGATTTGTTGAAAAAGTGAGCGAAATCAAGCCCAATGTCGAGATTGTGTTGATTGAGGCCTCTAAAGTGTTGAGACTTGAGCAATATAAACTTTTATGCAACCACAAACAAGATTCATTCGAGACAACCGAAGAAGGATTTAATCGATCTACTACAAAATGGGGCAACGCCATTATCTGGGTTGACACTGAAAAAGATATCAAGCAACAAGAGGCACAAAAATCAGCCAACTATATCATTGCCCATGAGTTTTTCGATGCATTGCCAATAAAGTCATTTATAAAGAAAGAAGAAGGTTGGCGTGAATTGGTGGTTGAAGACAGTCCGACTGTTTTGAATACACAGTTAAAATTGGAAGGCAGTAGAGAGGACTCGCCTGGGGCTGCAAAGGACCCCACTTTAGATACTGAATTCCACTTGACTATATCTCCAAAAGAAACACCTGCATCAATGATTCCAAAATTAAGCAAGAGGTACAAAGATTTGCCAGTTGAGTCTCGGATTGAAATATGCCCCGACGCAGAACTCTATACATTGAAAATAGCTCAGTTGATAGACAATGTTAACTCATTAGGTGCTGCTTTGGTCGTTGATTATGGAGTGGTGAACCAAATTCCTGAGAATTCACTACGTGGTATTTACAAGCACAAGTTTGTCTCTCCTTTTTACAAGCCAGGAGAAGTCGATCTATCCATTGACGTTGATTTCACTAATTTAAAGAGTCTTTCCGAGAATATAGTTGATGTTGAAGGCCCGATCAACCAGGGTGATTGGCTCCATAATATTGGAGTAGGGTACCGCATTGATCAACTTTTGAAACAAAATAGCAACAATGAAGAAATGCAAGATAAAATATATGGAGCCTACAGGAGACTAACTGATGACGATAAAATGGGCAAAATCTACAAGTTTATGGCACTTTTGCCAAAGAACTCCGAGAAGCCTATTGGTTTTTAAGTAAAGTTTTTATAAAATTTCAACTACGTATCTAGGGAGTAACTGTATGTAATTGTCCCAACCTAGAAGTTGATTGGTTTATCGTAGGCAGCCAATGCAGCTTCTTTGAAGGCTTCAGATAATGTAGGGTGAGCATGACACGTTCTTGCGATATCTTCAGCAGAAGCACCATATTCCAAGGCCAAACCAGCTTCAGCAATCATTTCACCGGCATTTGGTCCGATAATGTGAGCTCCCAAAACTCTTTGAGTCTCAGCATCAGCGAGGATCTTTACGAAACCGTCGGTGTCCAAGTTGGTTTTAGCTCTAGAGTTGGCAATGAATGGGAACTTACCAACGGTGTATTTGATTCCTTGCTCTTTCAATTGCTGCTCGTTTAATCCGACCCATGCAACTTCTGGATGGGTATACATCACAGAAGGAATGTTGGCATAGTTTACGTGACCGTGACCGTTTTTGATGATTTCAGCAGCGGCGATACCTTCTTCCTCGGCCTTGTGGGCCAACATAGGACCAAAAGTAACATCACCAATGACTCTAATGTTGTCCTTCTGGGTCTTGTATTGATCATCAATGATCAATCTACCTTTGTTATCCTTTTCTAAACCAGCAGCTTCCAAGTTCAATCCTTCAGTATATGGTCTTCTACCAATGGCAACTAACAAAACATCAGCCTCGATATCTTCCTTCTTACCAGACTTGACGTCTTCTACTTCGATCTTGACCACATCTCCATCTCTTTCACCCTTGGTGACCTTGGTACCTAATTTAAAGTCCAATCCTTGCTTTGACAACAATTTTTGAGAAGTTTTGGCAACTTCAGCATCCATACCAGCTCCAATAGCTGGCAAGAATTCAATAACAGTAACCTTCGATCCTAATCTTGAGTATACTGAAGCCATTTCTAAACCAATAATACCACCACCGATGATTGCTAATCTCTTTGGAATTTCCTTCAAGGCTAAAATACCGGTAGATGTAACAATTCTCTCTTCATCAACTTCGATACCAGGGAATGGTGTTGGCTCCGAACCAGTAGCAACAATAAAGTTGTCAGCTTTAACCTCAATTGGTTCAGCATTTTCATCAATGGGTTGGACTTTGACTGTTTTGTCGTCAACAAATGAACCTGTTCCTTTCAAGTACTCGACCTTGTTCTTTTTAAGCAATGATTCGACCCCTCCTGTCAATTGTTTGACTGATTTTTCTTTGGCAGCCATCAATTTGGCAAAATCAACGCCAACAGTACCATCAATGGCAATACCTCTATCCTTTGCTTCGTGTTGTATTTGATGCAACAAGTGAGTGTTGTTCAATAAGGATTTGGATGGAATACAGCCAACATTCAAACAGGTACCACCCAAGGCTCCTCTTTTTTCAATACAGGCGGTGTCCAATCCCAATTGTGCGGCCTTGATGGCAGCAACATATCCACCTGGTCCACCTCCGATGACAACGACGTCGTACTTCTTGGTGGATGCAAATCTAACGAATTGAGCAAACTTTTGTTGCACAGAAGTTGGTTTAAACGATCTCAACATTGTGTGTGTATGTGTGTGTGATGATGTCTGTGATGATGATGTCGTTTAAACGAATAGATATATTTTATCAATGAGTCTATGTAATGAATAACTCTTTGGTTTTGATGTATGTTGATTGGCAAACGAGAAAAAATTAAAATTAAAAAAGAAAAAAAAACTCAAATTCTTTAAGCTGCTACTCTAAGTTCAATTTGTGACTTTTCTTCTTCTCGGTGTTTAAACTCCCGGCCACAATCCTTTCTTTCCATTTTCATATTATTTCTATAAAGGTACAAAATATTGGATAATACAAAGCGTATTTATACTAATAACACTAGCCAGAGTATACTAAATGAATTTAGGTATAGCTCATGTTAACCTTTGGAAGACAATAGCCTATTCCCAACTCGGAGTTTAATTGCCAGCGGAAACTTTTGTTTTTTTGACTCTGACTCCGAGTACACTACCCCGGCAAATCCAGTAACACAAACAAAAACGTGTAAGTCATCTCCGGGTCTACGATTTCAGTCACTACATCTCTAATCTAAGGGGAAGTTGTGTCTACCGTTTGGATAAATGACCTCAAAATGGTTACTTATTTAGTAGTCATGCTGAGGTTGCTTAGTAATGTGTTTTTATTTTTGTTTTCTTCTGATTATTCCCTTGTAAAAAAGAGATGATGAGCTGTGTTTTAGAGTTTATGGTAGGTGGCAATGTGGGTGTGATGGAAGCTAGAGACATAGTAAAAGTCATTCTTTTCTGATGTCTTTTGCACTTCCTTGTAGAGCTGAGATGAACTGGGAAAGTCATGCACTTTCCCTAATCAATTTAAAAAATAATTAATTTGCAGCAATTTTCAAGCAATAGCGTAAACAAATATCTCAGTTCCGGTGGCCTTCAGGTCTTCCCAAGCTAATTTCAACATTTTGTATCATTTTGGAAAAGTTTTGAGCTATGCATGAGTGTCCCTATCGCATGATATTTAGTCACTTGATCGGCAAAATCTCTCATACTGCACACCTTCCTGGGGGACTTTTGTATTAGTTTCCTAGGAACGCCACCACCACTACCACTGGTAAAAACGACTGCATTTGAAGTGTGCATTTTTAAGCAATGGAAATAACGCAGATATAAAACACGTAGCACAGCGGTGCAATTCTCAAAACCGCGCAGTATGTTATCTTGAGTAAATTAGCGTCGAATGAAAAAAAATTTCGAAGTTTAGGAAGCTTGGGTCAATTACTTCCCATGAGCTCAAGCAATATAATTCATTATGTGTTGGTATATATGTTTCTAATAATGCCAACAGATTTGGGAAGCAAGTTTAGCTACAAAGAAAAAATCAGCAGTATGGAATTGACTTGTAAATTGGATACTGTAGCACGTTAATAGGGAAAGGCGAAGAAAAGCAAGGTTGGAAGATTTGTCTAGAAAGGCGCGTTATCTATTAAATTTGTAGTTTATTCTTACCAACCCTTTAATAAATTGAGTTTTTAACTTAATTGTTTTACCAAAAAAGTTTGAAAACAAATTACTCATAAATTTTGATTATTGTTACAGCAGAGATACTAAAAAGGGGATCAAGCAGTAGATGCTTAGACTGTACATATCAGAGCTCTATCGATCAACTTTATAATTCAAGAGAGAAAACACGGAGAGAATCAATACTGCACAAACAGGAAAAATTACAATTTTTACCGCTGACATATTTTAGTGGCCCTAAATCTCCTAAATTAGCCTGGCTAGCTCAATCGGCTAGAGCGTGAGACTTTTAATCTCAAGGTTGCGGGTTCGAGTCCCGCGTCGGGCTTTTAATTTTTTTTGTGCAGTCTTTTCTAGTTACTTCTTCTTACTGCTAGCTCTTTTAGGCAACCTATAGGAAATTAAAACTATGGAGCTTGATGAGGAGGTCTCATGTGGTGATAGATTGATTAGTTTGGTGCATTTTTTTTTCTGGCAGGGTGTTGTGTATCCAAATGGCGTTGACTACTCGTTCGTTGGTTGCAGGTACACCGAAGAGCACGCCTGAGGACCAAGAGTCCGGAGGATATAGCAACTTGAAAGTTGAGGTAGAAGAAGTTGTGAAGAGAATTGGTAACACCAAGTTTTATTTTGATTTTGAGATAAAAAAGAGATAGTATTTACTTAATCTTTGGAAGCAGGATTAACAAAGTGAAGTGTCATCATCATGAGGCAAGATTTGAAGTTTTAGCCATAAGGAGTAATTACATTCATGAGAGATTGGATCTCAATGCAATACAAACGTATGCACCTAAAATTCACCAGCTATATAAGAGCAAGTGCTCCAAAACAACAGCAATTTCCATAGTTGTATACTATATGCAAAGTGTATTGTATATTGGCCCAACATGGTACCACCATCTCTACAACGGCCACTAAAAACATTCAAATTGTGCTTTGGATGACTTCAAACTGGTTTTTAATGTCTCTTTGAACGTGGCGTCGCCGTATTGTTCGCTGTAATGGGGTGCATCGCATTCGCGAATTTGTGCTCCAATGTTGTCCAAAAGGCTTTCCAATAAGCTAAACGTTGAATCATTCAACCTGAGTCCCTTTGACATCTCAAACACGCTATGCAAGAAATTGCAATCTAGTTGCAAGTTGTATAACGTTGCAGCGTTGCGAATGTTGACGCTTCTCAATCCGTCTTGAATACTTTTCAAAAAGTTGTACTGCAACTCATTAATAATTGTGACAAATATATCCACACTTGTCAATGGTTTGAGTTTATGAACAAGTTTGACAAAATGCATCAAAACTTCAAATACAAATGCATCAACTGATAAGGTATGTTCCTTCTGAGCCACATCATTTTGAGTTTCTGATATGTGACTAAAAAATCCACTCGTTACTGAAGCAATCGCTTCTTTTTCATTTGCCAAAATGTCATCAAGTATAGTCAAGCTAGCCTTATCAATATCTGCAAATAACTTGAGCTTTTGCTTGGACAAGTCTTTACCAAAGCGCTGATCAAACTGGTAAATCAAAACAGGGTATGTAGTTCTTGACAACTTGTCCAAGTTATTCACAGTTAGAATCTTGAAAATCTCTATGCTTGATCCTTTCCCTTTGGATAGCGATAGACGGTCTATAGTGTACTTTTTCATCAAAGAGTCCACAAGGATATTCAAAGTTCTCATAAACTGTATTTCAATACTCACAAGGACTCGCTTGCTTGGATATGAAGCCACAATGTTTACTTCATCTTGATTCTCTTTTTCTTTGCTGAGTATGATTTTGCTAACTTTGGAAATCATGTATAGTTGATAGTACTCAATGACATTGACCAATTTAGTACATGAGCCATCCTTGGTGTTGTACCTATCTTCAATCTTCCAATCTTCTAAATCATAAAATTGAGAGCAGTCATTGACCCAAGTAGAGCATACAGCCTCCAAGATTTTTTGATTTATATGCAGTGAGGCACTTTTCAACGACTTCAATTGTTTGTTTGTATCTTCAAACCTGCTGATATTTCCAATGGTAGTAACTGCAACACCCAACTTTGTTAAGATACGGTTCACTTTTGTCTGGATTATACTCAACAGATGAATTGAGGACAAAGAGTTGGAGTAGCAAGGAACAAATTGTCTGTAGTTTGAAGGCAAGGACTCTAAATTATTAACCTCTTTATTGTCACTGGAACTTGACTCTGAATGAAACAACCTCACCAAAAGGTCCACAGCTTCGTTTATTGCCCGAAAGAACCGGTCTCTAATGGATCCCTTTGGGTCCACATTCAACTTGTAATAACTGCCATAGTTGTTGGAAAATTTTCCAACTAGTTTAATGAATATGGTTTCCATATAACTCATAAAGTTTACCAACACCAACCATGTCTCGTTGACTAAACTGATATCAAGGGCATCACCGCCTTCAAATGCCTCGTCAATAGCCAACATTTTCTCCTCCTTGTTCTTGGCCAACTTGATTTCATTTTTATAGCTCTCATACTTTTCGGAAATATAACCTACATGTGACCCCTGCCTCCTTTCTGCTCTTAAGGATGCCACATAGTCAATTAGTTTCTTCTGCATCAAAACAAATTTTGTATCAAATTTCTTTTCTTGGTATTCAAAATCAGTTACCAACACGTCAATTTGCTTGTTCAAGAATACACCTATTGGGTCAGATTGACTGCCTTTGCCGCGAGCACCCTCTATCTTCGACAAGTTTTCCACCAATGACATAAACTTTTGATCATCTTTATTGCGTGAGCCTGCTCCACTAATTGAACTTTGGCTACTACTAGCTTCGTGGTCCAATGACGACAACTCCTGATAAGTTTTATCCCTGAATTGACTGGCAATCACTTCTATTTCTTGAAACAATTTTGCTACAATGGTGAGTTTCAGAAGTCTAATTTTCTTCAAATTGGCAAGTGCAGCTTCGTCTTGGTGGTCACCATTTGATTGCTGGAGCTTCTCCACATCTGCTTGAAAAGAAGTGTCAATCCTCCTCAACACATGCATTTTCTCCCGATCATATCTAGTATAGTCATCAATAAACTGGTGACTATCGTTCGCTGAAAGCGAATTGATCAATTTTCGTGGTATATTAAATAAGAAAGCGTTTGACTTTATAAATTCCAACATGATATTGAGTCTGTCTTCCTTGGCTTTATTTTCAATTATCGGCTTTATCAACAAAGTGTTTGTCGTTGCCAAGTTGTTCAATGACAGTTCAAGTTCTGAAGAGATGTCACCATTATCTGCACCATCAGACGTTTTCAATCGATGTCGCTGAGGATTGAAGTACTTGGAAGTTTCTTTATCCTCTTGCTGTTTTGTCTTCAGCTGTTTAAATCCTTGCAATGTCCCATCCATCTGTGCTTTAATGTTTAGAGCGTTCGTGATATCCGAATCAAGGGCGGCCTGTAAATCTTTGGTGTACGACTGAATACTTTTGTCCAAAAAGTGCAATGAGTCATCCAACACTTTTAACGGGGTGTCCTTGTGAATCGTGGTTAAATACTTGTACGGTTTGAATGTTTGAGAACTTATCAAGTAGTCTTTTACTAAAGGATCATCCTGTGACGATATTATTCCTTTCTTCATGAGGTCAACCACAATATTAGACCCGCGTCCTTTCAATGGATCCTCCAATTCATGGCCTTTAGTTGGCTCGCATTCATATCCATCAGCATTGTCCGCGTTCAATATTGACTCCATAAGCTGAAACGACTCTTCAGTGGAGAGTCCAGATAAGTTTTCGGGATACGATTGGTCAATGTTGCGCACATCCCCACGTTCTTTCGGACGGGGTGTGCTTAATCCATATTTGGACAACAATTGCTCCGGTGATGGGTTTAAATCGAGCATTGAATGTGTGGTGTTGGGAAGTACGTGTGTGTTAGTTGTCGTATGGCATAAGTTTTGTTGTCAGAATTTTTTTATGCTCACAAATTGACAGATTATTCACGTGCATTTCATGTGTATATCACGTGAAAATATTAACTTTAGTAACTTGAAAAGCAAAAGCTTTCAACGAAAAGCGCAAATGGTTTAGTGGTAAAATCCAACGTTGCCATCGTTGGGCCCCCGGTTCGATTCCGGGTTTGCGCATTTTTTTTGCAAAATCTTTGGCGGGCACACACGAATAGTTAGCTTTCTTCACTGCTGTATCTTCAAAGTGTTGATCAACCAGCCCAACTTTATTATGTGAGCAGTATTCGGTTTTCAAAAACAATAGACACTCAGAGAAAGTGCCGATCGGACTTACATTTTGACTGAGCTCAATTTTGTAGTGCTGGATTCGTCTCTTTTTTTCTCTGTAAAATTAAAATTACAGATAAATGTGCATGTGTTATCGTATCCTCCCCTGATTGCTACATTCGTCAACACCACCCCCTCATATAAACTTCCAAACCATGAATTGGCTATTGATATACTACTTTATAATAGCTGTAATTGCATTACCGTTTGAAGATGTTGTTATCTTTGAGAAGGATGACGGACCTACAGAAGAAGAAGGGGCTTCGGTAGCAAGGACTTTGGTTAATAGAGAGTCACTTGCCAGTGTTGCAACCATTAAAACATGGAAGCTGAGGGATGGCAAAACCAAACAATTGCCTGTGGTTAATATGGAATACTACGCCGATTGCGATGAAGATGGTGATCCATACTGGTTGGTTATAGATGTTGGTGGTGCTAATCAAAACATCATTAAGGGGCTGCCATTCAGTTTTGCAATTCGGGATGGCGATCATCCTGATTGGGATAAAGTTCCGTCTAATTATCCAGGGAAGCGTGAAGGATCAAACGCAGGCTCGCCACGGGTTCAATTAACTGGGAGATTGGAGTACATCAACTTTTTCAACCCTTTGGATCCCAGAAGATTGAAGTTGGAGAGATGTTTTGTTACTAGACACCCTGACTCATCGTTGTGGCTTCCTGGATCTATTGTATCTCCACATAAGTCTCACTGGGTGAAGCTCAAGGTTGATGGGGTGTACATTATTGGAGGTTTTGGCGACACAGCTTATATTGGAGACATTGAACCGGAATTGTATCATGCTGCAGAGATCATACCACCTCCAGATGATGAAGAAGGAAGAAGAAACAAGTAAAAGGGCACCGTGTTTAGTATGCAGGGTTTTATTTCTTTCCTCATTTTAATGATAAGTTTAAAGTTTCTTTTTGTACAAAGACGGGGGTGGGAATTGATTGGTAATTGTTCGTCTAGAATTGGCTCAAACTCTATTGAAGAAAGTTAAACTTCTTGAACTTTTACCCAGGGGATGCTTTCAATGGTACGATGGTGGTCATATCAACCCCACAAATAAAAAGAAAAGAGAATATTGATAATAATAATAATAATAATAATATTAACCTTTAAACATCCACTTGTATAAGAGTCCAGTCGCGTTTTGTCGGAAATTGGCGGCGAGGAAAAATAAATCCATGTGGACCTAATTCCACTATTTTGTCCTCATTTTACTTAGTCACTGTCGGAAAAATACAAAAATCATTTGAAACATAAATTGACATCAATTTCCGATAAGCCTTTCAAAACGGGTGTCTCTTTTCATCTTGTATTTAGTGGAAAAAGCCCTAACATGCACCCCACATTCTGAGGATGGAAATCATCGTCAGCTAAAAGTTTAATCGTCTATACCCACACCCCACACAAACACAAACACAAACACATTTACATGTGTATATATATATATATACCCCCGTGACTTCACCACCTGTTGTGAAGGATGTTTCTAAACCATCAAACAAAACTAAATCAAGCATAATGCCCTCACAAAAGACAATCAAAGAGTCAAAAACAGATGTGTTAATTATCGGTGCCGGCCCATCAGGATTGATGTGTGCTTTATGGTTAACCAGATGTGGAATCCCCTGTCGAATCATCGATAAGCGTGCTGGAAGCATATTTGCCGGCCAAGCTGATGGATTGCAAAGTCGTTCATTTGAAATCTTTCAGTCCTTTAGTGAAGACGCGTTTGATTTTGTTACCTTGGACAAAGCATGGAAATCGGCTAATCATATGATGGAAATGAGTTTTTGGTCACCCAACGAAGAAGGTAAGTTGGCTAGGAAGTCACGTATCCCTGATTTCATTCCTGGTATTTCAAGATTCCATGAATGTGTGATTCATCAGGGAAAGATTGAGAACTGGCTCAATACTTCTATTGATCAGTTTTCAGAAGGTAAGGTTAAAGTTGAACGTCCATATTTGCCAATCTCGATCAAGATCGATGAAACCATGACTGATGATCAAGATTATGCTGTTGAAGTATTGGTCAAGAAGTTAGATGATGACTTGGCCAAGCCAGAACAATATGGAAACATTTCTAATGGGTTATTCAGAGCATTTGAAGGAGATCAAGACAAGTTTTATGCTGACCATATTAGTGATGGCAACGTTGAGGACTTCGAACTTATCAAGGCCAAGTACGTGCTTGGTTCAGATGGTGCCCACAGTTGGGTTAGAAAACAATTGGATATTGAAATGCAAGGAGAAACAACTGATTTCATTTGGGGAGTCATTGATATGGTTCCAATCACCAACTTCCCCGATATTAGAAGCAGATGTGCTATTCATTCCAAAGACTGCGGATCGATGATGATTATTCCTAGAGAAAATGACTTGTGTCGTCTTTATATCCAATTGAAGGAAGTTGTTAGAGAGGAAGGAGGCAATGATGCCGATGGCACTAAAGCCAAGGGTAGAATCGACCGGTCTAAAATCACTCCTGAATCCATTGTCAAACAAGCCAAGGAAATTATCCAACCATTTGAGTTGGACGTTACTGATGTGAGTTGGTTTACTGGTTACCAAATTGGTCAACGTATTGCTACCGGATTCCACCGCAATAATCGTGTGTTTATTTCGGGTGATGCATGCCATACCCATTCCCCTAAAGCCGGTCAAGGTATGAATGTGTCAATGCAAGATGCCTACAACTTGGGATTCAAATTTGCATTGGTATGTAAAGGATTGGCAAAACTGGACATTTTACAAACGTACGAATTGGAAAGAAAGAAGGTGGCCCATGATTTGATTGAATTTGATCATAAATTTTCTCGTTTGTTTAGTGGTAAACCAATGGTTCCCCACGCTGAAAAATTGGATGAATCAAATGATGGCGGTGTTGATTTGGATGAATTCCATCAAGTTTATCTCCAAGGAGGTAAGTTTGCCAGTGGTACCATTTCCGATTATCAAGATTCAATAATGGTTAAAAAAGCAGGAACCCAATCCCGTCCAGGAGAAGAATCAGAGGGTGTTTTCCACCCATTGGCCAACAAGGTCGCAGTGGGAAGAAGATTACAGAGTGATTTGATGTTGGGTCAAATCGATTACAAGTTGTTGCACTTGGGTGACAAGTTGGTGTCAGATGGACGGTTTAGATTATTGATTTTCCCTGGAGATTTGCATCAGCACAAGTCCAACTGGGACATTTTGAAAAAGTTCAACGATGTTCTTGAATCCAAAGACAGTTTCCTTAAGAGATACACCCCAGTTAATGCTTTTCCAAGCTCAGTGATTGAAATTTTGACCATTCATGCTTCTCAAAGACACGATATTGAATTCCATGATTTCCCGCAATTTACTCACGCCATTGATTTCAAAGGACGTACTGATTACTGGAGGATCTTTAGTGGTGCTGGTAAATCTTATGATGGTATTGCTGTTGATATCTATAAAACTTTGGGAATCGATAAGAAGGATGGTGCCATGTTGATTGTTCGCCCTGATAGTCATGTTGCTCAAGTGGTTCCATTTTCTAGTGAAGGGTTGAAATTAGTTGATAATTACTTTAGTGGGTTTATGATTGATCAAAGCAATTGTGTGTTGCCAGAAAAGGACAAGACGGTTAATGATGCAGTGAGATTTGTTCAACCAAGATTGGCCGTTTAGAGTGGGGGGAGGATATATGACTACCTCAAGTTACAATCATTTTTATTACTATTATTATTGTTATGCTGTTTTTATTTACAAATTGTAGTACGAACAATATCTCTACTTTACGGTTTTCTAATCTTTTATTCTAATTGCTGTTCTTGCCTCATTTTCCTCCGTTGTGCTAGTTTCTTCTTTTCCCAAAACTTTTCTGCTTCAAACACGCTATTCAATGCTTTACCCATGGCATCAAAATCAGTCATTAATCCCACATGAGCCGCATCACTAGCAAATTTGCCGACAATTTCACCCGTGCCACTATGTTTATCGTAATAAGTGAAACCCTTTTTCTCGGGCATCAACCATTTTTGATGAATGACACCATCACCATGCCCGTAAAAGAATTCATAATAGTTTCCATCTTTGATATCTTGTCTCAGACGAACCAAGGATCCTCGTACTGAGGGAATCTTGTTGCCGTAAACTATGGCCAATGGTGGGTACTCGGCAGCTAATTTGGGGTCATGTTCTAATGACAAAATGTATTTTTTGGTTGATTTGAGGGTCTCAGATAAGTAGCGGTAAGATTCGGCGAATGTAAATGAATAATGATTGGGGTGCGGGGTTGATTGAGTGCCGGTGGAGTCGACACCTGGTATTGCAGCTGTTGCTGCTGGCGGTTGTGGTTCTGAAGCGGTGATGTCGCTGTTTGTCGAGCTTCTTGTTGGTGGAGAAGTTGAGGACACAGCGGAAGAAGAAGAATGTGGGAAAAAAGTGTCCGAAGAAGCAGCTGCACCTCCATTTCCACTTTTGTTCTTCTTCAATGATGTCGATCGGTACATTTTGGAAAATTTCGAACTAATCAGATTGATACTGGGGAAAGTCGATGATGAAGTTAGTGAAGATGGTGGCGATGGCGACCTGGTCGATTTGATACTTGACATACTCGATGCCGTTCCAGTCCGATCCAGATCTTGCAACTTTCTATCTTTATCTTTATTTTCAGCTTCAATTTTCCTCTGTTTTGCAACCAACGGGTTCAAATTGTATTCAACCCAATTATCAGGATTGAAGAAATCAATCTTGTACTTTTCTTTGGTCTTGTAATTATAAAAAGTTTCACCACTTAGAGGCAAAAACACATAGCTAGATCGCATCATAAAATTGGTTTCAAAAGTGAGGATTTTATCCGAAAGCAATACTGAATCGCCAAATCGTATGGGGCCAAGAATGTTTAAACATTCACTGGGTGAACCGACATATACAATCGAGCGAAATAATGAGGGATTTCGTTGTAGTGCCCCGTGTACCATCAACCCACCCATTGAATGGGCAATGACCAAGGTCGGTTTGCCGGTCTCTTGATAAATTTGCGTTAAAAACTGTTCCAATTTATGTGATACATAATCACCACTTAATCTCCAGTCATAACCAAATTCTTGGATGTTTACTTTAGGATTAGCATCTAACTTTTTAATTAACTTACGACATATATCAATGGGGCCCACATGCGATAGTATTCCATCAGGATAAATCTTATCTTCAGCATTTAATTCATCCAGTTTATTGGGTCCCAATAAAAGGTTGATTTTGCGTAGATTGAACCCTGCTTTTAAAGGGATCCATACTCGTTTATGGGTCTTGGAATCGCGGAGAATTGAACCTCTGTATCCTCCCATTATAACAATATTACCGTCGATTCGATCATAAATGGTTTCGTAATCAGCCAATTCCTTTTTATTTTTATGGGGTATTAGGTCGGTCAAGTTGGATGTAATTGTATGTTTAATGGCTTCGGATCTCCCACTATCAGTTCCCTTAAACCCTTTGAAATAGTTTTCTTCGTCAAGGGTGCTTATTGATTGTTGTCGTTGCAATCTCAATTCAACTTTACGTTGTAGTTCTTCATCAATCTTGTGTTCTTCATCGTGTCCAACAAAGGGAACATCGATTTTCTTCAACAGACTTAAATGACGCGTCAAGTTTTCACGAAGGGTGGAGAAGCCACCACCAAACGGTAATGCAAATGAAAATACTTTTTGATGAGGGTTGTATTGTTTCATTTTGTTATCTGTGAAGGTATGATCGCCAATTTTGACATGTTGCTTTTCAGTTGGTTGGTCAGGATCGGCAGTTGGATGACTAGAATTCTTGTCTGCTTCATATTCGTCGTGGACACTCTTGATTGAGTCACCACCAACTAGCGATTCAGCATCTGATTTAGTTATGCGACGACTTAGTGTGTGTGTCGCAGTGACAGGATTGTATCCTTGAACTTGCATCTCATCATCGTTGTCATCATCATTGACATGGGAAGGGCTGTCATTTCCCTTTAGTGCATCATAACTATGTACCTGGACATTTATGCCAGAAGATGTTCCACCTACTTCTTGTTGTTGCTTCTCCTGCTTCTCCTGCTCCTCTTCTTCCTCGCTGTCCACGCTATCCTCGTCGTCTTCGTTCAGCATATCTTCTTCACTTAGCAATTTGGACTGATAACTAGTCCCTGCACGAGGATCCATAGTCGGTTGCGGCAGCAAAAAGCTTAATTGATCGGTAGGTGATTTCGGAGCAGATGACAGCAACGGCGACGGCTCTTTAGTAGGATCAGCAACCATGGTTAATGATATAAGAGTGAAGTGGTGGAGAAGAACACTGAAGGAGGTGGGGGGTTATACTTGTGTGTGAGTGTGAGTGTGAGTGTGGAGTAAAATGGGTATTTCTTCAAAAGGTGCGTCTTGTGATGAGCAAACCAAGAGGGACAGACGGGTATGAAAATTTAAGCCGATGATGATGTATGGGTAATGATGGGAAGAAGAAAAATAAAGTATGCGCGGGTATTGAGAAAATTAATAGCAAACTTATTCTTGCAACAGTCGTGTGATATTTTCTTAATAAGAAAGAGATATCTTTAATGTAATTATGTAAGTTACAGTTGATGATGCTTGATAGATATGATACGATAGTTAAGATAGCATAATTCATAGATGTATGGATGTATACATGTATGTAAAACAATATACTAACTACAAAGACCCAGAGACACACAAACACAGACAGACACAAGACAGACACGGACAAAGCAAAGAACACCACCACACCTCTTCTTCTACTGCTCTTACAAGCTCTTATTCTATGCTATGCTTTATGCTGATCTTTGATAGCTTCTTCTCGTTTTATCTTTATTACAGATTTGGTTTTCTGAACCTACTTGATGGGTCCAAACTAGGGATATATCCAAAACCCAAACTCCATTTCTTTGTTTAAATTGGTTTGTTTAGGCTTGTCTTTTTGACGTATTATCATGATTATTATTTTTATTATTTGTGATTATGGAATCGGATTTAAATATTTATATCCGGCCGTATCGGTAGTGAATTCAGTTCCGCCGCACATTACCCCATTAGGTTCTTAATGCATATTTTTTTTGAATCTCAAACAACCAAATAAAGAATGTAACACAAAAGAAAGTATTTAAAAATAGAAACAACGTTTGCACTTGATAATCTTGTTCTCTAAGCCCCTTAACGTTTAGTTTTTTGTATTTCTCACAGCCCCTTCTAATCATCTAAGCCGCCCCACCTCAGTCCCTTTTTCTCACTATGGCAAAGCAAAACTCAACTGATAGATTCGATAAACGATCCAAAACAAAAGCCAGCAAGTGGCACCTGTGTCACGACAGACTAACAAACTAGTGTTGTAATAGAAGGCTCTTACAGTTTCTGCTACTCTTTAAAAGCAACACCTTCGTCGAAATTCGTGAGTCTTTTTCACAAGTTTATACACACAATATCACCTCTTTTCTTCATTATTTAGTACCCCTTTCAACCAATTACTCTTGCCACCTCCCGCAGAAGAGGAAGAAGAAGCAAAAGACGTATCACTAGCTCCAGCTCCAGCTGATGTACTCATAGTAGTAATATTGGCATTTGCAGTTGTGTTGTCATTATGAATCAAGCTCCCCACACTACCTACATTATGTCCATTCATAACAACATCTTGACCGCTATCTCTTTGTCTAACTTCTCCAAAACTGGCACTTGTACTCATATTAGTAGCATTGGCTGAAAATGATGAATGGAAGTTACTAGGTATAGGCAAATTTTTGATCGATGGCAAACTAGTAACACCCTGTAGTCCATTGTTGTTGTTCTGGTTGTCGTTTGCGTCATAGTTGTTAGCATTGTTATTCCAATTGGATTGTACATTTGCATTTGCATTAGAATGTGCTTGGGTTGTGGGGGTAGATGTCAGGCCAAATTGCTGCGACAATGGTGACTTCATCGATGTTGCTGCTGTTCGGGGATGTAATAAACTTTGTTGTTGCTGTTGCTGCAGTTGTTGCTGTTGCTGCAGTTGTTGCTGCTGCATTGGTGCCCGATTATTTGCCCCAAATGACATATGAAACATTGGTGATAATGGACTCACTAAATTAGGCGTAGAAGATGCAACCGATGAAGCAGATTTAGGTGGTGGTGGGAAATTAGCACCAATATTGTTCAATCCACTAATGCTGCTGACACCACCGCCACCGCCATTAGAAGGAGCAGGTGGAACCACATGCACTTCGCTCATTGCTGATCTAGGTACCGGTATTCTAGCCAGTTTGATTCCTCCATCGCCAAGGACAAGATCTCCATCTCCGTCTCTATCTCTATCTCTATCTTCATCTCCATCACTTTCATAGGTTGAATGACGTAATGATAATGGCTGTGGTCTCTTTTTTGGTTTAAACGAATGAGTGGGGAGTTTTAATTCTTCGGAATGGGAGGAAGAAGTTCCTGCTGTTGTTGTATTGTCTTCAGTCAGGGTGTACTGCTGCAGTTGATCACTCAGTATTTGAGGTTCAGCTTGGTGAGGCAATGGAGGCAATGGCTTATGATATGACGATTGTGACAGCGATAGTGGTCCTTCAGGAGAACTTTGAGTAACCTGAGGTTGTAGCTGTTGTTGCTGTGGTTGAGGTATCATATACTGGTTATTAGTGTAATTACCCTGCATTGGCATTTGACTTGAAAAAGGTTGAGCTTGTGGTGTCAATGGGTGTTGTTGTTGGGAAGGTTGCTGCTGTTGCTGTTGCTGTTGTCCTTGAATAGGATACTGTCCTGGCATATACATTTGTTGATTATTACTAAATTGAGATTGAACAAATGGTGGAAATGAGTTTTGTGATGGTGGTAATGGGGAATGGTGTCCGTAAATGTACTGTGGTTGTGGCTGCAGTTGCAGTTGCAGTTGCAGTTGTTGTGGTTGTGGTTGTGGTTGCAGTTGCAGTTGCAGTACTCCTTCATTCTTCTTTTGTTCAATTTGTTTCAACTTCTTCTTCATTTTTGATCGTTCAATTAATAATTTACTATCACTTTTATCCTTAGTCAAATATGTTTCATAAGCATGAACCGTTTGTTTATGTTGGCGTAAATTATCCAATCTACTGAAGTTCTTGGAACAATAAGGACATGTAAAGGGGCGTTCACCAGTATGTTTTCGTTTATGTCTAGCCAAGTGTTCACTTCTAGTAAATGACATATTACAACCAGGGTATCCAGTACATTGAAATACTCTACCTTTACTCGACCGTTTACTTTTTGGTTTGGATCCATTAGTGTTGTTTGACGAAGAAGATGCTGCTGACTCTGTTGAAGAAGAAGATGAGATGGTTGATATGGTGGATATGGTTGATACAGTTGAGTGAGTGGCATTAGTTACTGTTGGAGTCAATTGGGGGAATGAAGACAAAACACCGTTGTTGTTGTTGTTGTTGCTGTGAGGACTATGACCATTGCTGCTGCCATTGTTGACATTACTAGTGAGTGGTGGTGGTGGTGCTCTTAATGAAGGTAAAGGGTAGTGATGTTGTGAAGATATTATTGGTGGTGGTGGAGGAGGAGGTAAAGTTGAGTTCAATTGTGATCGTTGTGATTGGGGATATTGTTGTTGTTGCTGTGGCAGTTGCAGGGTATTAAAAGGGCGATGAGGAGGGTAATGATGAGCTGAAATTGAAGGTAATGAAGCTATTCCTGGTAGATGTGGATGTGGTAATTGCTGCAGTTGTTGCTGCAGTTGCAGTTGCAGTTGCAGTTGCAGTTGTTGTTGTTGTTGTTGTTGTTGTTGCAGTTGTTGTTGCAGTTGTTGTTGCATCTGCAGTTGTCGCAGAGAAGACAGGGATGAATGTAGCGAATGCATTTGATCACCTAAGATTGAATCAAGTGTCCTTGTTGCAGGAGATTGCGTTTCTTGTTTATGAGATAAAGACAACAAATGTGTCTGCTGTTGTGGTTGTTGTGGTTGTTGCTGCTGAGGATGATGCGGTGGTATATGATGATGGTTCTGGAAATGTAATTGTTCTCTTGGGTATGTACTGCTTCCTAACATTTAATGTTTGGTTGTTCTCACCTGTAAAAGTAAAGTCTAGGTGGTGGTTGTCCAGTGCAAAAGGGGAAAGCAGGAAGGCAGGAAAGCAGGAAGGCAGGAAAGCAGGAAGGTAGGAAGGTAGGAAGGTAGGTAGGAGGGTGGTGTTATTCTATTATTTCTGGTGGTTGTTAAGTGTGTTGTCTAATAATAGAAATCAAGTAATTCATTCAAAAGTAGTGCGTGTAAGTGGAAAAAAGTACTGCTTTCTGAAGTTATATATATATTTACACACAGTGGGTTTAGTGATTCCCTCAGTTTCGTTGTAGACTACTGCTGATGAAGATGGGTGAAGATGTCTCCTATGGCTGTGTGCCTTTGGTTGTTGATTGAATGATTGATGAGTTATGGGTGATGATTTTTCTCTAAAAAAAAAAAAAAAAAAAATGGGTCAAGTTTTGTTCTCAGTTTCTTTTTCTGTTTTCTTTTTAAGTTTTTATTTTTTATTTTTTATTTTTTATTTTTTATTTTTTATTTTTTATTTATTATTTATTATTTTTTATTATATTTTTTTTTTCTTTTTTCTGTTCTACACATTGTTATTCTTATTCTTTTGTTCAAAGTTCGTTCCGACTCAAAAAAATAAAAAATTAAATGAACTAAAAGGGGTTGATTCAGAGGAGAGAAATACACACACATACACAATAGTTAATAAGATGTATTTCACGTCACAAGAAGGTAGTAGTAAGTAGTTACAGTGGCAATTAAGTAAGTGAGTATTACTGTTAGGTGGGTGTCTTGTATTTAAAAAAAATGCGTGTCGTCTCTTAATTTTTGTTTGTGTGTACTATGTGTTGTGTTTCTGGTATGCGTGTTTTTTTTTATGCCAAGTGACGTAACAGGGGGAGGGGGCAGTAGTAGTAGTAGTAGTAGCAGAAGAGGAGAGGGAGAGAGAAAAAGAGAGAGGAATTTATTTTTTATTTAATTTTTATTTCTGGAAAGGGGAAACAAAAAAAAAACTAGGAACAAAGGAAAAGATTTACACACACACACACACTGTTCATTGCAGAATATATCAATAAAGTAAAAGAGACACACAAGTAGAGTGCTTTGTATGAATGTTGAAGGTGGTTGATGTATAAGTTAAATATATGCAGATGTTACTGTAACAACAACGATAACAGCTGATACAGTTCATATTGGATGTTTTTTTTTGTTCTTTCAGCATTGTCACCCTTTTCTAAACTATATATTGTCTCTATATATGTATGTTGTTGAGTTTAAAATGGTATTCTATACTTGCTAGTCTGTATGTGCTACTACTCCGTTGCAACTGTTGAACATTTAGATTATACTTGGAAGTATTATATGTAGTATTGTATTGTACTTGTATTGTACTTGTGTTGTAACAGGTAGATATGCTATTTTCTGTAATAACCTATTGTCTTTTATTGCCTTTGTCATCCTTTATACATTTGTGACATTCCAATTGCCAAAACAAATAGAACTTCTTCTTAATTCTTTATTCTCTTTTTCTATTGGTGTGTAGGTGTGAATATAAGTAGTGTATGATTGAAGGTGTTATCGGTCAATTTATAGTAAAAACAAGAACAAAGACAAGGCACAAACTACTAGCACATACATATACATACATACATACATACATACATACACAGTGGACAATACACAACACACAAGCACAAGCACAAGTACAAAATGAAATCATATAAAACTTCAAACTACCTCGTCTATACATATCACGTTGCATATACCGTTAAAGGAAGTAGTAGTAGTAGTAGTAGTAGTAGTAGTAGTAGTAGTAGTGTATTACTATAGGCTTGTACAGAAAACATAATCGTCTGTTTTATCTCTTCCTCAACACAAGAAACAACAAATAGACAAGACAGGCATTTGGCTTTTAAGGTTTAAATACTTGAAAAGAAACAGAAGTTAAAAAAATTAAAAGAAAGAAATGTCAAAGAAAATGTCAAAAGGACGTGTACCTTTGTCGTAAAAAATAAAGAGCACAAAAAACGTTTACATTAATGACAGACCTAATTGTCTATTATGTTTGTGTCCCTTTTACTAAACTACGACAAAGAAGAAAAGAAAACGACAAGAAGAAAAAAGGCACCAGATGAACAAACATAAGATCTCTAACCACAACAACAGATACACACTATACACTTTATTATCCCACAAGAGATAGATAGATAGATAGATAGATAGATACGTGGTGTAGCCTAAAGGATGTAGGAAACTTACTAATTCTAATAGAAAAAGAAAAGTAACAGAGAAAATACAATGATCCAAGTATAAATCAACTTATTTTTTTATGGGTGTTGAGAAAAAAAAGGTACATACCAAACAGCTAACCAAAAACCAATAACCAACAACGCGTACCAACAATCTAAAAAGAAAAGAAGGTACAAAAAAGAGGGGGCAAAAAAATATGGAAAAGAAACTTCCTTGGCACCTCTTTATTTCCGCGTCTCAAACTTTTTCCATTTTCCCCTTTCTCCGTCGTCTATTCTTTCTGCTTAAAAAGCATTCTTGTGATTAGTCGTTTTACTTTTACCCCTTGTGCTTTGCTGCTTATTATTCGTTTCAGTTTACGGCGAATTATTCAATACTTAGGTAATACTAATCTCTAAAATAGTAAACTTACTAGTCTTCATTTCTTCTTCTCAGGCGTCTTGTTGATGGGCGATTAGACGAGGAGAAGATAAGAAGGGGATCATTACATCAAAGAACAACCTCTGCATTAACTCTTTCTCATTTGCTATTGTAGTAGCATTAAATTTCTCTAATGAGCTTACATTTAATTTTAATTTTACTTATAAAAGAAACAAAAAAAATAGAGAAATTCTTTCCTATAAAATAATAAATTAGTAACATTTTAGTAATATCTATAAGGGAAATATAACACCATAACACGCTATATTAATTTTCTAATGCACCAATAGAATATAGGGAGCAACAACTTTGTAGAGAGGTTTGTTCAGTAAAAGTAACACTAGTATGGTAACATCCAACACATATTGATGAATGAATGATTAATGTCAATCTGTTTTTTCTCTACATTAATGTTTTGTTGGACGTTTTATTCTTTAAAAACTAACAAAAAAGGAAAAGGCGGTTAATTGCACCATTCTTTAACCATAGAAACTAAACTTAAACTAAACTATACTTCGGAATAGGAAAATACAACCGAACACAAGTAGCCAGACACTTTGGAAACAAAACTATTGTCTCCTAAACGAATACATTGTTTTTTTTTTTTCGTTTTTTTTTTAATTACACAACACACACACATACTCTCTCTTATTCTCGTTTGTTTTCTCTCTTGCATATGCGAAGCCCCACTTTTTGCCTTTGTGTGAGATAATATAACAACGCCCCCCCCCACTTTCCGTCTAGTATTTGAAATCAAATCCAACTCATCTTCATCTTCATATGCATAAGTATATGTGTAGGTCTATGAGTCGGTCTGGTGACAAATAATCTAAAGAAGAATGTGTTCCAACGAATCAAGCCAGGGAAAATATAGTCAGCTGAATGCAATCTCTGTTATTACGATAAATAGTATTCATATTTATGTTCCCAATCCACCGAAACATAGCAATTTAGTTACGAGGTATACTTTGTAAGCTCACTTATGATATTGCTTTTTGTTAGCACAAGATTAGGGTATTTGTACCACTCAGTACACTTTTCTGCTGGTTGTCACACATTATATGAGACCTCATTATTGATTAAAGCTTGATCCTCCCACGTAGTCCCATTAAATCATATTCAGCACGCACCTCGAATAACAGTAAATACTATAGCTCTTGAAATAAAGCTGCAGAAATATCTCTTCACAGCGGGATCTTCTCTATAACTCTTGCTCCCAAGTGGGGTTCTACAATAATATTATAATTACATCTGATTGAGAGAAAAGTTTTGGCTGCAAAAAGTACCAAACAAAAAGAAAAATGAAGTGCTAGCTATTTAATACATAAAACCTCTTGCAGAGGTAGAGTAGTTATTTCTGCATTTTAAATGGTTTGGTTACGTCTTACTGTTGAACAATGCTTCTTTCAATCCATGCGTTCAATTTTGTCTCAAAACCAAACCAGATCTTCTAATCTTAAAAAGGGGTCTATGTATTGGTGATTATTGATAGATTCAACTACCCGTTATCCCCTCAAATAGAAGTTAACAAGACTGCTGAAATCTATGGACGAACGCAAGAGTATTTTTTTCCACATGACATGATGGATGCAGCTGGATTCAATTTGTCGGTTGGGAAAAAGGTTAAAGATTGCGTTGGACATTAGCCTACTGCGTTAATTTAAAGCGGTTACCACCAAGGGGCTCACTCAAGGGAACGGATCCTCTAACAATGTTGGCAGCTTCCTTCCCGCCAAGATATCACCTTCTCATATTGACACC